AAGCCTCTGAAGCAAACGAAGCTCTCCAGACCCAGCTACATGCCCGTACCGGTGAAATTGCCAGCTTGATTGACAAACTTGGCCAAGCAGAGAGAGCCCACAAAGAGCTGGAGAGCCAAGCTTCGGACATGACCAACGAACTCAGCAAAGCAGATGTGGCCAAGACAATCTCTAGGAACCTGATTGACGAGCTCAAAATAAGAATTGACACGTTGAAGAAGGAGAAGAGCGATCTTCAAGCAAAGGTTGATAAGCTCACCGAGCTGATTGAGTCTCAAGGCCAGGCGCCCCCCGCGCCTCCGCCACCCCCAGGACCTCCTCCGCCACAGGCCTCTGATTCTTTAGAGGTTCCATCTGAAGCTACGCAGCCGACGACAGGCGGCGGAGGCAAAAAGAAGAACAAGAAGAAGAAGGGCCGCGGTGGCAGAGCTGCTAGTCCCACTCCATCCGCGACTCCTTCTGCAGCTGGAGAGGGCACGCCGGCTGCGACTCCTGCTTCTCCGGCTCCTGATGCGGCCAAGGCTGCCCAAGGCCAAGATACTGCAGCCCTGGAGGCTCAAATCGCCCTGCTGAGCCAGGAGATTGAGGTCAAAGACAGAGAAATCGAGCGGCTATCCAAAAAACGCAAGACCGAAGAGGATCTTCGTGAGGAGATTGAAACTCTGCAGGAAAACCTGATCAACATTGGCCAAGATCACGTCGAGGACAAGGAACGTATCAAGGAGCTTCAAAACGAGAAGAAGAAATTCACAGCGGAGATTGCCTCTTTGGAGGAGCAGATTGCTGCGATGGGCTCCACTGCCGCTGCCAGTGCGCAGGTGCAAGAGGAGTTGAAAGTTCTCATCAAGGACTACCATGACTTGAAGGAGAAGTTTGGTACCGTCACCTCTGATCTTGCGGCGTCGCAACAGCTGGCGCAAAGCCGCTTTAAGGAAGTGTCGGAATTACGCGAAGTCTTGCAGAAGCTGCAGCCTGAAGTCAAGAGCTTACGCCAGGAGTCTGCCGAGCTCAAGACAGCCAAAGAGGAGCTTGCGGCCAAGGTCAAAGACCTCAAGGACCTGGAGAAGAAGGCCAAGGAACTTGAGCGAAACTTGGCGACTTCCCGACAAGAGGTGGCCAACCACGTCTCGGAGACTAAGACTCTCAAGGACAAGCTAGTAGCGGAGACTGAGGCAAAGACCCAACTGGAGAATGCGCAGCGCGTGTCAGGACGAGACCTTAGAAAGGCTGATGCCGAGAAGATTGAGTTGAGCGCCAAGTCGGAGAAGGTCGAGCGAGAGTTGCAAAAGGTTCAAGAGGAGCTCTCCAAGCTTAGACCGCGGGTGACCGATCTTGAAGAGCAGGTGCACAAGCTGAAGCGCGAGAAGGCGGCAGCCCAGGAGGAGACCGAGTTTAAAGCGAAGCAATATTCGACGGCTCAGGGTCTGCTGAGCAGCATGCGCGACCAGGTGTCCGAGATGACGGTGCAGCTCAAGGAGTCTCAGTCCCAGGCTAGGTCGTTAGAAGAGGAGCTTAGCGAGGTGCAGCATCTGTTGCAAGAACGCACTAGAGAGGGCGAGACTATGCGGCGGCTCCTTGCAGACGTGGACCAGCAGGCCGAGACCAAGATCCGAGATATGCGCAACCGAATGGAGGCGGCGATTGCGGAACGAGAGCGCCTCGAGGACGAGACCAGCACCACGATGAGGAAGAACGTCAAGACAGTCGGAGAACTCAAGTCTCGAGTGCGAGAACTCGAGGTAGAGGTTAAGGACCTTCGCAGCGAGCGTGAGGGAGTCGAAGAGCGAGAGCGAACGTTGCGTCGCCGTAACCAGGAGCTCGAATCGGTTGAGAGCAGAAGCGAGACCGAGGCTGCAGATTTGCGAAACACCATCTCGTCGCTGAGAACCGCCTTGGACGCCTCTGAGCAGCAGGTTCGAGACGGGGAGAAGCTCAAGACCTCCCTGCGCAAGGACTACGAATCACTGCAGCTGATGTATGATAAGATCTCCAAGGAGCTCAAGGCGATTCAGGCCAAGGCCACTGCCACTGCTACACCGACGAGCGGCACGACATCTCGGACGTCAATAGATTCGGCACGCACCTCTTCAGCGGGCGAGTTGTCTGAAGTGCTGTATCTCAAGACCATTCTGCTGCAGTTCCTGGAGCAGAAGGATAATAGGCTGAGGGCGCAGCTGGTGCCTGTGCTGGGCAAACTTCTCAAATTCGACAAGTAAGTGGGAATACAAACTCTGCTGGTTATATATGTATATATGTACCCGATGGCTAACCAGTGTCTTCTAGGACCGATGAAAAGAAGTGGTTAGCTGCTGTTCAGCATATCGAAGTTCGTTAGAAAAGCCATTGAGCGTGTAAGATAAAAAGGGGTATGGGAAATTTCCGAGAAAGATGCATGTTGTCGTTTTTATAAACTTCGTATTGTACCAATATTGCTTTACTAGAAAGTCAGGCAGCACAGTTAGAAAATTACTCGAGTATTTTTTCTATCCAGTGGCCTCGATGGATTTATTTTAATGGGTTATCGAAGGAAATTTGGGGGGAAGGGGGGGAGGCGGCATTATTTGATTCTGATGACGATGACATTACTAGATCCATGCGGTACATTACATTTGCCAGTATCAAACATAGTGCGATAGTTTACAGATTATTGATAGTTGATTCGGTTGAGTCAATGAATAAAAAGTCGAAAGATGCGAACTTGCAGCATGGGAGCGTTTTGAGGTGAAAATAAAGTACACGAATACTACGACTGTATGAATGTCTTTTCTTATGGATAGTTGCTTCCTTCGTTGCGCTGAGTGGTGCCTTCCTCGTACATTATGGCTATGGCACGTGCGTACCACGGTTCAGTTTCTCCAAAGGTGGCGAGAGCGACGAACGCCTCTTGCTCAATTCAAAGATACAGAAAGCCATCCATACTCTCTGGCTATGACACCATTCAAGAAGCAGCACCCCCCTTGAACACATGCGAAACTCGCAAGTCACATCACTGCATAACCCAAAGAGCAATAAAACAACCACCACTCATCCCCTCATCACGATAGTATCATATAGAAAAGGTAAAAGATAGTGATTCATCTATCCCCTCTCAGCTAACCAAACCTCCAAAACCAACCCCCCCCCCCCCCCCACACCCCCCCCAAAAAAACCCACCAAAAAAAAAAAAAAAAAAAAACCAGCCAATCTATCGATAGATCCATCCATCCGTCTATCCAAAACGCAAAACAAACTAGCCTCGAAAATTTTTTTCTCCATCCTCGGCCCGTCCCCTAGTACAAACACGGGATACGCCTCTGGTGGTTCCTCTCTCTCCCATCTCCACCATACCATACTAAAAATATAAAAATAGTTTAAATAAAAAAATAAAAATAAAAAAATTCCCTTCCCGTCTGTCCACTCAGATGCCGTCTTGGACCCCCAATCCTTGTCCGATCTTGCTGCAGCCCGATACACACGACGCAAGATTTAAGATCGTAGAGAGTAAGAGAGAAAAAATTTTCACCGTCCCGAGATGAACCATTTCGTGTTTTCTAAATTTAGATAGACGCGCCCCTCCTCATCTTGCAGGAGCCGTTGATCCCGCTGCAGGTCTGGAGATTGGGATTCAGATCTTGCAAGATCTGATCTTACCGTTGGTAGGGCTGAGAGTCACTCCCGGGGGCGGCAAGACTCTTCAAGCAGCTTACTCTCTGTTAGTTACTACGCTTTGGAAGGATGGTCGGAGATTGCCTATCACATGTCACGCGGTGATGCTGATGCATTTGATACCGATTGTCAACTTGATTCGCACAGATAGAAATAATCCCAAGACTAGACTATCATGAACCTCCAAAAGTTCAGCTCTGAATATTACTGTCAGTGCTGTCTGCAGGTCATAACTATATGGATCTCCATGGCGAAAAAAGCATCCCGTGCCTTGCTTGGTTCCGCCACAAAGAGCTGAACAATAAAAGCCCAGGAACTTCCAACAAAGCCTTCCATGAAGTCCGTCAAGGCAGTCGACATCGTCGTAGCCTGCCCTAAGAGAAAAGAAGAAACCAGTACAAAAGTAACAAATTCATGCCTCCCTCCGTCCCTCAGCTAAATCAATTTCGGTTGTGCACATTCCACGGGTTTTACCATCAAGGCAATCCCCATCGTCTTCCAATCTACCGCACACCGAGTGGTATAGTTGAATGCAGGAAACAAAAAAAAAAAAAAGGACTTAAGCGGAGAAGAAAAAAAATATTCAACGCCGTGCATGTATGCATAGGACCCTCGTTCCTGATCTCATCCTGAATCCATGTCCCTAAGCTAGGCTAAAAACTAGAAGAAAGGAAAAAAAAGACAAAATCATTCTCGTATCAAAGGGGTAGTAAGTAATTTCCATAAAAGAAATTTCGAAGAAATAAAAACCGGGGTCAAATAAAAAGCAAAGGCCTCCCATAATGAATCAAAAGATGAATACTCAATGACAAAAGAAATCGTGTATGGGGCGGCGCCAACAGGCTGGCGCGTTCGCCCCTGGGTATCATGGAAAAAATCCCCCAAATGCTAGGTGTATGTGCGTGATCCTTGTGCTGAAAAAAATGCAAAACCAATTCCCTAATCCAGGTAAGATACCACATTGTATCGTGTAAAGTAAAGGAAAACATGAAAAATCTGATGTGAGTGGAAAAGAGTAGTTCAAATGTGCATAGGCTGCGTTGCGTACGACGACCTGCAGATTAATCGTCTAGGACAAAAAAATCACAGCGTCGACAGTCACAGAGCTGCCAAAGCGACGAATTTGAGCATGAATAAAAAGTAAAGGGGGTAATTGGGGGTAAAAAAGAAAACAGAGCAGGAGATTGCAGGCAGTCGTAACTCTAAATAAAGCAGTCGAATGTGTTCGTTCCGATGAGTTCATTTCGATAAGTCGTTAAAAATCATGCAGCGGGGATAAGAACGGAATGATTGGCCTTAGGAGGGACATGGACTTTGGATGAGCAGGGAGGCGAGAGCCAAGCGGCTGAGCAGATTTATCGAGTGGTGGATTCGATCTTGACGTCCTTGAAGGGAACCATCCAGTGAGGCTCGAGCCAGCCGGCATTGTTGAAGACAACCCAGAGTCGAGAGGCCTTGTTGACGTCGATCTTGCAGGCTTGCTGAGCGTCAGTCTTGCGGAACTCCTTGTTGTTCTGGAAGCGCTCGAGACGTCGCATGAACATGCGTCGCTTGCTGGTGAGGTACGTGGCACAGTCCAGACGGAGACCGCTGGCGAGGTTGAGCTCGGCAGGGTGCAGCAGCTTCCGGTTGGGGTCGTTGCTGAGGTCAATTGGCTGGCCCTTCCAGTCTGGCTTCAGCTGAGAGGCAGCGCGGTCAGAGAGAGAACTGAGAGGCGGGCAGAAGTCCTGGAGGACCTGGAAGTTCTTGTCCTCGCGGCTAGGAGCAACAATGCGGCGAGAAGGCTCTGGCGTAGCACTTGGACGACGTCGGCCAGCAGTAGATCGAGCAGCAGCGATGGGCGAAGCCAAAGCGAGAGAAGAGGCAGCAGCGGCAACAGCAGCAGTGGTGGGAGCACCGCTGGAGCGAATTGGCCGTGGGGCGTGTGGCTTAGAGACCCGGCTGGATACTCGATCAAAGACTCGATCAGCGCGCTGAGATCGGGCTGGCTTGGCTGCGATTGGCTTGGCTGGCTGGATAAGAGGCAGACGACGAGCTCCAAGGGCGGCCTCTCGATCGGCAATGAGATAAGCTCGCTCCTTTCGCAGCCATGCCCTGGGGTTGCTGTTGTAGTTCTTCATGACCTGCGACTTGATGGAGATCATCAACTTGTAGTCCTCACGGCGTGGAGGTGGGACAACAGTGAAGAGGTTGGCGGTCGATTCTAGAGCTCGGACATGGTCATCGACGATTTGCATATGGGTATCTTCATCCTCGGCAGGAGCAAACAATGGCGGCTGTGGCAGGCCCGATGGCGACGCCTCATCGATGGGATAAAGAACCGGATCTTGGATAGTCGAGCTCTGAGGCGTGCTTGGAGTGTTGTCGCCGTTGCTGGCGTTGCTGGAGACCGTCTTGGTGTAAGGCGAGATAGGCGGCGACATGGGCAGCGGCTGCTTGTCAGACACTGAGGCAGACCGGCCGCTGTTTGCCGACATGGTGGCGAGGACTGAAGTCATTTCATTGAGCGTCTTTGATTCTTGACGACGGGCCTTGGCCTGGTTAAAAGTCTCGAGCAGGTTCTCAGGGGGGGACATGAGATTGCTAATGTCCAGCCTGTTGCCGGCCTTGGGTGGCGCCGGGGCAGCCATTGCTGGCTGAGCGACAGCGGATGAGTCGCTGTGGGGGAAATTGGCGGCCATTGTACGAGATTCAATGGCGGATTGGCGGTTATTATTGAACAAGCTGCGAATAGGAGAAGGGGCAAGGGTGCAAGGTTGAGATTGAGATTGAGACGAGGAAGATGGATGACAAGTAAAAGAATCAGAAGAACGCGACATCTGAGACGCGGCAGCTGATGTGTTTAGGATCTTGTCGAAGTGAGTGGAAGCTTGCTGAGCGGCGCGGAAATGTGCGTGGCTTGCGGCGGGTTTGTCAGCCATTCCTAGATGGCGATGACCCGTCTGACGTGGTTTGGGCTGGTGGCAAAGACCGTCTGGACGCAGGCAACACAGTGGGTCGGCTGGACAGACGGGATGTGAAATCAGTTCACACAGCCTTTTCGGAATTTAGCGTAAAGAGCCGGAGATAGAAGCCCGTTGAGATTGGCTTTGTGGTGTTCCAAAGTCCGCCTCTGACAGCTAGTGTGGAGATGTGTGTAGATGGAGGTCTCGGGGTTGATTGGTGATGATGAATAAGGGAGAGGAAGAGGGTGAAGAGGCAGAGTGCAGAGGAAAAGGTCGATTTGAGGCTCCTTCAAGTTGAATTGCTGTCACTCTGGCGACGGCAAGTTAGTAAAAAAATGGGAAGGCGAATTGAGTTGAAAGCGATGGATGAATGGAACAGGCAGGTTCCATTCAAGCAATGCGTGCTGTGGCGCTGGGGGTAGAATTCACCTTTTTGAGTAGCTTTCGCGTCGTCAAACGATAATCAGCCCTCACTGGAGGAAAGACGATTGCTCGATGAAGAAGGGGTGATGGTGATAGTCGCCGAATGGATCGGCAGATGGCTCCGATTGCTTTGGTCCTGGAGAGATTGAAAGGCGGACGATGCAATTGGCAAGATTGACTGCGCAAGATAAACTGGATCTGTCCCGGCAGAAGATGCAGGTACAAAATCGGTGGCTAGAGGGGGCTTTACAAGGTGAGGCGAAACCGAAGACGAATCTGCGGCGATTTGCGAATTGTATTTGGTTTGTGTTTGATTTGCGTCCAGGGAGAGAGGGAGGCAGCAGATGATATATGAGAGCAGAAAGAAAAAAAAAAACCTGGCGGTCCGACACCTGGACTGATGACTCTTTGGCGAACCGGGCGGTCTTTCACTTTCGACGCTATATTTTCTTGCTCCTAAAGTTTCCTGGAAGAAGTGGGCTTTCCTGTTTTTTTTTTCTCTCTCTTGCAAGGACCAGTGGGCGAACCAGCTAGAAGCCAAAAGTCAAATGGAAAAGACAAACGGCCAGAGGTCCAAATCACTCGTTGCTTCTTGTAGAAGCGAGAAGCAGTGAATCACTGTTGATACCCGACGAGGAGGAACCGTCCTGGTATTAAAAAGCCGTGATGTGGCGGCCGGCGAGACCCTGATGCAGGCACCACACAGGCGCCCACGCCCCCCCGCAGGGGAAGGAGCTTTGAGCAGCATTAGCAGAAGAGCGAGCAGCAAGCGGGAAGAGGATACCAGGATGTTGGGGCGTGGCTGTATAAGCGGGTGCTGCAGCTGCTTGGAATAGTGTTGAGGCTGCTAGTCCTGATGGAGTAGTGCCTGTGACTGGTTTCTGGCTGAGCTCCTGACAGGCCCAGATGGAGGGGTGTGTGTGTATGAGATAGCGGTATCTGCTGCTGTGCGGTATCTGAGAGAGAGCGAGAGAGAGAGAGAGAGAGAGTAGACAGGACAGGCTTCCTCTGCTGCTTGTTGCTTCTGCTGTTGCTTCTAGGCTTCACATTTGCTGCCTGCGAGCATTGCGCACAAGCTCAACCCTGTGCTGGTGGCGCTGCTAGCACAACAAAGCATCTTCACCGTTTGCCAGCCGCAAATAGCGCCATTATTTCCACTTTGTATGAACCTACGCATAGGTAGAGTACCATACATACTTGTACACACGTACTGTACCCGTGTTTCTCCTCAACAGCGGAATATCAAGCCACCCGCGCAGAATCTACACGCAAAGCGACAGGCAGCGGGTCAACAAAATAGACGGGCCATGATTGGGAGGAAGCGCTGCGGTCATGCTACACACCATGTCTCTCCTCTATCGCTTCTTTATTTAAAGATACGGAGGAAGAAGGAAGGAGAGGAGGCCGCGAGGCAAGGGGGAGAGAGGGGAGGGGTGTAGCTAGAAATCAATCTTCTATTTACATTTTCGTTTCTTCTGTGGATGTACATACTGTATGAGTCTTGCGCGAATGCTGAAACATGGAGCCTTGGTATCAGAGAGATGACCGCTCTTTTCCCTCATTCTCTCTCACTTTATGGATCAATCAATCAATCATGACGTTTTCTTTTCCATCTTGCCGAAAAGGGTTGGGAAACACAATACTCACCAATTGATATTTAATGAGAGACTAAAAAAAAAATTAAGATAAAAAATTAAGAGAAGTAGCCGACCTGCGTCTTTGGGCTCTTCTGCGAGGTACTCCCGCGATCTCCATTGTGCCATACCTTGCTGTACATATGTATGTGAATGTACTGCATAAATGGCCTTGCAACAACGTGGTGGACTTGCTATAAAAAGTTACCGCCCAAATGCAAAATGGGACAAAGTTGCATCATCGACAAGACGAAGAAATGCAAACATGGGGTGCTAGGCCGAGATTCCTACTGTGCAGTACCTAGTGGCATCGACTAATGTATGGAGTACCCTGACCTTGGGTGGCGTCCTGCAGGGCCGCGCGTGTAGCATGTACTGGTCCTTGGTCCGCATCCCCGTCATGGAGGCGTCCCTGTGACTTCATTGCTTGCTGGGTGCGTGGAAGCAACGGGAGTCGAGGCAAGGGACGAGTCTGTGGTAAGGCTTAGCAGCGAGGCAATTGGAAAATGGCCCAATTGAAAGCGAATTGATGCCTATCGACTGGCTGGCGTTGGGCAGGGAAGACGCGTCACTTTGATCGTGTAACGCTGGCTGCCTGTCATTGAGGCAGACGCTGAAGAAATCTGAAGAAGCAGCAGCAACAGGAGAGAGAGTCTGTTTGTACAGCATTGGTAGTACTGCGATCAATTGCCGGGATATCAAAGCAGGTCACTGAGTACTTGCATGCATGCTGCCATCCACCCTCCTCAAAAGGTGTCTCGGGACCAGCAGAAACAATCAATGGCAGCTTCTTTTTCTGCACGGAGAGTTTCACTTCTCTTCACATTCTCACTCACTCTTCACGCACGCACTGGAACCATTTGCTACGCTCATTGCTACGCTCACCCTCCCCTCCCATTTCTCTTGGGCGACCCAGTCATGTGCGGCCTTCAGGCGCGGTCATCAGGCACACCGGACAGGGCCAAAGGGGTGGGTTGAGAATCGAATTGATTTTCCGCCTACCCCCTCCCCTCTGATGGAATCCAGTAGCTGGGCCGGAGGATATAGTGGCTTTCGTCTTTCTAGGGACCTGGATGCTGATGCTGCTGCCGTGTAGAGGAATCCATCGTACAACATTCGCGATCAGCATGCAAAGGTTGGGACTTCAGTTACCCCAGAAATCACAATTGTAGGTGGCGTTCATGGTAGAAAAATTATATATAAAAAAAAATTCAATAATTGACTTTTTCCCTTGTCCCTTTTACCTTCTATTTTGGGAGGGAGATTTGCAACTGTAATCAATTAAACTTGGTTGAGGCCGGCGGCTGTTAGTGGAGAGAGGGAGGTCCCTTATAGCGCCTCTCCGCAGCTTCACCGCAAGAGAGGCGCAAACCAGCCCTAAAGTTTGGGTCTCGAATTTTTTTTTTTCTTATACAGGGGAAAAAAGGAACCAAAGACGTAAACAAAATAGTGAAATGAAGCTAAGAGCGGAGAGAAAGAGGGTCAATTGACGACATGCGCAACATGATTTCGCGCAGAAATCACATGGCGGTGGAGGATCTCTAGATAATTTTTCCTCATTCGCCCTGTTTAAGTGGGTGTGGTTGTCATCTGGTCGGCGGCTAGAGCGTCGCGAGAAGAGAAATGAGAGAGAGAATTAAAGAGAAGAAGGGGATTGTGGTGAGTAGTGCCGAGAAGGCATTGCCCCATCGTGGAGGAGTGCTTGGAAAGATTGTATCATTATCGACTGATGAATGACCTGCAAATCAAATTAGAGTGGACGGATATACCTGCCTTGAGCTTGTACTTCTACAGAACAAACCTACAGTACATGCCCTACGAGTCCACCATAGCGATTTGCTCGTATCTGAGGTGGCGGTGGCAGGAAATAATTTGAATTTGGGTCTACATATTCAATGGCCCAACAATAAGGGGAGAAAAAAAAACTCAATTGCACTAGTAATGCTGCCCAAAAGAAAAAAGAAGAAAAGAAAAAGACAGAAAGAAGCCGAACTTACAAGCCCGCTGGTTGACTAACCATTAGAAAGAACTTGGTGATGGGGGTTGATTGATAATAGTAAACGCCGATAGAGGGGCAACTTTTGGCGATTATGGCGATAGCAGCGATAAAAAGTACCCAAAAAGGAGGGGCAATTGGGTTATCACCCCTCATCGATAAAGGCCTTTTTTTGGGGTGTCCTCGACAGGGCATGTCATGTTGCACCAATATTCGGGCGATCTGGACCCGGCTGGTAGGATTTAGGAACGGAGGGAGAGGGGAACGGTTTGAGGCTTGTTTCGGGTAATTGGCCGCGAGGAGATTGGCTGGGAAGAGAAGGAGAAGAAGACGCAAGAAAGAAGTTGTAATTACTATTGCAATCAATTGCTTTGCTTCGCTCACAATCAAGCGAATGGATGCAAAGCAAATGCAAAACAGCAGCAGCAGCGGCAGTGGCGCAATAAGCAGTTGGCCTCTTCCACTTGTAGGTACTACTGACGGGTGATTTTGGCGATGATGAACAGGTGGGCAGGTCGGTGGGGTGACTGACTTGCCTCGACTAGGCTGATTGATTGATTAATTGATTGCTTTGATTGCTTTGATGGAACACGGCGATGGTCGTGAAAGGGGAGGGGGGGTGTGTCCGTGGTAAAGTCCGACAAAATCAAATCTCAGAAATAGATAAAATGAAAAATTGGAGTAAAATATAGCAAAAGGGCATCACCCAGCGCCGTCAAGAAAAACAACCTTGTGCAAGGATTCCCAAATGGCAGGGCTCCCCCTCCTTGGTTGGACGGACGGACTCGACTGACTGACTCTCTGACCGTGACAAACCGTGGACGGAAGAGCCAAACCTTGGCCCAACAAGAGCAACAACAGGAGACCAAGACCCCTGGTCGGGACCCCCTCTCGGTCAAGTTTTGGTGCCTGATGCCCAACGCGCCGGACTACCTATTCTGGGCAGCGACTAGTCGGGCAGCCCAATGGCAAGAGGCATGTCGTTCGAAACAGTCATTGTTGCGTTGCGTATTAGCGTGTGCGTAGATGTGGATGTGGATGTGGATGACGAGGACGTGGATTCGTTTCTTGTGCTTGTGCGTGCTCTCTCTCTCCTCGCATCTCACATGCTGCTTAGCTGGCGCTGAATTAGCATGACTTTCTGACGGGCGAGGTGAGGCTTAGCCTGGTTGCTGCAAACGACTGGCTGGCGTTGTTTCTTTGTTAGTGTCGAGTCATACACGCCGTGAACAACACAACAAACAAAGAGATAGATGGACGAGGAAGACAAAGGGAGATTGGAAAATGAGGGCTAAACAGACACATTGACTCGCTGGCACAGATCTACTGGTCAGAGACCACCACGCACGTACTCGGGTTGCATTGCATTTGCATCTGCTCACTGCCTTGTCCCTCTTCGTGCTTTCTCTTTCGCTGTCAGTACGCGAGAGGCCTCTGCTGCTGCTGCGTGCCTTCACCGGCTGCGCAATGCCTGTCGGAAAAGCACTCAGCCAGTCGAATCAAATCAACCAATTCCCATTTTATCCTGTCAGCACTCGGTGTCCCTGCACCTCTGCCCTCTCCCACATAGCCCCCAGTCCCCATAATCGCCGGAGCCTTGTTCCCAGACGCACAGGCAAAAAGCTGCTGCAGCTGCTGCGCTGCAGGCCTTCCCACGTCCGCCGTCGTCATCCTATCGGAGGCACGCTCGGTATCTGCCTAGGGAAGCTGAAGGAGAAAGTGGCAGCACAAAGCAGCTTGCCGGTCAATTGGCCAGTAGCCACGCTCGGCGGCACGCAGGCGAAATCCATTGGCCAATGGCTCACGCCTCGGCATCCACACCGTTCCTCGCGTGACACTGTCCACCTGAGCTCTGCCCTCCATTACAGCGAGCATGCACGAGTATTGAATATATAAACACCCTCCATTACGGTGCGTCCATTTTCTCGTCTCATCTGGAATGCGATATGCGATAGAATTCGCTCGGCCACACTACTAGAGATAGTAGAATGAGAGTCAGCCTGCCAATCAATCAACCAATTCGACCAGAACTTGACTCGCAATTGAGGGGAGGAGGAGGGGACAAGAGGAGAGAGAGGCACCGACAGGACTGAGAGAGAGACCAGCCAGTGACAGAATCAAGACCAGGGTGGGGGGTGTAGACAAGAAAAAAAAATAGAAAAAATACAGAAGAAAAAAAAGAGGAGGAGAATCTGGATCTGAGAAGCATAAACTGCGTGCATGATACATTGACACAAGCCAACCACTCACGCAAGAGACACTAGCCAGCCAGGTGCCTTGCTCCGCCTGCTCTAGCACGAGAGTGAGTCACAAGGATGGGGCTGACGATGGGAAAGAAAAAAGGCAGCCAAAAAGGGGAGCCGAAATCAAATGGGATGCATATTGGATTGGGACTTGGCTTGCCTGGACCTGGCTTAGGCGGCAAATCCCACGAGTCTGTCCTCCAAGGCAGCCGTTCTATCGATAAGCTAACTTGATTCCATTACAGTATGGAGTGGAAGTGCCATTATTATTTCGTCTACTTTGTTAATCCATTACACAGTCTAATTTTTTTTTTATCTGACATACGTCACGCCGGTAGGCATCAATTGGGAGCAGGCGAATTGGTGCTCTGCTGCCTTGGTAACTGTCTTTTCTTTTTTCTTTTCTTTTCTTTTTTTTTTGTCAATCCCATACTGTACCCCTTCTCTCTAAGCTAACTCTTTTCTTCCAGCTTCCAGATAGGAATTTCAGCCCGGGGCGGCTGGAATGCCCAAGCATGGCGATCCCTCAAATGCCCTACTTCCTCTTCGCCCTAGCAATCAATCAATCAATCAATCAATCCATCAATCGACTAACATCCGAATTCTCGATTTCAGCGCCGCTCCGCCATGTGAAAATAGAACCAGAGACGTACGTCAACGTCATCCCAGCGGATGCCTCCCAAGCCCGCTTGTGGCGGGCGGTTCGACCACTCTAGTAAGTGTGGGGGAAAAAAAGAAGAGGAGGGAGGATCCATCACCGAAAAGGATGGGGGGTGGCGTTAACAACATCCGTCCGCGTGTGTTTCGAACGGATCACAGGAAAGAGAACTAAGTGATGGATGGAGTTAATGGAGTTTTCAGGACTCTGGAGCAAATCAATGCAAGTACAGGCATTGCTCTCGATGAAGAGGCTTGAAAAGCATTACCGACTCTCTGGCTGTTGCTGGCTGTCAATTGGCTTTGGATCGGATCAAGCTGGACTGAATTGGATTGGCCTTCCCGGATCGCTCAGCCATGATTATTCCTCCCCCTCCATCAGCCGTCGTCATCGTCTCTCGTCAGTCTCACTCGCTCTCGCTCTCGCTTGACAGCTCAGATCAGCTTCGCTTGGCTCGGTCTTCCTCTTGATTTGAAGTTGATTTGATACCAGGCCAGACAAGGGAGACACTTGGCGAGAATGGCCAATGCATGCATCGCACAAAGGGGGACGATCCGGCCTGACCGGATCTGCTTCTCTCCCATTGAGCCCTTGTTGGCTTTTCCCTTGCTTGCCGGCTTGATTTGACAAATTTGATTACTCTGTGCTTCTGTGCACGGCATACCTTTTTTTTTAACCTGTATTACACACTCCAGGCTCCAAAGGGGAGAGAGCCCTTTGATTGATCAGCAGCCGAGCGGCTCTCCCATAGACGACGAAGAAGAGCCGCCCCCCCTGCCCATCGACTCGACCCCAACTAGTGTCCACATCTGGGCCATGCCGTTCCATCACGCTTGCTGCTAGTTCCCAGGCCTAGTGTACCTGTATTCAGCAGAATTATCCCGCGGCAGCCCGCGCATGACACCCCAAATCGCATTCTGGAGGGGGGGGGACAAAGAACGACGAGAGAGAAGCGCGTAGATCCCGTCGCACAGCAGTAAAAAGAGGACGATGCGCGCCATCTCACCCAATACGGTTGAGTCGCCCGTCCAATTGGATGCTCTCCTATCTACTTCGTGCCCTTCTTCCCTTCTCATGTGAGGGCTCAATACGGCCCGCCTGGCGCTTTGACGTGAATAGAAATCCACTCCCGCAACGCCTCTCCGCTCTTAGGGGGGCCTTGTCTTCTGTTGCTACAGATAGATGCTGGCTCTAGCTCGACGGGAAGCTTATCTCCAGGTAAAGTGTGTAGTGTAGTGTAGTGTAGGGGTAGATGGAAAAGAGAAGATGGATGGGGGTTACTACGATGCGACATCGTGACAGTGACGGGTGATGGGTTGAAACAGATCACGGGCTCGTAGTCGTCGCCCGTAAAGCATCAAGCACTTGCGTCATTGCCTCGATTATTTCTCTCGCTTCTTCTCTTAACCCACACCCCTCCCCCAAAGCCCTTCCTGCTGGTGTTTCTTCTTCCCCCTTCGTTCGGCTCCGACGTTTTGGCATCTGCTGCGAGATTTGCGATCCCAGCTAGCTTGCCAGTAGAGCAGCACATGGGCATCTCTAGTCTGTCTGCAGACCAAAGCAAAAATATGCAGTAGATGGCTCCGTAGCTTCTCAACAGACGAGCCTCCCCTCCCCTCCTCTCCCCTCCCCTCCCTTTTTGCGTGTGATTCCCCCACCTACGGCTCTTCCCACTTGCATTTTGCGGAATTTCCCTCAGTCTTTTGGGGGGCGTGTTTGGGAAATCCCCGCCGCTATGCTCCTGTTGTTGCGGCTGCCACGGCTGCAGTCGACGACGTCTTGTTCCCGCTCCTTTGTTTCTGCCCCTTGACCGGAGAGAAGCAGCGAGCAAAGACGCGCCATGCAACTATTTTGCATAACCGCCTATGCAACAGGGAATGATCCCATGTGGCTGGAGGGGCCTTGCTGATCAGCGTGCTTGTCACTGTTAACTCGCATTAATTAAGGCACAGGCAGATCCAGGGTGCTGCTCTGTGCTGTGTTCTATGCAGAAACGGTATAAGATGGACGGAGGAGCACGGCAGTTGAGTTAGCCTGTGTAGATGTGGCCCGTTGCCAAATGAGGCTTCTTGGAATAAAGACGTTCTGTCTAGTTTAATGATTTGTTCATCAAGAGAGGCATATTTGATTTTATTTGATTTTTATTATTTTGTAGTTGTAGATCCTAAGGATATGGATATGTAGACGGTCTCTACAAACAAGAGCATAGGCGCTGTAAACGAATTCGTTCGCTCAGGTAGCACCTATAAGAGCATGGCTTCAGTGGCTGCAAGCGTTAAAAGCGACCGCAATAGCCTACTACCCCACCCACTGATCCCAAAACATCAGCCAATTTAACAGAGAAAAAAGGGCAAAAAAGAACAAGAAAAGATGGTTAAGGCGATGATAGTTTTATTTACTACTAATCTCAATTTCAATCTCAATTTCCTTTTAATTCTTATTTCCATTCCATTAGCATCGCACGATATCGCCTCATATTGCTTCGCAGTTGTTTGAAATCTGACCAAGGTGTACTTTGAAATATCACTCCCTCTACATCTGCCTCATTTCCTTCAGCCTGTAGCAACGTTTTCATCAAAGTACCCTTCCAAAAAAAATAATAGAATCAATCCGAATAGTCATTGCTCGCACTCTCGGAGGATAGTCAGGGCCGCACAATCTGCGCCGCTGCCACTGAATTCGCAAATCTGCTTCAACACATTGCACCTCTTCTTGACTGCAATCGAACTCTGTCCCACAAGCACCGCGAGGATCTTGGTAGAGAGCTCTTGTGCCGACCAGCCATTCTTCGTGTTACGAGTACCCCATTTACCGATGCCGAGATATTCAACACGCTGAGCGTAATCGTAGCAATCGGTCCACGCGGGGATAATGACTTGAGGGACACCGGCACTATCATTTGTTTTAAAACTCTGTGTTAGCCAACTGTTAAAGCAATGGGAACTGTAAGATGAGACTCACACAACAGCCTCATTGTAAGAGTTCGCTCCACCATGATGGATAGAGCAGACGACAGAGCCGCTTCGAAGTACCGCAAGGGGGTCAGCTTGGACCCAATCCTTGACGCGAATTCGGTCCTGTTGGAATGCTTGGCAGAGGACTTGCTCGATTCTGCATCCGGGTAGGAACACAGAGTATGCGCCATACTTTCTGAGCTTCCAGAGGACTTGGAGGCGACCCTTTTCGACCTGCTTATCAAGCTCGTTAATGACAATCTTGAGGGCTTTTGCTAGCTCAACTGCCTGGTCCTCGGTCATTTTGACAAGAGATCCCATGTTCACATAGATGGTTCGTCCCTCTGCAAGCCATCCAGCCAAGTCAGGCTCGGAGACCCAAACAGAGACGGGCTGGCGAATGATGGGGCCACAGCAAACAACATGAGCAGGGACCTTGAGCGGGAAATCAAGCTGCGGAAGGGAAGCTACTAGGATCTTGACGTTCTCCGGGCGACGTCGTATGAGATCCATAGGGGTTCGGAGAACAGCGTGAGCAGTGAGGTATGACTGCACATCCTTTCTCTGGGGATCCTTCTTGAATGCCTTTGCGGTGAACCTGACATAGTATGCGTTCAAGAGGACTTTATGCCAAGGGACAGGATAGGAGAATCCAGAGAAGAGCCTTGAAACGGTTTCAAGCAAGCGTTAGCGCAGTAGATGGGTAGAAGAGTAGATATGACGTTTGTTTTCGATTTTAACTCACGCTGGGAACTTCCAAAGGCTCGCACCTCGAGGCTGGTCCGACGCTGCAAACTCCTTGATGGATTTAGGGCTGAGGCAAATGAACTTGACGTTCAAATGAAAGCAGGCCGTCAAACCTGCCGCCATATAGCCGTTGACCACGACTATAGTGGGCTTAACCTCTCTAACAATATTGACAATAGAGGCAAAGAGGTCGACCATCTGACGTCCCGTATACGGCATATGGACCGCGGCAGCGTCTTTAATGGCTTTGCGAGTGTTTTTAAAGCCAGGAGGCTGGATGAAAGAGAGGGGAAAGGTAGGGCCGTTCTGCTTGCGAGTGAAGTGGTCTTCAACTGCCTGCATCAAGGGCAAACCGTTGATCTGGTGATAGGTGGCTCCTGCAGGAACATCATCTTGGAAACCAGGAGGAGTAGCAAGATGGATTTCAACAGTGATGTCTGCATCGCGGAGAGACTGGGCGGTAGCGAGGAAGACGTTGAGCTCGCCAGGCTCAACGTCGGTGATGAATAGGACTCTCTTGGGTCTAAAAGGAGACATTTTGGAGCTCCGAGAGAAAAGAGGCCTGAATAGAGAGGAAGAGGAAAAAGAGGAAAAAGAAGAGAAGAGAGGGGAGAAAAGAAGAGGGGAGGGGAGAGGAGGTCAGGGTAAGATAGGAAGGAAGGAACGGGTGGTAGGAAACTTTGCCAGCTGCCATACGCACCGCCCAGCTGCACTCGACGAGCAGTCACTCAGCAGTCACTTTTTGTTTACTCTTCACTCACCTTTGCCAAGACGGTTAAACAGAGGGCTTTCAGACGAGCCTTAGACGAGCCCTCTATCTAATCGAAAGCCCTCCATTTTCTGTTCCTATCACCTTTTTTCAAATTCGGATCGTGAATCCGGCAACCTTATCTAGATCCTATTCAGACATGCTTCCCCACCAATCCATGTCTCGAATATGTATGTTAAACACTGTAGAATGTTAAAAAAATGTACAATCTTTAAAAAAAAGTGATTCGATTTCAAGACGGAAGCGATCTGCACGCTTTCAGACCTATACATATTGCGAAAACAAATTTTGGATAATTTTATACTCTTAGTTTTAAATCTAGCCGAAAACGCTTGTAAAGCTACAACTTCCTCCTTATTGGAGATAATGCCAAGTGAGACATCCGCTTCTATACATTTAAAAAAAAAACAGATGCTACCGCTTTCGGCCAACAGTATAGGAAAACGCATGCCGCTTCAATCCGTTAAAAAAAAAAGTCGATCAAAAGACTTGCTATTCTGCAGAATATCAATGCGCGAAAGCAACAAATAGATCTTTGGTGGTGCTCTTTTCCCCAATCAGGACTCACTGTTGCTGTTGCAGCATAGTAGGGCGAGCCGTGATTAACAAACGCGAGAAACAAAAATGTGGCGTAAATGTCTTACTTTCAAAGAACGACACGCTGGTCCGCATCCTTCCTTTGACTCTTATATATCGAAATATGCCCTATTCAACCGCCAGCATCACATCATGCCACCTGGGCAAAAGTCCTCTCAATCGCCTCCGAAAGCTCTCTCACCGTTACCTCGTCTCTAGGAACGGTGTGGCCCTTGCCATGATCGAATAGAATGGCCGTATCCTCGTCACATAGTCCGTACAGCGCGACTGCGCCATGAATATATGGATCACTGCAGCCCACTACGTGGCACGTCGGTATATCAATCACCACGTCGTGCTCATCCGCGAGCAGCGTCTGAACGCGCCCATCCACGATGCGAACTGGGGGCCAACCGGCAAAGAAAATGGCGCTCTATTGGCCCGTTAGAATAACGCAAACATCTCGTGGAGATCAAGACAACGTATAGAAGAAGGGAGATGGAGAGAGGGTGCAAGAAAGGACGTCGAACCTTGATGTGTCGAGGCCGGCCTTGCTCTCGAAAGAGACGCTGCTCTTCAAGAATCAAGGTGGCCGCCGTCGTTGCTCCTTCTGAGTAACCAAGAATGCCCTTGTTTTATCCCAATTACGTCAACAATTAATACCCATATCACGGCCGGTTACCAGAACTCACATCAATTTCCGGATCATCGTCCAGAATCTGTAGCAGCCGGCTTATGGTCTCAATCACAGCAGGAGCAGCAAACTGCTCTTTGTCGGCTACCAGCTTCCGCATCGTCTCCTCAGGCGAGTTGCCCTGCGGCATATCTCGAATGTTAATAATCATTTGCTCCAGCTCGCTTATGCCATCAATGTCCATGAATCGGTACAACGGCGGAGCACCAAAGTAGTCGTCAAAGCCAGGCGGTGGCGTCGCTCTCGCAAACCCGTTGATCCATTTGAACTCCACGCCAGGTCGAGTTGTAGCGTCAGTGAATATGCCAAGCTGGACTTTGAAGTTCTGGGCAAGATATGAATAATCAGCAACGAAAAAAAAAAATCCTATTTGGTGTTTCGAAACTCACGGAAGCACTGCCAAAGGCTCCGTGGAGGCAGAGAACCTTCATGCTGATCAAGGTAATTCTAGGTGAATATTATATAACCTGTGCAAGCTTCAGGCCCAAGTCAAATAGCAGAGGACCGGTGAAAAGGTTACCCTTTCAAACACTTCTATTTCCCTCGTGAAGCTTGTTCTTTTTTTATCTCGAAAGTCTGTGTACCATGTCAATAATTGAGATCATCTATCCCCTGATTCAGTTCAAATCACCAACTGCGTAATAGGTGTCTCGCTCTTATCTGCAAGGGATGGAAACTGTAGTAGCGCGACGCCGAAGAAGACGCGTCTAGTCTGAGACCGCGTCGTGTCGTACCACTTTCAAACCAGATATTGATGAATTCAATTATGAATTGTAGGATTTATACATTTTGGTTGGGCAAATATTTTCCACATGTACCTGTCATCATAGGCAAACGTGCCAACTACCGAGACCCAGTCGAAAGAAAAGAACGAGGTGGTCAACATCCAAGGTATGATGAATCCATATCGCACAGCAAGCCATCGGCCCATGGTGGCAAGACGACCAGGAATTTGGCACAAAGCCACATTTTGAAGCCATCAGATGACATTGCCGCGCAGCTTGGTGCCGTTTATTGTTCGACAGGATAACCGCCTCTCTTGGCGGCGGGTATTCCTGTTACACTGCAGCAAAATTCCCCCCCTCTGGAAGCCCCATTTTTGACAGCTTGTCACATATTCGCCGAAGTGCAATCTGACTGTTTTTTGTTCATCCTCCTGTATGGCATCAGTAAAATAAAACACGTATCAGCATGATTCTATCTCTATACATAAGCTTATCTTGAATGCTATAAATCTCTCTTTCCCATAACGGACAGAATAATGCGTCTGCGTGTTTTCATTTATATGTGGTGGCTGTCAAGCATCGAAGCAGATATTACTAAGAATTCATGTAAGGGGGTTTAGTACGGCCTTGCTTCGCAGCACTTTTAGACTTTGCCAAATTCGCACACATCTGCGTCCTGTATGTAACCGTAATTTCACTGGTGTTATACCGCAGTACCATAGCGGAGGCTTTGGCATGATATATAAGGGTATTAAAATTTCAGCTTTGCTCCTGCACAAGCCATAATAACGATCGATGGCTCGTCGATGCCTGGACTTCTTACTCAAGCTCTCTAGCGTTACTCTACAAGTACTTCAGAATCGACTTGCGATCCCTTGATCGACACACCGCTAATTAAAAAAAGGAAAAAAAGAAAAAAAAAGAAAAGAAAGGTATCCATATGATCCAACGACTCAATGCACGCTGCACATGGGAGGAGACACGGCGGGAGGAATTAGTGAGACATGCCATCACAAACAAGGGTGAACCCAGGGCCGCCTCTAATTTCGTACGACAATATAGTAATTTTTAAACACATATTATTAGTATTAGTATTAAGCAGAGAACCGCGAGCTGACATTCTTGTAATACTGACAAGGTGGTTGCGTGGCGTAGAAGCTCGAACGTTGGTTGCAAATTCTTGATGCCAGTAAGCCTCGCGAATCCTGGTCGGAAAACAAAACCTAACGGGTACGGTAAGACATTGATCTTCATTTCAATTAAATAGTGTCTCTCATAGAACCCTTTGTAATTGTTATCCTTATCAACTCCTGCTGTAGAGCGATATGTCAAGACATCAGTCTTAAATAACCTTCTCCGCACCTTTTTCGCTTCTTCTCTCGCACCACCATTGAGGCTTCTCCTTCTGCTTCTCCCTTTGGCATCTTTTTGTAATGTAATGTAAAAAGGCTCTAGGTAGAAGCTTGGTCTATTTCCCTTGAGATCTCGAAAGAGACGCTCAACTCACAGCTCAACATGGCGTCTTCAGACGCGGACGAGACCCAAAAGGCTCCTATGCCTGTCGCCATCGTCGGCATGTCTTGCCGTCTGTCAGGCGGTGTCTCGACTCTCGACGACTTTTGGACTATGTTATCACGTTCTCGTGATGGCTGGAGACCTATTCCTGAAGAACGATACTCAGCCAAGGCATACCATCACCCTGATCCTCACAAAAAAGGCTGCTTCAACCAAAAAGGTGGATATTTCATGACTGGCGATTTATCAACGTTTGACGCACCGTTTTTCAATATCACAAGGCAGGAAGCTGAAGCCATGGGTATGAAGCTCTTTCCCCTGCACAATGATACATGCGTATATGCGTATATGTATGTGAGTTCCAGATAGCTTACCCATATCTTTATTAGATCCACAACAGAGACATCTTTTGGAGTGCACGTATGAAGCTTTAGAGAATGCTGGAATTCCCAAGCAGGCTATTGCTGGCAGCAACATGGGCGTGTTCATCGGCGGCACTGCCTCAAATTATCATCTTGGTACTTTGAAAGAGCTAGATCAGGTACCAATGTATGATGCCACTGGTAACCACCAGTCCATTCAAGCTGGCCGCATCTCTTACTACTTCAACTTGCATGGCCCTTCCTTCACAGCAGACACGGCCTGCTCGTCCGGTTTATACGCACTGCATTTGGCGGTACAGAGTATCCGTTCAGGAGATTCGGACTCTGCCATTGTCGCAGCGTCCAGCTTGCATCTTCAGCCTCATTACATGATTTCCATGTCCGGATTAGGGTGAGTTTGTGTTTTATCGCATACAAGTCAGCCCTCTCTTCGAATACCAAATGAAGTCTAACGTTTTCAAGGCTTTTTAACGAACAAGGAAAGACATTTGCTTTCGATCACAGGGCAAAGTCGGGTTTTGCTCGAGGCGAAGGCACAGGCTGTCTTATTCTGAAACCACTTCACAAGGCGCTGGCAGACAACGACAAGATATACTCGGTCATTATCAACACTGGCGTCAACCAAGACGGCAAGACCTCAGGACTGACAAATCCTAGCGGCGATGCGCAAGAACAGTTGATACGCGATGTTTATGCTAGAGCTGGCATTTCTCCAGAAGATACTGGATACGTGGAAGCCCATGGAACCGGTACGCGAGCCGGTGATCCTATAGAAGCTAATTCCGTTCATCGTGTTTTTGGAAAGGGGCGTACAAAGCGCGCGCCATTATATATGGGCTCAGTAAAGTCCAACGTTGGCCATTTAGAAAACGCAAGTGGAATTATTTCCATTATCAAAGCATCAATAATGCTAGACAAGGGTTTTATTCTTCCCAACGTCAACTTTGAAAAGGCAAATGAGGCCATCCCCCTCGATGAATGGAACATCAAAGTTCCAACCAATATCCGACCGTGGCCACGGAACAAGCGCTTCATCAGCGTTAATAGCTTTGGATTCGGAGGATCTAATGCGCACGTTGTGCTTGAGAAAGTCCCAACGTCCTTCGTGGACCTTCCTCAAGATAACCAGAACACGACTCCGAGACTATTCGTGTTATCAGCTCATGATGAAAGCGCTGTCAAGCGAAAGGCCGAAAAACTTGGCATATACATTGAACAACACCCCGAAGTCTTCCAGAAACGATTGGTCAATGACATGGCTTACACACTTGGGGAGAGGAGGACACATCTGCAGTGGCGCATCGCCATTACAGCATCCTCGTGTAGTGAGCTTGCAAATGCTCTCAACAGCGTCAGTGCCACTCCTGGGGTAGTGCCTTCCAAGGAGCCAAAGGTGGCACTCGTATATACCGGTCAAGGAGCTCAGTGGGCAGGGATGGGAAAAGAGCTTATGAAGAGTCATCCAATCTTTGCCAAAGCTATCGAAACTTGCAGCAACTATCTGCAAACAATTGGTGCTGATTTCTCGCTGTTGGAAGAGCTCGCCAAGAGCAGCGAAGAGACACTAGTCAACGAGGCACACATCTCGCAGCCTGCATGCACAGCCATACAGATTGGCCTTACAAAACTGCTGGACGTTTGGGGAGTTTCACCTTCGGCAGTCATCGGCCACTCCAGTGGTGAAATTGGCGCTGCCTTTGCTGCTGGTGCCGTGACCCTTGAGGATGCTATGTCCATAGCCTATTGGCGCGGAAAGGTTTCATCAGAAATGAAATTCAAGCATCAGGATCTCCGCGGTGCCATGCTTGCTATCGGTGCTGCAGCTCAAGATATCAGAGTCATTGTTAAGACCCTGGGGCTACAAAGGGTCAATGTAGCCTGCGAAAACTCTCCAAATTCCATTACGGCTTCGGGAGACGAAGAAGATGTCGATAGACTGGCTGCTGAACTAGAAAGTCGAGGCATCTTCAATCGCAAATTGCGGGTGACAATGGCATACCACTCCGCTCACATGCAGCTAGTTGCAGATGATTACAAGGCTGCCATCAAATATGTGACATCCAAGGACTCCTCAAATGTTGAGTTTTATTCATCGCTATTCGGGAAGAAAATTGACTCGACAACATCACTCGGCCCATCATACTGGGTCGAGAACTTGACACAGCCCGTTCTCTTCTCTTCGGCTTTCAAAGAGCTTTATCTTGATACAGAGCCGGACATCGTTATCGAGGTTGGCCCGCACTCTGCCCTTGAGGGTCCTATTAAGCAGATCCTGAAGGCTATCAGCCCTAAAGTTGCTTTAGGAGTCAAATATTTGCCTTCTCTCGTTCGTAACCAGCATGCGACCTCATCGACCTTGAACTGCGCGGGTAGCTTGTTTCTCAAGGGCTACCCAATCAACTTACGGAGAATCAACCGTCCTAATCAAGGCGTACGAGCCCCTACACTTGTCACGGACTTTTATCCATATGGTTGGTCGGAGCACAAGTACTGGTTTGAGCCTCGGTCAGCTAAGCAGATGCGCCAGAAGCCGTTTAATCGTCACGATCTCCTAGGCCTCTTGGAAGACTCTTTTAGTGATGTCGAGCCTAAATGGAAAAATGTAATTTCCACAGACGATGTGCCTTGGCTTAAGGATCATCGCATGCAATCGCTAGCCACGTTTCCTTTAGCGGGCTATATCTGTATGGCTATAGAAGCAGCGTCACAGCGAGCACAGCTACGAGGTATCCCAATTACGCAAATCGAAGGCTTCCGTCTCCGAGAGATTCAAATTTCCAAAGCTCTCATACTAGATGATGGCGTTCCGTACGAGATGGTGTTCTCTTTGAAGCCTTATGCTGAGGGCACCAGGTCCTACTCTAATGAGTGGGATGAATTTCGAATTTTATCGTGGAATTCAGCCAGAGGTTGGCTAGAGCATTGCAGAGGATTGGTCGGAATTAAGAAGGTCGTACCAGCTAATCCAGTCAATAGTGCTTTACTACAAGCCGCCTCTACTCGCCGTCAACATACCAAGACAATGGACTGCCATCAGCTTTCCATCAATGATTTCTACTCTGAGCTAGAGGCCCGAGGAGCTGGATACAGCGGAGTCTTCAGGATTCCGTCAGATGCTGATTTGAGGCTCGGTGAGAAATATACCACCGCGTCTATAACAATTCCCGATACAGCAGCTGTCATGCCGTTGTCTCATGAAACAACATCTATTGCTCCATCAGCATTTATAGACCTGTTTTTTCAGCTCACGTTTCCGATACTGGGTGCTGGAAGCGGCAAGATGCCTTCTCTTTTTATGCCCTCTGCCGTCAAAGAGATCGATATAAGCAGTGCTTTGCCAAACAAACCAGGGGATCGGGTGCAAGTCGTTGTTAACGGATACCTAAATTTTGAAGCCCCTGGACCTGTTGACTTTTTTATTGATTCCTGGTATCAAGATTCCGCTGTGCCCGTGGTAAAGATGAGTGGATTCAGAACGACACCAGTTAATGGCGATATCGTTGAGAGCATGAATCCGCGATCTATCTGTTACAAGGTGGAATGGGAACCTCTTGATGCGGAGAACAAGCAGCCGATAAAACAAGACGTAAAGAACGGTATTACTCAAAACGGCCACAAGGTTAAGAGTTCTATCGATCGAACATCAGCGATTGGTAACGGGCAAAATAACCACACCAGCAATGGCCATCGAGCCCCCAATGGCACTAATGGCGCCAAATCTCACACAAATGGACACCACAAACTCAAAGAGTCTCTCGGAGAAGTCAATGGAAATGGCGCTAAATCTCACACAAATGGACACCACAAGCCCAAAGAGCCTCTTGGAGAAGTAAATGGAAATAGTGTGGAAAATGGCAGCACCAAACGGTTGAATTGCGATCTTGCAGAGCAAAGCGTGAATAACAGCTTAGATGATGTTGATTTCGTTGTAATCTCCCAACATGATGGTAACCATCTGCTTGAAAGGGCTCTCTTGGATCTGCTGGCGCTGCGCACCGCGAAGACTCCACGCCTAGTTGCCTTGTCTGATGTCGTTCCTGAGCCGACCGCTTGTTACATCTGTTTGGTTGAAATAGACAAGCCGATATTTACCAACCTGACAGTCGAAACTTTTGAGAAATTGCAGAATCTGTTCACAGTCTGCCATTCCATGCTCTGGGTGACGTCTGGGGCGTATCGCTTTGCAGAGAACCCAGAAAACAATATTGCGCAAGGTTTCTTACGTACGGTTCGTTCTGAGGCAAACAAAGCTGTAGCCTCTCTTGATTTAGATCCTCGTTCTAAATCCGATGCTCGTGACACCGCTGAGCTCATCCTTCGTGCAGTCAAAGTCTCAGTTACGATACCCGAGGACGATGCTCCTGTGGATTACGAGTTTGCGGAAGAAGAAGGCAAGTTGATGGTACCTCGTGTTGTCAAGCAAGATGACATGAACCTCGCAATCTTCCATGATACAGAAACTTCAAACTCGCCACCTTATCCACAACCGTTTGATCAGCCTGGACGGCGTCTCACTGTGGCTGTCGGTACCTATGGTGCTCTTGACTCTCTGTACTGGAAGGATGAGCGTGAAACGCCTTTGGGGCATGAAGAGATAGAAATCAAGGTGGCGTGCACAGGAATGAACTTCAAGGACGTTGTCATCGCTATGGGTCAAGTATCCAGCCCATATCTCGGCGTCGAATGCAGCGGCACTGTGTCTCGCATCGGTTCTCGTGTGGGTTCCTTGAGGGTTGGCGATCGAGTCTGTGCCATGTCACTAGGCGCATATGGCACATACTCTCGATGTCTTGCTTCCAGCGCGGCAGTTATTCCCCATGACATGAGCTTTGTGGTAGCAGCATCAATCCCCGTCGTATACTGCACCGCATATTACGGTATCATGGATCTGGCCAGGCTAGAATACGGCGAGAAGATCTTAATCCACGCTGCATCTGGCGGCGTTGGCCAAGCAGCCATTCAGCTGGCGCAGATGGTTGGCGCTGAGATTTATGCCACCGTTGGAAGTGCAGACAAAAAGCAGTTCATTATGGATAAATATGGCATTCCAGACAGTCATATTTTCTATAGTCGAGATGCTACCTTTGGCCCAGCCGTCCGAGAGGCTACAGGTGGCCGTGGAGTTGATGTCGTACTCAACTCGCTTGCAGGCGACCTTCTTCGCGAAACGTGGGACTGCCTTGCGCCTTTTGGGCGTTTCATTGAACTAGGCAAGCGAGATATCACGAATAACACAAGGCTTGAGATGGCTAAACTCGAGTATAACTGCACCTTCAGCTCGGTTGATTTGACCCTTGTTGCTGCGGAACGACCCAGAATCTTGGAGCGCACTTTTGCGTCGGTGATGCGCCTTGTCGAAAATAAGACAATCAGGCCCATTGAGCCCATTACTTCTGTCAGCATCCAAGATGTCGAAGGAGCACTTCGCAAGTTGCAAAGCGGCAAAACAGTAGGAAAGCTGGTGGTGACACATGGTGGCTCTTGTCAGGTCAAGGTTACACATCCTCCACCTCGCTCAGATGTTCTGGAGCGCGATGCGACATATGTTATAATTGGTGGGACAGGTGGCCTGGGACGGTCCATCACACGACGAATGGTCAGCCGCGGCGCTCGACACATCGTCTTGCTCTCTCGAGGCGGTAATGAAACAGATAGCGTGAAAAAATTGGTGAAGGAGAGCCGAAAGCTAGGCGCTTCGATATACGTTCTGCCTTGCGATGTTGCTGATGAGCAAAAGGTGAAGGAGCTAGTGGATGAGCTGCAAGATGATCTGCCACCTATCAGAGGCATCATTCATGCTGCTATGGTTCTTAGAGTATGTTCCTCCCCCCTGATAATCCTCCCAGTATTGAAATTCTGTTAAACCCCAGTTGCTAACGAATGCCTTAGGACGTGCTTTTTGAAAAGATGACTTTTGAAGACTATGAAGCTGTCGTTAGAAGCAAGGTCTCAGGAGCCTGGAATTTCCACAACGCCCTCATCAAAACTCCACTCCAGTTCTTCATTGTCCTCTCCTCTGTCGCTGGCATAGTGGGCAACCGCGGCCAAGCACATTATTCTGCGGCCAACACGTACCTTGACGCCCTTGTCCTACACCGACGCCGGCAAGGTTTGGCAGCCTCATCTATCGACCTTGCTGCCGTAGAGGGCGTTGGATACTTAGCTGAAAACGGCGCCAAAATGTCACAGGTCATGAGGAACTTGTCAAACAACACCCTGGGCGAGGCAGAGGTTCTGGCACTGATCGAATCTGCAATGACGGGCAAAGTCGACCGTTTCTGCCAGGGCCAAGTCATCACGGGGCTAGGCTTTGACAATGCATCGTCAATGCCGTTTTATGCCTCTGATGCCAAATTCTCTCATCTGCGTGAAGCTTTGCTCGCCGCATCAGCCGACGCTGACGCCTCGTCGGGATCTGAGGGCTTGTCCATTTCTCAACAACTACGAAGATGTAAAACTGCCGAGGAGGCTCAAGAAATCGTGACGCTTGGTCTTCGCGATAAGCTCGGCGCCATTCTGATGCTGTCAGAAGAGGTGATGGCAGCACGACAAGGAAACACGTCCATCACCGCTTTTGGACTGGACTCGCTCAACGCAATTGAGCTCCGAAATTGGATTGGAAAAGAGCTCCAGGCTCATTTGCAGGTTCTGGAGCTGCTGACTAGCGGGCGAGTCGCAGATCTGGCTGGTCTGGTGCTGCGAAAGTCGAGAATCGAGGGAGTCTGGACAGAGAAGTGAGAGAGAGTCGGACCTTATCTGGTGAGAGCGAGAATTGTTAGTTGCTTCATGTGAAAAGCGAACGGCGGGTTAATAATTAGTTGGGCATTACAAACCACTTGAATATTGTGATAGAACGAATGAATCTTTTCTTTTCGTTACTGGTGATGATTTCGCCCCGCCATCCAAAGTGCAATGACGTGCATAGACTGTTGCTGCCTCAGGAACTACGACCATGCAATCGATAACAGATCTTCTTATCTAAGCGAGTTTTATGCGACCTTGCCCAGATGGGCAATTATCATTTCATGCAAAAAAAAAAAATCGCCTCTGCTATTTGAAATGGTCGTGAACTATCGCAAATACTCACCTACAAGAAGACATTTCTGTGGCGGCAGATCGGTATTAAAAAGCAGCGAGGCTTGCGGCATCTTCCGTATGGCGCTAAACCTGTGCTGAACAATTTTGCCAGAAGAGGAAATGGGGATGCACTGGCCCGCTAATCGCCCTATTCCGCCCCTGGCAAAGACCAGTGGAGATGCTTCAGTAACCAGACCGCGGTGGTGACATCAATGGCGCACACCTACCCTGTGAGACTGGAATTACCAAAAAGGGAAATGGAAGAGAAGCTTAGGATCGACGATAGGTTGTAATGTGGGGAGCTGTGTGATGCGAAATAGGGTTTGCTCATGGTGTTGAGATTTGAAATCCGACATTTGAGATAGGCTTCTGTAAAATTCGGGAAAGGCATATATAGATGATATGGATTCTCAGGAAGTTGAGATATTCCATCACAGCATCACTTCGCAGCATCAACAAGCAAAAGCAGTTAAAACAAGCACTACTAGCAACATCACTTTGCAACTCTCTCAGAGCTAATACAACTCATCCGCCATTCACCATGAGCAACAATGTTCGATCCCAAGATCTCCCTCTTTCCGGCGTTGCCCGAGATGGCTGGTCAACCGAGACCGAAGCCACAGCCACCTGCTTCTGCGGTGCTGTGCAAGTGGTAGTTGTATGTTGCTTGCCCTTTCATATCTACAGCATAGGTAACAATGCGGGAACTAACACCATAAACAGCCCATTGTGGCTCCAGGCCTGGTCAATACCTTTGTCTGCAACTGCTTCGACTGCCGCAAAGTCACCGCATCCATGTTCGCCTCCAACTTTACCATCGACAACTCTTACCTCAAGTACATTCGTGGCGAGGACAATATCACTCGCTGGGGCCAGAGCAAGACACCTGCTTCTGGAACCGAAATGACCAACGGCTTTTGCAAGACATGCGGCACGCTCATGTATCGCAGGAGCGAACTCTTCCCGAACAAAAGCTACATGAGAATCGGCACCGTGGACGATTTCAACCTGCACGAAACCAAGCTCAAGCCTCAGGCCGAGATCTTCACTGATAGCCGTGTGAATTGGTGGCATGGAGTGGAGGGAGCCAAGGCCATGCCAGGTCCTTTCAAGACAGCCTCCATGTGACTACGTGAGAGGAAGACGAGACTGTAAACGGGCATTAGACAATAGATGTACTATACGATAGAGGTGTTTGCGGGAGTGTTCTAGACTGATGAATAGACTCTTTTTTCTTCCATTACTCCGTATTACATGCACCTTTCTCCTGTCTGACGTGTCAGGAATGTGGCTGCTTACCGTACAGCGCATTTGCATAGATATTTAAGCATAGCTACATGCTTCGTGTAATGTACCTTCTATCCACTAGTACCTATGCACACAGGTAGGAAATATGAAGTAGAGAGCCTCACCTCATCCCATCCTGGGCGCTTGTGGTAAACCATGTGTGCTGCTGAAAGCATGATTGGTGCAACTATTGCCAAGGTACAAGATGCCCCTCCCGTGTCTCGCGGTGCTATCCGAGTCGGAGCGATGGTTCCGTCATACATTCCGCCGTCACACAACACCATGATCCCACCTCGTCCGCAGCGTTGCATTTCAGGTGCCGACGTGGCACATGGCCTTAGCTCTTGGTGACCTAATGCCGCGGATATTTTTTTTTTCTCAAAGAGATGGGCGGGAGGAGCGGGAGCAGCACTGCACTGCGGCCATGTGCCGATGAATCCCTATGGGCTGATGCCGAGTCCAAAATGTGACGTCTTAATGTTCAGCTCCAATGAGGCAACCAGAGCCCAAGGCAACATCGTGCCGTTAACGTTCCGATATGTTATTTTTTTTTTTTTTTTTTTTTTTTTTTTTTTTCGTTCTGCCGAGTCCTTCCTAAGGCTGAGCCCATAGCACGACTATTGTCTGAGTGAGAAGCCCCCGCATCTCAAAATACGATGCTTGGCGCGTTGATCCCGTCCAAAGCTCCTCCGCTAGCGAGGGCCTCTACCTCACCTGCTCACTTACAACGAACGCCCTACTTTGTGCTCTTTCAGCCAGCAATAGTCTATAGATTACGCAATGGAAAGATCGAGACATAATCCTTCGACCTCGTATTATTGTACGACTATTTCATGTACTCTTATTAGCCACTGAATCGAGGTCTCACCGCTAGGTAGATACTCTTTTGGGAAACGCGGTGTTCGTATTCTGAGAGGCCTTAAGCTTAACATGGAAATTTGAGTAGCGCAGATCCCCCGGGATGTCGGCCGTTGGGTGGGGAGGCGGCCGATTCTGTCAAAAATAGTCCATCTTGGCCGTAAATAGAGCATCAACTGGGCGGGTTGCTCGGTTAAGACACGAGTGAAGCGTACCGTACTATTCTCTCGCAAAACTCGGTAGTGGATTGTTGTTTTTCTTACTATGATGCTAGCATAAACCAGCTATCCTATTGGTTATTTTGATCAAAACATGGTTTAATTCTGGGGATATCCACTACCGACTTTTGCGAGGGAATACGATAATATTGAGGCTCAATGAAGCCTGACGCTGTGAGTCTTGAGAGTATAAAAAGGGCAGACTTTTCCTGTTGACATGAGATTTAGAACGACCATCCCAGGCTCTCAACATCTCAAGACTTACATCACAACAATCTTAAAGACATTCTCAAATATTCCCTAAACGAAACTTCTAAACCAATCAACATGAAGTTCACCACCACTGCCGTTGTTGCCATTGCTGCACTCGTTGAGTCAGCCTCTGCCTTGGGCAAAGCTCGCGTTGTCAACAAGTGCCCCTTCAGCGTCACTCTCTGGTCTGTTGGCAGCGCCATCTCTCAGCCAACAACTCTCGCTCAGGGTGGTTCATATGGCGAGACCTTTTCTCGCGATCCTGTCACCGGCGGCCGTGCCATCAAAGTCACTGTCCAGCCTGATGGCCTCTATACCGGCAAGCCAGAGACCATTTTTGCTACAAATCTCCAAGACAACACCATCTGGTACGACCTTTCGGATGTTTTCGGCGATGCTTTCAGCGGGAAGAAAGTGACTGTTACCAGCGCAAATACTGCGTGCCCCCAAATCGTTTGGTCAAACGGTGTTCCTCCTGCGGGAAGCCAAGTCAAGAACTGCGGCGCGGATAAGGATGTGACTTTGACGCTATGTGCTTAAAACAATGCATGCACAAGCTAAGGAAAGGGTATATAAGTTAGACCATGATGTAATTTTAACCTGTTCAAGTCGTATGTTAGCAATGAATAATGAATTATGAAAGTTTTCTGATCCGTCACACATTTGGTGAAACTCAATTTGTCTTGTCAAAAGCTTGACAAAATAATTCACAGAGTCGCGCTTGAACTAGTAATAGTACCAGTATAACCTGAATATACCAATGTAGAAAAAAAAGTAGAAAGTTCAAACCGTCCTGCCTGACGAGTAAAGGCCTGTCATCAACGCGAAGTAATTCGCTATACGTAGATATTGAAATGCTATAGTTAACGCTGTAAAAAACCAACTACAACCACCATAGTGAGACTGTTTAATGGTGCTCAATATGCTTTTTATTTATTTATTTTTGTTATCGCGATATAAATAACAGTGTGCATATAAATGGTGGTTGTGGTCATGGTGGTGTATAACTAAAAGCTTGTTGCTGGATTCGCCCGGTTGCCGCTCAATTCGACCATACAACCTGAGGTAATCATAGAAGACGTTTTAGTATAAATAAATAGATTAGGACTTGCATTTTTGACACAATCGCAAAAAGATTGCATATAGTACAATCGATTGTGGCAAAAAAAGAAATCTCCGATACTGGGAATCGAACCCAGGGCTGCTCGGCACTCGAAGGATGAGAGCGAGCGATGTTAGCCACTACACCATATCGGATGTGTTTCGTGTCATAGACAGCGGATTTTCATCTCATACACTGTCAACAAGACAGCCAGACCAACCTCTATTCTATTGCCGATTTGACCTCCCTCTGCTCTGTTGTCGATTAGACCTACTTTTTCGACCTCTTTCGTAGAGTAAATGTTCTGCAGCTCTTAACTCAATAATATAGTAATGGTAACCTGCGACATTTCCAATATTCTCCGCAATATCGTATGTTTCTCTGAGAAATCTTAAAATTGAGTTGTTCAATATTGCCTTCCTCAGCTGTTGGAGGCGAGATTTTAACGAAGTTTTTTGTTGAGATAATAGGCAGTCGAGACTAATATGGCTATCTCTCCTATGGAATTTCAGACGATGCTTCCTCTGTGGTCAAATATCCTCAAATATCCATGTAAAATACCGTACAGTCTAATGCTTGTGCGTTAGCTTCATAAACGCTGTCTTGATACATCAGCTGCTGAGTAGTTCGTACCGATCACTCATCATTCAACTATACCTGTAGGGGCAGTTCAAGTTCAGTAAAGACCACCCTAGTGGAAGGATTTTATAGCCATGGTTGCTCCGTGGACTTCTCTTATAGGTACGTGTTTTCGAACTCTTTGATGCAGTCGTTATTCGACATCTTTTTTCCTATCATCTGAGTTGCCGGGCTTTCCAAGGCAAATGAACAAGGAAAGCAGGGGGAATGCATGAATAACAAGCCTCTAATAGTTGCTGGTCCCGGTGTATGGTCGCCGTGAATCCTAAAAGTTGGTCTCAGAAGTCCACGATCGAAGTGCTTTAACCTTTGCATGTGATGCCGAGTCATCTAGATTTCTAACATATTAGTTCCTATCTTTAAACATTTTTTTAAGGAGTTACAGATTAATTTCTGCCAAGTGTATTTCTCAACGCCATGCTTGCCCAGCTCTATTTCGTGGTTACGTCCCATAAGCACCAGCCAGATCTAGCAAAATAATTAACGACTGCAGCGCAATTTCTAAACACTCCCATACTTGGAAACCATTTAGATTGATGATATGTGAAGAATGTGAAGATTGAGAATCAAGCAGCTTGAACCGCCAGCGTGGCATTGGTGACGCATGAGCATTTACATTATGATCACGTGATTGAATTCAGGTGCGTCAGATGTCCAGTATAGAGAATTGCAGTAGCGAATTGCAGCAGTTGCAGGCCTGTTGATCATATCGGTATAATTCTTTAGGGCTTATTAATAGTTTTCATTTCCATGAGGCTCAATACTGATGATTTTTTTTTTTTTTTTGTAAAATAATTATTGTATCACAAGAAGTAGTAGAAAGCGTCTAGGTGAGTGGTATAAGTCACAAAGAAAAGTTATATACACATCCTGGGCTAAATCTTTAAAATTCATATACAGTTCTCCATCTTTCAAAACAATTTCAATCTATTATATTTCATACAGATCCTCAATTCGACGGTGCAGCAGCCGTCCAGTTGTATGCCATGTTAAATGGCTGAGTGAGCATGCTCTCGAAATCCTTGGGATTATTCACGTCACCGTAGACCTTTGCCGCTCGAACAAGGAATTGATAGGTCCCTGCAGGAGTGGCTATGCCTTCTTGAGTCATGCCTGTGTATGCAACAATCCATTCTCCCTTTGGAGCGAACGGGATGGGGAAGCCTGGTAGGGTGCCAACAATGTCAGCACCCAGTACATTCGTTGTGTTCACCTTGGACTTTGTATCGCCAACAGCCACGAGATCAACTCGGAAGAGGGGAGATCCAGCATCGATCTGGAGAAGGATAGCAGGATAATCGGGCAAAGGAACAAGAGTCTCATTCCACACTGTCGAAGTTGGAACAGGGACGACATATGTATAGTTTGCAGGGACTGGGTCCAACACGAAAACAGTTTCCCGAATCATGTAATTGAAGTCTGTATCCAGCACTGGGAGCTTAGCCAGGCTACCGACGACTCCCAAGTAGGGAATGGCGAGATTCTCGCCGCTGGTGGCATTGAGGGTAATGTATCCGCTGTAAACGGGCACTTCCGTCGCGTTCAAGCCATGAGGAGGGGTTGCTACAACAGTAATGGCGGCTGAGCCACCTGCTGGAACGGTTACTTTCTTCTCCGAGAAGGAAAGGCTAGCTGCAGCGCCGTCGGCGATGGGATTTGGGAAAGGCGCAGAGTAGTGACCAGTCGAGCCATCTCCAAATGTGTACATGGTTAGAGTTGGGTTGTGATCAATCGTGTACGTGACGCTCTTCTTTCCGGTGTTCTTGATTGCGAAGCTTTTTTTGTTAACAAAGTTGTCCGTGTCATTGAAAGAAATGCTTGAGACGCTAAGTAGAGTTGTTGCGTGGGCAGCATCATAAGCTTGAGCCAAACCACCGCCTTGCTGCGCAACAGGAGCCAACTCGTTATACAGTGTTGTTCCATCATAGAATGGCAGCTGAAGGGCTGTTGATGACAATACGTTCAAAAGAGTCTTGGGGTCTTTGGTGCCTCGTGCCTCCATAAGCAAGGCGTAAATCGATGCCATTAGCGGTGTGGCCATGGAAGTGCCACTCTCAACAGCGTAACTCCCTGCGCTCAGTGGATAAGTAGAAAGAATAGAACCTCCGACTGTGGAGATTGAAGGGTTGACATCTGCTTGCCATGTTGGGCCCCAGCTGGTGAAGGTGTCAATGGTGTTGGGATTGGTAGGGTTAGGGAGGAAACTTGAACCCTTGGGCGCAGATGCTGAGTCGAAAAAGGTCAGGTACAGGTCCTTGCCGCTGTCCAGTTGATCAATCCAGATTTGGCCTTGCAGTTGGGTAGTCATTCCATAACCTACTGCGTCCGAGCCAGGAGAGTAAGCGCTGCATTCAAGATCTATTAGCCTCCAATATGCCGCTGATAAAGGGCAAAACATTAACTTACTTTCCTGACTGGTCGAGCCAGTACAAAATGTATTTAGCATTATTATTCTTTGCAAGGAACTCTGCAACAGTCCAAGTATCACATGGACCAAGGGTATACTGAACAAGAACAATGTAACCACTGAGGTCGGTCGGCGCATTGCTATTGAGAGGGTTGCAAGAGGCATAAGTGCCATCTGTGGTGACATTGGGGGTAATTGCAAATACAGGCAGAGTAATATTCGGGAGTGGATTTCCTCCGTTTGCGTAAACGAATGGAAGCTGGCCAGCTGTGGAAGTTTTATCTGTGTTTGCGTATCCAATGGTACCGTAATACGGTGTTAGCGTATTCTCGACAGACGATACTGCCGTCACGCCTTTGCCGTTGGCTGGGGTGCCTGCAGTGAACAATCCTGCTGAGCCGGAATTACCGTTGGCGACAGCACATGGGACGCCAGCATCCACGATTCTTTGCAAGAGAACGGAGAAGGCGTCCTCTGTCCAACCAGAGGCTCCACCAAGAGACAGTGAGAGAACATCTGACCCGTCTTCGAAAGCCTGGGTGGCTGCCGCCATTGCAACGTCGGCTCCAACATCACCAGTACAGCCAAAGACTCGGTACATGCCAATTTCTGCGCCAGGGGCAGCACCAACAATTCCCACAGGGTTTGACCGAGCACCAATGATGCCAGTAACGTGTGTTCCGTGGGTAGTACAGTTAGCATAGGGCTCAGGGCCAGGAACAGGAGTATTGGAGCCGTCATAGTTGTCACCAACCAGGTCCTTTCCGTAAGTGACTACACAGCCTTTTCCGAAGCATCCACCCAGAGCAGGGTGGTTGAAGTCAACTCCAGTATCGATGATACCGATCTTGATGCCCTTGCCCGTGATTCCTGCATTGTGAAGTTTATCGATCTGAACGGCAACGTGGGGTGAATAGGTGTCGTTGGCGGACTTTGCTCTGTGGATGATATTTGCAACTTCATCCGAGTGGTTAAAATCACCACTTGGTGGGGTGAGTGTTGAGCTTCCTGGGCGCTTTAGAAGGTGAACAGGCCAAGCTTGCTTCACAGAAGGAACTGATGCAATCCTGGCAGCCGTAGACAACGGATCCAGATTAATGGAATTCAACTGAAAAGAAGCTCCTTTGAAAAGAGTAGAGTTGAGACTCTGTCGCTTGGTTGCAGAAAACCCGTGTCTGTGGAGATCGCTAAACAGAGCTGCTTCGTCCTATCCACAAACGTATGTCAGAAGTTGAACGGCCGCATATTGAAACAGACGAAGAGTATATTCATCAGTGGCATTATAAGAAGGGGAAAGCAGGGAGTGAGCCTACATTCTCGTCTTCAAATTCAACAATGTAAGCACCTGGAACAAAAAAGGATTGGCTTTCTTTTGTCCAGCTCTTTTGCCCTTTGGACACCCCTTGGACACCTTGAGCCGCTACACCAGTCCCATCTGCTAGAAGCAGACCCAAAAGGGGCAGCAAGCGGAGGTACGCCACCATTATGTTTTCGCAGACAGCCGCAAGCTTTGGAGTCCTACTGTTATGCTGCATTCGCTGGTCTGAGAGAATGGCGGAGAGGCGAGCTCCCTTCAAGGTTATATACCCGTATATCTCTTCCACATATAAAGGTAGCGTCATATCTGATGCCTACCACCGTCCGTAACGTCCCATTCGCATCTTCCTTCTTGCTTAGCAGTGAACGCCCTCTTAGTTGACATGGTGTGTGGGGTCTTGATTCTTGGCCAAACAGCGACTGTACTTTCGAACGCCATCGCAATATTGTAGATACGATGTGCATGGGATAATAGTAGTAGGTAGTAGTAATTTGACATGGCCTGTCCTGAGGATTCAGGTACAGCCTATCCGTGGTATGACACGGTAAACACGAATACACCTCCAGTAAGCCCATGGCGATTAAAAGAGGAAGGTCGGATTGGAGCCAACAGCTGTACTAACAACTATCGTGAATAGTATTTACATATGTACTCCTGGGTTCCCAGTAAGCGCTCGGGGACCTTCTAAATGGGGACGTTAAAAGCTTACCTCGATCAGGCACAGGGTTTGATATGACTGCTCTGCTCGTACGGATCACAGGTTTCTTGGTACGTATCTATATTGACATGAGTTTATCCTGCGGGTATTAATCTGTAAATTGCTTTGTAGTATCGTTTATATTGTGGGGCATAAAGACCCTGGCTCCCAGCCAAAGGGGATGCCATTTGCGAGCAAAGCGGGCGTGATGGCGTGCCGTGACGAGTTGCGCGATATTTGACAGCGCATATGCCGACATTCAACTTGTTGAACTGTTTTTGAATGGAGATGTTAAGCGTAGAAAGCAGACGATGTATCTGACAGCGATCTATGGCAAGGTCCTGTGTGTATCAAAGATGCGCGAAGAATAGGTTTGTACTTATTGCGGCCCCGTTTATAAGAATATTGTATAAGATATTCTACGCAGCATTGCAGAGGATAGTCTGGTATATCCCGATACAGTCTTCAATGTCGTACTCGAGTAGTACTAATTTCTTCAAAAGTCTAGCCGCAAATATTATGCTCTGGCAGATAGCGCCACCGCGTCCCTGGAAAATCGATGCTTGTAAGATCCCGCTAATACATTCCCAAAGTAGCAGTTGCATGGCGCCATGAGGCTACCTGTTGTCAAGGTCCTTTTCTGGAAAATCATTAGGGCGTGGATTCTTCTCTCCAGCGTTTATGTTCAGCATTATGTTCGGTATGGGCGGCATGCTCATATCGTTCGTATACGCAAGAGATGTTTGTAAAGCTTTGTATTTGGAGAATGTCTGGCCGGACCTAATTTCATACGAGACAGGAATCATCCCTGGTAGTAAGACCCATATTAGTTTTCGTGCAATAGTAATCACGATTGGGTGAAGGATACCTTAGCTTGACCGCTGACCAGAAAAGATCGAGTCCCCAATTCAAAGAGAGGTATTCTTCAAATCGTTACCAGGACATATTATATCAAACCCTGCGCCCTCAGGCAAAAATCGCCTGTTGGTAATCTCTGCCAGACCCTTGTACGTTTTGTCTATAATCATGTATCAGTCCACGTTCAACAAAAGCACCTCGTTTACCAGGCGATGAACAGCAATGTTAGGCTAAAGATGTGCCGTGGTGCTTCGGCGAAGCGGTGGCAATAAGCTGCTTAGAGAAGCTTAGTAGATAAGCTAGCATAGTCCAATAGGGGAAGAAATATGGGAGGAAGGGATTCATCTCTACTTCCCTGTTCAAGGCACTGGCGGAAGATCCTTTTTGAGTTGACTATTTTGTCATGGCTTCTTTAAGCATTATGGGTCTCAGTCAGCCATCCATACATATTATAGCAGAGTCAAGGTTCCTCAGGGAGAGCAATTTTCGTAATAGACTTCGCAGCGCGCCATTCTTAAAACAAAACTCTTCGTAAGATATGGCTGTTGTCGTTCAAAATGCGAGCTTCTGTATTTGCGCCGCCAGAAGGCAGAAAATGTATCACCGACACTGAGAGCCCTTGGTCATCGCCAATTGTGATAGAAACAAACTCTCTGGAGTGAGTATTGTATTTGGTGTGACACCCTTTATTCCCATTACTTTCAAGATTGGTTTGATATCGTCTATGAGATTCGAGAATCGATATCCAGCGCAAAACGAAAAATGCAAACTTAACCAGTGTAGCGATCGGTTACCAAACATAGATTGTCTTTCATGGGGTAATAACCATCTTCGTCTAACGTTGAAAAGATCTTCGATGCAGGAGACAAGGTTTTGTTGAGTCGTAAAACAGATCTTCCAGCTTCATCGCAGCTAGAATTTTCTATCGCGAAGCACAGTAGCACCTTCAAATTGTGGTAACCGATCGGAACTTCACGGACTGCTAAGGAAAAATCGGCCAATGGAATTGCTGCAATATTCTCAAATACAAGCTCCCTTCTTGCATAGTAATTGGGAGGAAATTGTATCTAAATGTAGGGCTCTATTTCGTATCTGCATCTCGAAGAGTCGAATACAGTCGAGTGTAGGCGTCCCCTGTTTCTAACGTAGATGCTGGCTAAAAGAGTATATATGTTCTCTTTATTCTCGAAACTCTTGTCCTTTGCCTGTTCGTGGAGAATCGGATATTTGGCCCACTTGGTATATCTCGTGGATATCTTTTGAGAGTTAGAAAAGCAAGAATCCATCCTCAAAAGGAGGATATACCAAGCTAGAAAATTGGACAACGATCGGGCAACTGTACATACTCACGTTAGTCGACGTTTGCGCCTCAAAATGCTGACGAAGTGGAATTCTTCAGTTCGTTGAAAACATTGCTCTCCATGAAATAGAAATGCCTCCAACTCGATGGTTCTCAGGCTCGAGAGCTTCAAGGAAACGATTTCGGGACAGCCAGAGAATTGTGCCTTCTATGACGAAGCGGAGCGATGAATTGCCAAGGTTGTCCATCTGCAACCCAGTTTATCGTGTAGAGAAGAGGCGGTAATAGAGATGAATAAATACAGGACCTCAATAGGTATAAGAAAAAAAATCGAAAAGGCAGCTGTTTGAGTTTTGTGCGTCATAGTAGGAACTAGTCAAGGCCAGTTAAAAGGCACCGCTTGACAGCTGACTTCACCACTGCTAACTAGAGAGGTATGGTGCCGTATTACAGAGGCGTATTCGGTACATCTTCAGCTCATCTCGCCCTGGACAATAATTCATCGATGTTACATTTACCAGCCTGAGTCCAGCTAGTTATCAACCTGCACAGCGCTCAACTCGGCTATGAGGCTGCCGATGATCCCAGCCCAGTGTCTACTTCGTACTAGCCTGCCGAAACGATGGGCGATCTGGCAACCGATCTGGATATGTGACCCCCACATCACTAATACATAAATTGGGCGGATTTCCCACAGCTTTGTTGTTTCAAGAGCCCCAAGCATATCGGCATGGTATTTCTATTCCTAGAGCATAAATCGAGTTAACAAATCTTCTACCAAGGTAAGTAGATATAGAAGTTGTCTTTACAAGCGATATTATTGGTGGAACTGACATATCGATAGACTGGATCTCTTATCTATCACGATGCTCTTCTCGCTTAGCTTGCTGTCAACCCCGGCTAAAACTCCGCTTCAACCGGGACGTTTATCCCCATGGGGTTATTAATTGTAACGTTACGCGATTGAATAGAGGACCGGTGAGGACAATGGCCAATTTGGGAGCATCATGGCATACGTATTTATGGATTATGACGGCCTTTCTTGGCGTGAAGGACATCCCTCGCAGAGGCCAATGCTAGGTGGAAGAGAAGCATTGTCGCAGCAATGAGGTTTCTCTTAGTAGTCGTGGGATTGGTTTCCCTAGGTAATGTTCAAGATCAATCTGGAAGACTTCATTGAGTTCTAACAAAGTAGACAGCTCGCTCGGAACTTTTGGGTATACCGACTGTGCCATTTAACATCACCTCTGACAAGACATATGATTTGAGAAATCTCCACGCGATTGTTGTCGACCTCGCGCACTCTACTACTCGTGACCAGGATGGCCTAACCTTGATTCCTCCCTCTTTGTGGGAGTTTGCAGAGACTTTCCAAGGTGATCTTGCTAGTATTGGAGTCAATGCCGTCTTGCTGCCGGGCTCCAAGGCCATTGCAAATGCAATTTACCTGACTCTTGATAATGACAAGTCGCAATTCGTCAATGCCGCGGGAAACAAGACCTCAGAAGGTTACCGTCTCTCTGTCACTTCTTCAGGGATCACCATCAGCGGTGCGAGCCCTCTTGGAGCATGGTGGGGAACGCGAACAGTCCTTCAGCAGGCGTTGATCAACGATAAGAAGTTGAAGATTGGAAGAGGTGTTGATTCCCCAGGATGGTCTGAGAGAGGCATGATGGTAAGCAGCTCTCACAGTATTATCAGTCTCAGGAGCAAAAAAAGTAACTGACTATTTATTGTCGTTCACCTACTCAAGCTCGACGTTGGCCGCCACTATTACCCGGCAGACTTTCTCGCACAGCTGTGCTCCTACTTGTCATTCTTCAAGCAAAATGTCTTCCACCTTCATCTCAGCGACCATGTCTGGGATCCCGCCAAGCTCGGTACCCATGAACTTGCCCTCGAGCTTTATGCTGGTTTCCGCATCGCCTCCACGGATCCAGCAGTTGCCGGACTTGCCAGGCCAACAAATGAAACGTACAGCCCGTATGTTTTCGATAACTTGCAGCAAAAGTGTGCAAGCCGCGGTGTAACCATCATACCCGAATTTGAATCACCCGGACACTCAATAGCAACCACAGACTGGAGGCCCGAGATTGCTCTCTCTGACTTTAGTATGCTAAACTTGAGTCATCCAGAGACGCTTCCAACAGTCAAGTCGTACTGGAAGGCTGCCATCAACAACTTCCATTCCAAGATTGTGCACATTGGGGCAGACGAGTACGACAGCAGCTTTATTAACGAGTACAGCACCTTTGTCAACGATATGAGTGCATACATCCAATCCATCTCTGGTAAAAGCACTCGTATCTGGGGCACTTTCCCTCCTTCATATAAACCAGGCTCTATCAACGTCAACAAAGACGTGACGATTCAGCATTGGCAGATCGGCCAGGATAACGGACTGTTCGACTTCATTGACAACGGCTACACCATTGTTAACAGCGATGACTACTTTTACCTTGATGTCAAGTATTCAGACGGCAACGTTTATCCTAAAGAGCTCGACATTCAGCGCGTTTTCCACGGATCTCCCGACGGCAGTGCATTTGCGCCCAACATTCTCGACAACGCCAACGCCACCAACAACCCTCCTCGAGACAGTCCCAACGTGCTTGGACACTTGGCTGTTGTGTGGAATGACTGGGGTCCAAATGCCAGCACCTATCACGAGGCTTACTACATGGTCCGCAACGGTTTGCCTGCTCTAGCTGATAAGCAATGGGGTGGCTCGCTGCAAGAGGAGGACTATGCCGGTCTATTTGCCACGCTGCAGCCTGCCGTGCCAGATCAGAATCTCGACCAACGGATTCCTTCCAAGGGCCCAACGATTCTATCATACAGCTTCGGCAGCAACATTGTATCATCTTTATCAGGCACCGTTCAAGACGGCTCTGGAAACGGCTATCACGGCAGTCTCCAAAACGGTGCCTATGTGAGTGGCGGCGCTCTCCAGCTCAGCGGACACAGCGCCTATCTCAAGACTCCTCTCACGAGCAAGGGACGCAACTACACGCTCTCTTTCTCTGTGCTTCCGAAATCCCACGGCGGTGCGCTCTTCTCGGGCCCAGACAGCAGCTTCCTCAACGGCAACGGCACGTCAACCAACCTCATGCTCGTTTCCGACAACATTGCTTACCCAGTCAATCTGACACTGCCGCTGAACAAATGGAGCGACGTCAAGGTTGAGGCCATTGGCCCGCAGACTTTCATCTCGGTCGGCGCTCAGCGCCAAGAAGTGACTATCTTGATGGGCATCTGGGGAGGATACATGGAGGAGGGGCCGATGGCGATTGAGGCGCCACTTGCGGCGATTGGAAAGGGAATTAACGGGCAGATGAAGAATATAAAGCTGTCTAGTGACGTATTATAAACCAGCTAGCTTCCAAATATCTAATTGTAATTTTTTTTTCTGACGAGTGCAGTTTGGTTGGTAAAAGATAAAGTCATGATGGCTCACTTGAGCGGCATGTAAGTGAGTGAGGCTGACGCCACAAATGGATTCACAAGCTCTCATTTCATACAAACAAAAAAAAATTCACCATTGCCATTGTATTTCGAAAGAATGAGGTATCGATTTTATCATACACGTGCAGATCATTCTTTATGTAATAGATGGCGAGCAATCTGTCCCGTTATTCTCACATGTCGGTGGAGAGCGCATGATGTAATTCGCTGGCAACGACACGACTCTATGAGCTCATAGACTCGCCTCCAATATGAATATATATACTCCCGTACAGCGATGAATGAAAGAATGTTAATACACACAAACACAAGATTTACAATCATATTCGCATCAATCAATAATTAAAAGAAACCCATATTTGCCATGTCTGAACATCCCGCACACTACTCGGGCGAATTCCACGCTCGCCGTCCGCCATCTGAACCCATGATGAAAGGGGGAGTAAGTCATGACTAAACAAATTCGCGATAAAGGATACTATTCTACATTCAAGTTCTCATACTAACGGCGTAATTTCTACAGCACCAGCCTGGCATCAAAGTCGGCAACGATCGCCTCCCAGAATCTCACCTCGAAATCCACCCCCCAGGAACAGCCCCAGCAGAAGCATCATTCCGACCAAACCCCATTTCAGAAGTCCCCGGCCAGGCCAACAACCCCGAAGTCGATCTCTCTGCTCGGTCAGACCCTCTAGACTTTCCCGGCGCTACATCAAAGGATGTGAACTGGGGCTACGGCCGTCCAGAGGAGGGTCTCGAAGGCCGAGAGGTAGCCTCACAAGTACCTGGAAAGAAGCACACCGGCACGAAAATGCATGAGCACGGTCGTAAGAAGGAAGGGGCGGGGTTGGGTGCCGTTGCCGCAAATGCTAATGCTAGTGATCCTGTGAGAGAGCATGGATGGGATTTGCCAGAGGGCGTGGAGAAGGGTACGAAGGGGAAAGGAAGTTCGGATTGGCCTGGAGCTGAGGAGAGGGAAGCTGTGAAGGCGGATGAGGTTGCTGCAGAGAGGTCTTGAGATATGAATGGACAAAACAAACAAGTAAAGGTACAAGAAGGAGAAGAAAAGCGTTCAATTTTAATCATGAGATATGCAACACATCAACTTCAGTGATGTACAACAGCCTTAATCGGACGAATCAATACCAGAATACTCGGAAACGGCGCATACATCATCTGTGTTCAATATTCGAAATCCCAACGCTCTAGGCTCTAGCCCTATTTCAGTACATGAATGTGTCGATGCAATGCTGAAGTCTTACGCCATATATTGCAAGTCTCATATACATTAACCACCATACCGTCACCTGGAATATCCCACTCAAAAACCTACATCTTACATATCATAAAATAGTACTGCCAACAAAGCAAACTCATACCATCCATTATTCACCGCTGCCAGTAACAGTTTATTATTTGCGAGCTCCCTGTCATTCAGCTCTTGCCCCTCTCCCACTCACGTTCATAGTATCCCAAGTCAAACCCCCACAGGATTCTTTTTGGCGAGCATCTTCATGTTTCACAGGCTTGTCGCTTATCAAGGTATAGAGTCGCATCGAAGCGGCCGGGGCACATTTGGCAGGGATGGAAAATGAGCGACAGCCGGCCGGTTCCCCTTGCCATTCATTCCCTTTTCCTCGTGTTCGGGGTAAGCAAGGCAGAATTTAGAATGCTTATTATTCAATCGAGCGGAGCTCATCCGGCCCGTTACCATAATATAGATTGGGCAACCGTAGATGAAAGAAAATAAGGATTTATGAAATGAGATTTGAAAAATGACATATTATTCGTCGCATGTACTGAGCGAGAGCAGGTTAGACGATACATGAAGCGAAATTTAACGAACAAGCTGAGACAGAATCATGAGAATGTCTCCTTGATAATTCTATCTTAGTAAATCGCATTTGACGCCAAAAAGAAGAGAGAGAGAGAGAGAGAGAGAGAGAGAGATCATGAATTTTCCCAGGCAGTTTCTTCCCAGCATTATATCCCTTCCATCGCCCACCGAATGCAATCTTCAATACCAAATGAAAACAAAGACACCGCCAGATTCATGAAAAGAAAGAATAACCACCATATATAAATAGCAAATGAGCCCGCCTGCCAAAAGATCCCAAACCGAAATGCGTTCGCTTTCTCAGTCACATCCGAACCATCTGTCGAGATGTTTTAAAAACAAATCATTTCTTTTTTTCAACCCGTCCAATGCAATACATGCTGTTTTGTCCTTTTTACTTGTCAGTAATCATGTGAAGTCATACGTGACCAGACTCTCTCTTCCATCCGGCGTCTGTCGAAGAACGGTTACCCTCTGATTGTCAGTCCCGACCCAGTTTCGTCTATGTTCAGCATCCTCTGCTGAGGAAGCGTCTCCAGCATCGTCAGAGCCCCTGTTCACTCGAGGTCTGACTTCCACACTCGTGCCATCGTAGTGTCTGTCTAGGTCCCAGACTCTGATTTCATCGCCACGCTCGCTCACGCTAACAGCCGTGCCCGCCGGAGTGATGTCGGCGTCTGCGATGCCCGAAGTGTGGCCGAAGAGCTTTATGGGGTTGGAAATGGCAAACGATTTCTCTGTCGCAGTAACAATAAAGAGCACAAGTGTATTGTCATGCATAGTGGCTAGAAGATATGGATGGCTGTAGCAGAGCTTGGCCGGTCCGCCCTCTCCATCATCCAGGTACAAGTCTGGATAGTCGAGGCAGAAAGAGCACTTTGTCGAGTGCGGTGAGCGCGGTGGGCGTGGTGGGGGGGGAACGAGGTAGCCGGTCTCAGCAGGCACAGTGTAGGCAACGCGCGATGTGATGACATCTGGCTGGGCGCTGCCTGAAGGCCGAATGTCAAAGTTCTGGACACCAATGGCCCACCCGCCTACAGTGTCGAAGGAGTAGGCGATGGAAGCAACAGCCGACGACTTGAGCTTGCGTACAGACAAAACGAGGGGTTGTCGCGAATAATCCGACTTGAGTGAGGACAAAACGTGGGGATGCGAGAGAGTTCCGCTTTTGACAACCTCGCTGTACACCTGGAACATAGATGGTGCTTCTTCGTTTACATCGTCACCTTCTCTGCCGCCATGGTGTTTGGCAGCTTCTTCCACCGGCGAAGAGGAAGAAGTGCCCGCGCCAGCCGCTGTAGCAGTCTGCTCAGTGCCAGGCTCCGTTGTAAGTTGTTCAAATGTATACAGCGAAATGAAGCCCAGCTCTGCAGCCGTCACGGCATAAGGGTACGAGTAGGCCACCGATATAAGTCTACCCACGTAGCTCTTATCCTGACGATACAAGACAGACAAACTCCCCTTGGAGATAATCAGCCGCCAGATGCCAAAGGTGCCGTCGTTGAAGCCAAGCATAATGTCCAAGACATCTGCAGAAAGCCTCGCCCCATCCAGGGCCAGGGCCGTAGGAACGAGGCAGATGCCGTCGTCCGTCTCGGTGGTTGTCTGGGCGATAGACTCTTGAGTGCGCAAGTCCCAGGCGCGAAGTCCAGCCTGCATGTCCACCGTCACGGCAAGGCCGTCCACGACCTTGACCAGGGTGCGACGCTCCTCGATGGGTGTCAAGGAAAAGTTGACGGGGCTGACCTGAACATGGCGCACCTCGCAGAGGCCGCGGGCCCAGTTGTGCCGCAGTCTGTACTGCTGCTTCCAGTCGACATCTGGAGCCTCTCTGGTCTTACCCGACGGGTCCACGGGGTTGAAGGGCCGCCTGATGGATTCGATGTCAAGGTCAGTGAAAGACGACGACGTGGGGGGCAACGCTCTCGTGGCGCTGGTGCTGCTGCGGCTGATGATGCTGCTACCCGGTTCGGATTCGGCCCCCACAGAAGCTGAGGCTTGGCCTTGGCCTTGTTCCTGGCCGTGAGCCTCGCATGTACTCGGGGCGCGGGTGTACGACTTGCTTGAGAATTGGAGGCCCGGGATGCGGTTGGCGCGCGGCAGAATGAACTTGCGGTAATAGTGCTTGCGCCACAGCTGCGGATCTGACGAGACTCTGTAGAACTGCCGCGAGACGGGCGCCAGGTTCAGCAGCGTCTGCTCGTCGGCGTAGGAGAAGATACGCAGCAGCAGCTCGTCGGACACGCCTCGGGTGACGTCGTACGCGGGCTTGGCGAGACGCAGCCGCTTGGACAAAACATCGCGGCCGCCGGGATAGAGCAGAGGATCAGCGTTGCCGGGGTTGCTGTACGACGTCTTCCTCTTCATGCTGTGGGAAGGCATGGCTGTGTATGATTTTTGCGAGCGATGCTGTGTGGAAGACTCGGTAAGAATGCGAGGCTATGGGAGGAGAAGGAGAGAAACACACAGAGAGAGCACGTACGTGATTGTATACAGAGGGTGTGTTTGTGTATATATGAGTGCCGCTCTGCGTTTGCAATGCTGATGAGAGAACCAGCACAGGTGCGGCACCTATTTATGTGCTATAGACAGGCCTCTCCACGGAAGTATGAAGAAGAGAGAAAGACACCATCTGTGTTCCTAATGCCGTAGTTGTTCGGTTCTCGGTTTGCTGCTCTTGGCTCGCCCTTCGGGTGACAGGCAAAGTTCAACAAGCGAGAGTCTGGGAGGATGCGGTGGGGAAGGTGTGATGGGAAGTATATGTGAGGGATGGCAGCGGTGGCTTCTCATAAAAAAGAAGGTGAAATCTGACGAAGCGAGAAAAGGGAAAAGAGGAAAGAGAAGAGCTAGGAGGGGGGGATGAGGAACGGCCTGGTGGTTTTTCACTCTCAAGGGAGGCAGAGACAAACAAAAAGACACCAGGAAGAAACGAGAAATTGGAAAGACTTGCTTCGGTGACACACAACGTGGGAATATGGACGGATGGTGTTTTTGGAAGGGGAGTTCTGGGGTCGAGGTGAGCCTCTGTCTCAGGTACCGAAGGAAATGCACCGCTAGAAATCGCAAATCGCAAAAATACAGGTCGCTAACCGGCCACTATAAACGGCTGCAGTGCTAAAATCAATCGCCAGACGGCGCATATGGCGCTGGAGGGAAGGCGCTGCGGTCGGGGCTCCAGGTTCTGGTTCTGGATCAGCGCGCTGGAACTCGGGTCTCGCCGGGCTCTTATATAGTGGGTGGCCCTTTCCGCAGAGGCTCCTTCAGTGCTACGCTGGCTGGCGAGGCTCTTGTTCGGGTCTGCGGGATGCGTCCGGAGCTGGGTTGGGATTTTTATTTATTTTATTTAATCGTTTTAATGCATTTTATTTTACATTAATTTTCCTTTCTTTTTTTTCTCCCCTTTGTTCGAGCTATTATTTCTCTCCTACATGGCGCCCCTCACCTCCCTCAGAGATTCTTGTCCAGCATCCATCGCACCTGCCGGCCAATCGGCAATGCAGGCGCTATCCATCCCACTGCAAAATGCTACCCGCACTTCGTGCCATTGGCACCGAACCCCCAGCACAAGGTACACCGATATAGCGTTCCCCGCAAGCAGGTACACGTAACCTCTTAGTAATTGCACGGCATGAGTGTGCTGTAGCTGTATTACGGGCTACAATAACACTCCGTCGAAAACACCAAAAGAAGCCATCATGGGGCCGTTTCTTATCGTCCACACTGTCTTCTTTTTGATCCAAAATCTCCTTCTATTTCACATTCGTCGAAAAAAGTAGCTGAAAATTCAAACACATTTATTTTTTCTAGTCCAACGGTAGGCTCTGTCGGCTCTGCCCCTCCCTGCTCCAAATCACTTCTAAAAGGAGACGCCTGCAGGTACGCTTGGATCAGCCGCGGAGGCCAGGGCCAATAGACGGCCATACAGGCAGTCCAAGCCATGATTCAAGGTGCAAATTGCATGCATGCTAGCAACAAAAAAAAAGAAAAGAAGCAAAACAGAGACCAGCATGCCATACCACCTCCTGGCAATCTGAGCGAGCTCGGAACAGTTCAGCAACCCTTCCCCTTCTTTAGGCAGCTCAGCTCTTGGACGATTCTAGCTCAGGCTTCGAGTTCAGCTCTGCTTAGCCTATTCTCGTATATTTCTGTTTGTGGCGAGATTCTGCCTATGATGGTCTCCGTGGTGTTTTGAAAATTGGTCGTAAACGCCTCCTCCCTCTCTACCTTTTGTAGAGGACGCCCTCGCTGGCTTCTCCAATTAGCTCCCCTCGTCTCAGCCTCTTCTCGCACTCCTATCCACACACGTTCGGATTTATGCCAAAATGGACTTTGTAAATAAATGGATAAACAAATCATCCGCTTGTACATAGTAGGATCCTCCCAATGCTTCGGGCAGGCCTTATCCGTTCCCCTAGCGTAGATCATCTGCACATTGCCGTGCTAAGTCATATCCTCGACTCGAATCTCCCCGAAATGTGCTCCCACTCCCTGTTCAATGCGTGCTTGTACGTTATGTTCGTAAAAGTCGTGTGTATTCGTCGTCGTCATTGCCGTCATTGCTTGGGGTAGCTGTCAACCCCTGGTCATTGCTGCTGCCACCGTCCAATACCATCGCCCCGATCCTCAGAGATGGACTTTGGCAAACAGATCGTCGTACAACTTTCCAACCCATCCTTCGGACGCTCCAGCTCGCGCAACAACCTCTAGCCCTCCCACCGCCCACAATGCAGCCGCTGCCACTACTGCAGCCTGAATCGCCAACCAACGCCGCCTGCGCTGTCGTTTAGTCTTCTTATCAACCGTGACGGCCTGGCTTCCCCACCAGCCATTTGTCGAGGGCGCGATTCCGAACCACTTGGCCAGTCCCCAAACCATATGGCTACATCCGATTCCAATCAGGCCCCTGTACGCAAAGCCCGCAATCATAGGGTGTCTGGCGAAGCCATGGGAAATATAGGCCAGTCCGATATTGGAGCTATCTCCCTCCACGACCAGGGGCAGGATTCTGTTCATAAAGACGTGGGCACTATAGAAGGCCGTGTAGACATAGCCAGACCAAGAAATCCAGCTCACCTGCGGCCATAGGCGGACCGAAGAGCGAGATGAAGACGTCGTACTATCGGTTCGTGAACTCATCAACGGAAACATACCCGGCGTCGATCCTCCATATCGTCTTATGTTTTCCGATCTTCTCAGCAGGCGTAGAGCAATCCCCGAGCCGATATGCATCAAGACCGGCAAGCCAACCAGCAGCGGTTCCGTGATGGACGTCTGGTAGAGCTCCCGGCCCATAAGGAGGTAGGTTTCCGAGCCAGCCACGCTTCGTGTAATCGCCGGAAGGAGAGATACATTGGCCAGGTGCATAGTGGTGAACATGGACACAGCATAGCTGGAATACTTTTGCATCCGAGTGACTATAGCATAATGCATCATCGCGAGCGGGTTAGCATAAGAACACACGCCCATCCGCCACCACCCAATCCAGGATACAAATACATGAAAGCAGCCAAGTGAAACCAATGGAACGTGCAAAAAGCAAAGCAAAAGCGGAACGCAAGAGAAGCCAATCAGGGGTCATCCAGGGCAAAACGAACGGTAGTAGATGGCGCCGTGGCCGCTGCCACTCAGCCCCGGGGCCATGGTCGAGCCAGACTTGATGCTGCCCACACTTCGATCAATGGAGGCGCCATCCGAAGACAGGGACTCCATTGGGTTCTGCTTCTCAGTCGGAGTATCCCCGTCCGAGTCCATGGGCGCAGGGTCGAGCTGGAGCAGAGAAATGTACGTCGAGGTCGAGTCCCTCCGATCTCGCCGAGACTGCAGGCTCTCAGCGTCCCAATCGCTCTCCATGGCGATTGGCGGTGGTTTTGGTGGTTTTCAGGTTTCTTTCGGTTTTTTTCCCTCCTCGCCTGATTTTCAAAATTCCCTCTTTCGATGTTAGACGGTGGAAAGATTCCGAATTAAAGACGAAAATGTCCGAGTAAGACTTGCATTAGCAGTACGAGAAACAGGCCACTACTACCTTATGTTGGGAAAAAAAAAATTAAGCTGCCAATCTCAAAGTCGGGGACCAATAGCGAAGATTGTAATAGTATCATGGAGGGGTGAGTCTATACCTATTGGGGAAGTAGGCTGGTTCCTGGAGCTGTCCGCTAACCTAGGCTCAAGGGAAAATCAAACACAACACAGGTTTATGCAAGAAGACAAAGCAGAAGCTGAATGGAGAGTTTTAACTCTACGTGATTGGACTCTTTGCCTTTTTCTTCCTGCTTTTAAAGGCCTATTCAAGACATTAATTTCAAATTGAGTTTGAACTTTTCTGATTGGAGCGCTCGTACTCTCGTTCGGTAATGACATTTCGGCTACATGGATTAGGTGTTAGGTATTACCTAGTAGGTATTTAGGTATTAGCTCAGTGGCAGCTCAAGCATCATCGTTGTTCGAGGCACAGCTCTATCTGCCTCCGTTGGAATATCTTACTCTATTAGTTCTAGCATGCTATTCAATGTGGAATAGCATCATTTATACGCCATAGCATCTTAGGCATCCAGCATATCAAAGCAGCTCTGCTCGTGCTAAGGCATGTATGAACACGTATTTACACAAGATACGTACGGCTCGCACATGCGAGGATGGAGTCTTGCCATGCAAGCCACACCCACTCCATGCTGTATCCTATTATCTTCTCCTCCCTTGCATTTCACCGGCATAGCGAAATGAGCTGTCTAATTTACTGCCATCAATCACCAATGCCACTCATCAAAGCCACTCACCAAGCAAAGCTGCAGCGCGTATTCCTTACTCTTCTACCACTAGCAGTGTTTAGTAGCCCGGCGGTAGCGCTGCAAGGGAGCCTCCCGCTGAAGCCGACCGCTAACTTGCGCTATCAGGACCGAAGCACTCGCCTTTGTACCTGTCAGTTACCCCGCAGTCTTGCGCTGCCGGTAGGGCCTGGTCAGTATCGGCCAAGTACAGGGTACCTACTAAAGGCACGCATTTTCAGGCACAAGAGCCCCCCACTATAGCTTCCACGGAGCTCTGGGCTCCGAGTTTCCGGCAGCTCTGCCTATACTCTCCCCATCGTTATCGCGATTGTCACCAAAAAGTTGCGTATCGCCAGCTTCAAGGCAGCGCACCCGCAAAAACTGCGCCTCGCCCAATCAACACACGAGTCTCCCTCTCTTGATGCTACGGATCCAGATATACAACGTCCAAAATGCCTCCCGTACGTACCATTGTCTCTGTCATCGCCATTTGCAATCGCCAACACTAACGCGACTTTCTCTCCAGAGACACCAAACCCTTCCTCCGGCGCAGACCTCCTCCGCCAAAGAGGCCCAGAAGTCCTTCTACTGCAGCCTCTGCTCCAAAGGCTACTCCCGCATGAACGACTATGAAGCCCATCTCAGCAGCTACGATCACAGCCACAAGCAGCGCCTCAAGGACATGAAGGCCATGGTGCGCGATCCCAACGCCGGCGCCAAGGCGAGAAAGGCAGAAGCCAAGGCAGACGGCATAGTCAGCATCAAGCTCAACGACCAGGATGCGCCGTCATCAAGCGGTGGCGGTGCCGGCAGTGGTGGTGGAGGGGGCTTCAAAAAGGGCGGCTTCAAGAAGACTGGCTTCAAGAGCGCTTTTGCTCCTGCAGAGCCTGCAGCATCGGTCGAGGCACCACAGACGGCATCGACAGATTCACCTCATAAACTGGGAGACCGACGCCCTGGAGAACTGATGGAAACGGAGGAGGCGGCCTCGACTCTGCCATTGGCGTATAAGAGCTCGCTGGTGGAGAGTGATACGGAGGACGAAGGATACGAGCTGTACGACCCGAGATTTCCCACTGATTGACGCGGTCAGCGCCAAAAGCTTGACGCTGAATCAACAATCGGATGCCGTCTTCTATTAATGGGTATTGGAAATACTACACAAGCATGATGCTACCTGAAAACGCCGTCTCTTTTAATGTCGCTCAGCGCCAGAACCCCTACATCTCATCAGGCTGCATCCACCTATGAGAGTCTATCTGAGAAAGGTCCTCTTCCAAAAGGCCAATCATGTTACGGCTGCCGAAAAACCAATCTGCAAGCTGCGACACCTGACCACCGCCTTGAACTGGCGCGCCAGCATCGTTGGTACTAGCATTGGCCATGACTTGGTCCTCGTTGGGGATGAAGCCCAGTTGGCTCAAGTACATTTCAAATTCGTCTCCGATGGGGATAGAGTTCTCGTCCTGCTGCTGCTGGGCCTTGGCTTCCACATACAGCTTAGCGATATCAAACATGACTTTACAAAGTAGGTAGAGCTTGTCGATGGGCTCTGAAAGCCCCCTCGCCGCTTCGAGGGAGTCGACAAAGTCCTGAAGAACCTTGAGATCTGCAAATGAAGATGTTTCGATAACGTAGCAGAACAAGACGAAGAACGGGGCAAATGGTGTCAGCAGGAGGTTCCTATGAATATCACGATATAGTATCAGCATACAGCAACGAAAGAAGGTGTATAATCTCTAGGCCCCTAGAAAGCTGGTTCCCATGGGGATTTGTCCTTACCAATGGATATACATGGAGCGCATATACGAGCTAATATCCATGAATACAACGCATTCTTGATGTGTTTTCATGGCATGGCGCGCCGCATCCAGACACTCGTCACAAAATCGAGAGATGGAGCCTTCTGGGGCCGGGATGACTCGATAGATGAGCGTCTTGGTGACATAGAATTGGACCTCGTCGCCCTTGATAAAGACGTCGACAACATCCGAAGTTCCTATCGATTTAAGCAGCGCAAAAACCTTTTCGCGCGTCTCGTCCGTCTCAATCTCCAGCTTGCTGCTTTCGGCAGCCAAGACTCGGGCTCGTTGGACCAAGTCAGCCTGGGGGCTTGCTAGGGCAACCGGGCTGTATCTGTACGAGCATCATTAGCGCTTGTGCGCATGAAATAAAAACTAAGAAGAAGAAGAAGAACCCTTACAGCTGTTCGTAAATCCGGCTCTGTAAGCTGCTTATCTTAACCCATAATGTCGGAAACGTAGTCGAGGTTAGATGATCAAAGCCATTCACTTCAAACTCGCGTGGGATATCAATATCACATTCCGCTATCACCGACGCTCGTCCAAGTCTTAGACCCAATCCCTTGTCCAAAGTGTAAACGTGCCAAAAGACAATCTTCTTTTGCCGCGCAACCAGTGGGGGGTCATTCCTGAGGGATTCTGTTCGATGGTAGCCACCGGCTTGGCACAGCCAGGCGGCCATTGTGATGAGGTGCCAGGCTACAGAAGGTCTGGAGACGTCGATTGCATAGAGGCACTATATAGGATGTACCCATTAGTTAGTGACGATTCAACTTTTATAGACAGGAGACTTCCAAGTATGGAAGGCATTTAAGCTCACCCCAAGAAGTAAGGCCTGCACATTCTCAATTTTTGGTGACAAGAAAAGAGGAAAATTGGCCAGTGTCGTCTCCAGATTCGCCTTGCAGATGGCGACGTATTTGCTGTACTCTTCACGGACCGCTTCCTCTTTCGCCAGCGAGTGTTGCTCTACAAATAGGTTGTACAGCATGGCATTGACCACAGCAAAGGTCGCGTCTGAAAAGTCTTCGGTAGGGAAATAGACGGTGCTGCAGAGGTCTGAAACGTCCTTTATGCCGACTAGAGTGCAGAGGATGGTGAAGAAGGTAGGAGGTGCGGCTAGTGGCAGAGTCTCAGGTTAGCATATTCACGAGCTTTGTTCTCCATCCATGGAAGGGTCTTCTCCATCTCCATCCTCGATGTGGGAGATTCAAACTTACTCTTGACATGCTTCAGTAGAGAAACTACTGTACCCACCGGCGGCATCGCCATCTTGGTCACGCCCCCTGGAGGAACGGGCTGTTGCAAAGGGAAGCGAGGCCCGTGGCTTATAGAGCGCTTCTTTTGCATGTCGACCAGCTGGCTGAGATTGGCGAGCGCAGTCTCCATCTTTGGGTTTAGAGCTCGTAGAGGCGCTCTCTTGACGGCACGCTCGAGGAACTCGCTGGCGAAGGTGGTGTGCACGGTTAGCCCTGAGTCGCCGCCGAGGACAGACTCTTCACTGGCGCTGTCATAGTCGGCGTTTGATGAGGTGGTTTGGATGTTGAGGTCTGTTGTTGCCGGCGTGTGGATTAGTTTGGAGGCATCTGTGGCTGTAGAATTTGAAATGTTCTTGAGGAGGACTTCGATATTGCCGAGGCGAGCTTCGATCTGGTCAATCTTCCTTTCACTTGGGGGGACAGGCTAGTTAGCAGCACGATATGAAGGAATGAGAAGATGGCAATAGGTGGCGGAGATGGCAGAGGTAGCAGAGGTAGCAATACAGAGCGAGATGAGAATGCTTCCAACCATGTATGCCTAGACGGGGATAGACGCACTATTGAGATGATATAAGGACTCGTTGCCGAGGCTCCTTTGGTCGTTGTCCAGCACCAGTGGACGTGCAGGTACGCTTTGCTGTTCTGCAGTTGGAACACGGCCATTCCTTATCGCAGCGAATCTTTTGTTCCATTAAAGAAACAAAGCCATCAGCTTAGGTTCCCAGGCAGAGGGACGATGTGCCGTATATCGCGGCAGTGTGTTCACCAAACGCCCCAACTCACCTTTCGTAGACGGCATTGGTCGCACTGAGGCGCAGTCATCAGCAATAAAGTCATATTGGAACAATCAACCAATTCCCGCTATAAGCTCCCTCACCACCCCTCTTAACACACCCGTCGCAGTGATACATGCGATGCAAGCAAGATCCACAGCCCGTGGAGGGTACAATAATCAATGGATTGGCATGGACTTACAGCTCTGCGAGCGGATGGATCATCGGCCGCCGCGGACGGCGTGAGGTTCTGCATCGTTGGATATGGGCTGGGATATTGGCTTCCAAGCTAATGCCGACGGCGAAGGCTACGTTGGCGGTGGAGGAACATATATAGCGGTAACGGCGCGCTTATTTGGGACGGATTGAGACGTTTGGGGTTTTGGTTTATCCCCTTCTCTTTGTTTGATTCGATCTGCCTTTTTTCCATGCAGGCAGTGCAAAGTCAGAGAAGGTGAGCATGTCGTTCCCTATAGCACCCAATCCTTTACCAGGTACCTACTTATGTTAGGGCCTATACGGAGTGTGTTAGTGGCATATGGCTGGACACTGCTAATTCCACAGCAGTTTCACCCTCTTAACTGGGGAAAAAATTGATTCAATGGGAAGAGAGAGAAGAATGAATTTCATTTAATATTTACTTTCAATACGAATTGGTTTAGAGTCAAAATCTGTTGGGCTAATTTCATTGAACGACGAGTCGCGGCTGTTACAAAGTATGCTTAATTGAAAAGTATAGGTTGCTACTAAGTCTGCTGCCTCGTAGGCAGGCACCACAGGAGATCCCCTGTACCTTTGCAAACTCGATATTAGGCGAGGTACTTGCGGAGTTATCGCATCTCCGCGGAGTCCGGCGCTCTCAGTGGCTGAGGCGAGTTACGTATGAGCTGAGGACGCGGTGCGAATAGTATTTGAAATAATTCACAGTTAAAAGACGCCGTTGTGACTCAAATGAAGGCTAATGGCTATTTACACATTCCATTTTGTGTCAGTTGTCAATCTGTGAAGAATAAGCTGCCTGCATCTATATAGGGCCATGCGGCAGACGATGAACCCTAAAGGACAACAAATATGTAAATGATATAGAGAATATACAGCAGATCACTATTATAGCAGCCAGAATAGTCTAGAAATCGTAAGAGTCATCAAGAGTCTTGACATATCCTTTAGATAATATTCCGTCATCTATTGCACTGCCATAAAGCCCGATAGCCCTGCGAGGGGTTGTTAGATTCTTACACAAGCTCAACTGTGAAATGCCCTCTCATTATTCACGGGATAGTACTTCCACCAGAAACAGTAGACACTTTGGTTTCAAAGAATAAATTAAAAAAAAAAAAAAAAAGTGTAGCAGAGTCTACCCCCTTGCTAGAGCCATTAATTACATATGCAATACATAAAAATGTTTGTTTTGCCATCCCTTTTATTGCGCGCGCATTGCCATCATGCATTCCAAATAAAACAAAATCATTGTTTGCTTTCGACGCCGCTTATAATTTCTTTTTTATAACACGCATCTTTTCCCTTCCCATCCGTTGGGCGGGTTTCGGTTTCCACTCATTACTCCATGTCAATTCAATGGTATCAAAATCCTACATCCCTTCGCCTTCTCCTCTTTGGGGGAGAATGTTTTTTCTTGGTTTTTATTTAAGCCTCGGGCTTGCGGCCAATCATGAGGTACATGGGCGTGAAGAGCTTCTCGCGACCACCAGCAACCAGGCAGTCAGCCGCAAGAGCCAAGCTGTCGGCGGTCTTCTTGGTGCCGGCAGGCGCAATTCCCACCGTCTCGAGAAGACCAGCCAGGTTGTGGGCAATGGCACGTCCCCATTTGGTCATGCGGACAATGGTGAAGACGTCTCCGAGCGTCTGGATGTACTTGAGCTCGCCAGACAGCGGCCAGTACCAGGGGGAGTGGTCATCTCGGTCAGCGAGATCCTCGTGTCTCAGGAGCTCGAAGCCAGCGGCGTGCATGGCGTCCAGGGCCTCGGAGACCTTGCACATGTTGGAGATGCCATCACCCTGCTCGATTCCGAGACGGATCTCGCGGTGGTGCAGGTTGTTGTTGTCGTATTCGTCGGTCATCAGCCACTCGTAGACACCAAAGACACCGCCGGGCTTGAGCACGCGGAAGATTTGGCTGTAGATGCCCTCCAGGGTGGGGGCATGGACGGTGGCCTCAATGGCGTAGACGGCGTCAAAGGTGTTTTCAGGGAACGACATTTGCTGCGGCACGTTTGTGTTAATAATTTGTACAGAATTGAATCTGTTTGAAATTTGGCAGTCACATCATACCATAAAGTCACCCTTGACAAAGGCCAGCTGCTTGGAGAGACCCTCCTTCTCGGCATAGTGCGTTGCTCGGTCGATCTGGTAGTCGTTGTTGTTGAGACCGGTGACGTGGCATCCGGTGAACTTTGCAATCTCACGGGCTGGGCCGCCAACACCGCAGCCAACATCGAGCACCTTCATGCCCTCCTTGATGCCAATGCTGTGGGCCAGGTAGTGCTCGTGGCGGGCAATGGCCTGGTAGAAGGGCTCGCCGGCGGAGAAGCGGCAGAAGTGGAAGGACTGGCCCCAGCCGTACTCGTACAGATCGGTGGCCAGGTTGTAGTAGTGCCTCGTCAGAGTGGCATACTCGGCTGTTCGCGCCTGTTTGCCTCGTCGTTAGCATCTCGATTCAATTCCAATTCCTTCTGGCTTCGACGGCACAAGAGGGTTTTCTCCTCTCCTCTCGTGCTTCTGCTCGAAATGGGGAGGCTGGAAATCACTCACGGCACGCTCCTCGGCAGTCTCGTTCTCGGCGGGCTTGTTGTCCCAGTGCTTGAAATACTCGTCCACAGCGGCCTTTTTGGCATCAGCGCCCTTGGAGAACATGGCAGAAATGCCTCCCTTGGCCTTGGCCGAGTTGCCGTGCATGGCCTTGTTGAAGGCGGCATCTCGGGCCTTGTCCTCCTTCTCGAGAGTAGCGGGAGCCATGTTGAATTGGAAGTTGAATTAAAAGATTAATTTAGGGGAAAAAAATCTCTATTACTAAAAGTAATGGTAAAAAAAGGGTGGTTAAAGAGGGAAGAGGAAGGTATTAGAAGAGAAGGGAGAGAATCAAGGACAGAACAAACAGACACGCAGAGCGAATCAATGGCGGAAAGGGACGGTGATGTGGCGCCGCAAGGAATTGGGCGGAGCTGTTGGACCTTTTTATGCGTTGTCCTTTGGCTCTGTGGTATCGCAACAATTTCACAGGCTCCCTGCGTCCGCCGCTTCTACTTTTTACCCCTGACGGGCTGCGAGAAAAAAAGCCAATCTCCAATTTCTGGGCTTGTGATATCGCACTAGAGGAGGAATTTGGCGATCTGGTTGGCTGGATGGCAGATGGAGGGGCCTGGGGATGGCCCGGATAGGCAAGCGGTGAAGGCCCCCACGATGTGCGAATACGAACGCGAACTCGCTTGTGCGTTTAGCGGTGTCTGCGAAGGAAGTTATCTATGGAGCAGCAGCTGGAAATACGCGTATTTGATATTCGCGCCGCCGCTGTGGTTGTAATTTTATACGGAGCAATTCCCATGGCCGACTATGGTCAATCAGAAGCTAGCACCAATGTTGCAATGCAATATTCGTTCCGAGGTTTGTGTTCGTAATTAGAGATTTGCAACCAAAGGTAGAGCTGAGCCCGTGCTTAGCATCAGATCCAGCAGCCTTAAAGGGTCCAGCTAGTTGGGAATAGCATGAATGGCGATGGTAGGACTGAAAGTAACCCTATTGCAGAGCCCTACTGCCTATTATAGTATAGGCCTCTGATTCTTAAGCCCTTTAAAGGAAAGTATGGTATGTTTCTAGAAGCCCAATTTCAAGCCCAACTAATGGTGCCAGAGCCCGCCGTAATATTGTAATATTGCTATGCATTTTGCACTAACCTGGAATTGCCTCGAAGCCACTTTTTTTTCCCCTTCTCTTTTCCTTTTCTGCTGCTTTGCAATCAGCTCTCCCCCTTATCGATAACAGCGATAAGATTCCACATCGTGATTATGTAACCGCGCTGGGTGGCGGGACTAGCGGCAGGTCTCCACCAAGATTTCTCTGCATGCCGCGATCTTGGATTTGCTTGTCTGTATCTTATCCTTTCCATACAGCGAAAACAGCATCACTCGCCAATTCATCACAGCCACCGCATCGCCTCTCAGAAGCGCGCCCACGATGCCTCCCCAGATCAAGCAGGACCTCAACCGGTCAGGATGGGAGACGACCGACTTCCCGTCTGTCTGCGAAAACTGCCTGCCCGAGAACCCGTTTGTCAAGATGCTCAAGGAAGATTATGGAGCCGAATGCAAACTGGTATGTCTCTACACATTCCCCCTCTTCTCCTGTCCTTTTCTTCTTTTCCAGTTGCCTCTTCCTCTCGTCGAATCATGAACATGTGCTGACATATTCCATCATCAGTGTACGCGACCATTCACCGTCTTCAGCTGGGCCGCCGAGCGCGCGCAGGGCCGCAAGAGGCGAACCAACGTCTGCCTGACGTGCGCGCGACTCAAGAACTGCTGCCAGAGCTGCATGCTGGATCTCAGCTTCGGCCTGCCCATCACCGTCCGCGATGCCGCGCTCAAGATGATTGCGCCGGGCCCCCAGTCCGAAATCAACCGAGAATACTTTGCGCAGAACAACGAGAAGCTGATCGAGGACGGCAAGGCTGGGACAGAGGAGTATGAGAAGACGGACGAAAAGGCCCGCGAGCTCCTGCGCCGTCTGGCCGCCAGCAAGCCATACTTTCGCAAGGGACGGACTGTGGACGAGTCGGAGCTTGCCGCCGCGAGAACCGGTGGCAACGCTGCGGTGGGAGCTGGCGTTGGAGGCGCTGGCCCGATTCGAACCCGAGATTCACGGGCTGCTGCAGCCGCTGGTGCCGGTCCGCGATCTGGTGGACGAGGAAAAGGCCGTCCTGCATTCCCCAGCGCGGCACAGCTTCCACCGAGCCCAAAGGACTGGCTGCCGCCGGATGATCCCAACATCATGTCCCTCTTCGTCACCGGCGTGGAGGACGATCTCCCCGAGTACAAGCTCCGCGATTTCTTCAAGGTCCACGGCAAGATCAAGAGCTTGGTGTGCTCACACATGTCCCACTGCGCATTCATCAACTACGAGACGAGAGACGGTGCGGAAAAGGCCGCGGCCGCATGCCAGGGCAGGGCCGTGATTGCTGGGTGCCCACTGAGAATTCGCTGGGGACAGCCAAAGGCGATTGGAACAATGGATCGCGAGCAGCGCTACCAGATGCTCCAGGACGCTCGCATCAGGCGGAACAACTCACAGCAACAACAGAACGCCATTGAAGGAGGACAGCAGTCGGGCGCATCGGGCGCGAAAGCCATTGCGGCGGCGCCTCCTGGAGCGGAAGAAACACCTGCTTATGCCAGTTTGGCTGGAGAGTAGAGCAATTTTGATGCGATGCTTTATTCAACTATTCATCATATTCCGGCGTTTTTGGGTGTGTTTTAGGGAAATTACAGCGGGGAAATGCAACAGTTTTATATTCTGCTCTAGATGCTTGAGGAACCAAAGACACAAAACAGGGTAGAAATGTCGATATATTGCGTTGGCCGATATTGGATTGGATTGGAGGGTATCATGACGAGTTTCTATAATCTTACATATCTCTTTCCTTTTTCTTTTTCTTTTTTTACTTTCCTTTTTTTCTTCTTTTTTATACAATGATAATACACACACGAGGCTTGCTTGATCATTTGCAGCCACAGCCACCACCGCTCTGTTTGCCGCTGCCTGCCGTTAATATGCTGTCGTTGTCGCCTCGTTCGGTGTGTTCGTGTATCCGGAGCTCTGTTTAGAAGGGCGTTGTTCAGTATATGATGTAGTATTTCACGGATAGAATGTCTTGTTTGTGGATTCTCACTGAAAGTGTGGTTGTCACCGTTGCTCTCAATCTTCTGTCCCTGCACCACGTTTTGGCGCAGGATCGTGGCCACGTCCTCGGCATGTCGGATCGCAGCCTGGATGCCGGAAGAGTCCAGGCCGCGGTTCTCGTTGAACGTCTGTCGGATCTGGTTCTGGGCGGCTGAGAGGACGTGGACGTCGCCTGGATTCAAGAAACACTCCATCAGCATCCGCCATTGAAGCTGAGAAATTTTGGATTTGCGTACCTTGGAAGGCGATGCGCGCAGAGCGCAGGAGGTGTCTGTAAGCGGCCAATGACATGATTTATATATATAGATGTATAATTTATGAAGATTGTATTGTATAGAAAATCAAACAAAAATAGAAGAAACAGCACTTGTATGGATAACTACGGTAGTAAATACCTAGTAGTGGTATCAAGGCCTGGGTTTCTTTTGCTTCTAATGGCTTCCGGCTTCAGCGAATCACGGAGCCCCGGTTCTGCCGTCTTCCGCCAGTCCATCCCACTAATAAAGGCCTGAACCGATCCCTGTCCCAAAAAAAACCAGACCCCACCATTGAATTTTTTGGCGGGCGAAAAAAAAGAAAAAAAACTGGAGATAGATTGATTGGCTTCACCTCTTCTCTCTCTTTCTCTCTCTTCTTTTCTTATACCATTCAAACAGCCAAAACACCCCAAAAAATGGCTTCCATCTCGCAGGTCGTCACCCTCCCGCTGCCGGCTCTCCCCGAGGGCTGGAGCGCCGAAAAGGACTTCAAGGCCGTCGGCAAGCTCTCCGGTGCTGTGCAGCGCAGCATCGAGCCTGTTGGACCGCACTTCCTGGCCCACGCCCGCCGCGCCCGTCACAAGCGAACCTTTTCCGAGGACGACCGGATCCAGGCCCAGGAGAGCGCCAAGAAGGTCGAGGATGTCGACGACGGCGAGGAGAGCGAGGCCGAGGACCCGATGCTGCTGCAGCTGCAGGCCAAGGACTGGAAGGTATGAACGGGTCTGGGCATGTGATGATGATGATGATGATGATGATATCAGATTGCAATTGGATGATGCTAACCAGGACGCTCAATCACAACAGACCCAGGACCACTACAAGGTGCTCGGCCTGTCCAAGTACCGCTACAAGGCCACCGAGGACCAGATCAAAAAGGCCCACCGCAAGAAGGTCCTCAAGCACCACCCCGACAAGAAGGCCGCCCAGGGCCGCACCGAGGACGACCAGTTCTTCAAGTGCATCCAGAAGGCCACCGACATCCTGCTCGACCCCACCCGCCGCCGCCAGTTCGACTCGGTCGACGAGGAGGCCGACGTCGAGCCCCCCTCCAAGAAGCAGCTGCAAAAGGGCGACTTCTACAAGCAGTGGAGCAAGGTCTTCAAGTCCGAGGCCCGGTTCTCCAAGAACCACCCGGTGCCCACGTTCGGCGACGCCAACGCCACCAAGGAGCAGGTCGAGGAGTTTTACAACTTCTGGTACAACTTTGACAGCTGGAGGAGCTTCGAGTACCTCGACGAGGACGTTCCCGACGACGGCGAGAGCCGTGACCACAAGCGCCACGTCGAGCGCAAGAACCAGAACTCGCGCAAGAAGAAGAAGGCCGAGGACAATGCTCGTCTGCGCAAGCTGCTAGACGACGCTTCCGCCGGCGACGAGCGCATCAAGCGCTTCCGACAGGAGGCCAACGCCGCCAAGAACAAGAAGAAGTTTGAGAAGGAGGCCGCCGAGAAGAAGGCCGCCGAGGAGGCTGCTGCCAAGAAGGCTGCCGAGGAAAAGGCAAAGGCCGACGCTGAGGCTGCTGCCAAGGCTGACCGCGAGGCCGGCAAGAAGGCCAAGGAGGCGGCCAAGAACGCGCTCAAGAAGAACAAGCGTGTGCTCAAGGGCTCCGTCAAGGACGCCAACTACTTTGCCGCCGGCGGCGATGCCTCTGCTGCCCAGATCGACGCCGTGCTGGGCGATGTCGAGCTGGTCCAGGGCAAGATTGAGGCTGACGAGATTGCTGCTCTTGCCGGCAAGCTCAACGGCCTGACGGTGGCGGACGAGATCAAGGGCGTGTGGAGCGCCGAGGTGAAGAGACTGGTTGATGCCGGCAAGCTGAAGGAGGGCGATGCGAAGACTCTGGCGTAAAAACAAAAAGCGTGTTTGGGAACGGGGGTGTTTGATAAAAGCGCAATGACAGTATAGACGGCTTCATGATGGATGAATAGACTCGAGTTTCTGACGGGCCATTTACTTTTTTGATTCCGAGGTGTCCTTGAAGTGAATAATGAGATGCCAAAACATGTTGAGACAGCTTCCAAGAATCTCGGTTCTCCGCATTGATATGATTCTACCTATTGCATGCCTAATATATATATATATATATATATCATCTTGGTTGAGAAGGGCCCAATAGGTATCTCAGTGGCATCCTGTCAACAGGGATCTATATAGGTATTGTCTTGCTAATTTGCCATTGTGCCTCCAATCCACCAAGATTTATAAATACTCGTCTCTATTTTCAATTCACAACGACACGACCATCTAGCATATCATCACCGATCTCAATTCTGGTCTACACCTCACACATTTATATATATGCCCGACCCCATCTAACTATCCACTATCTACTATCTCTGCGCTTTATCTTCGACACCAGCGCCAATAATCGGTCCGGCCCCCCCAAATCTCCGGCAGCGGCGCCCTTAGTCAGCTGCATGTCCCTCAACTAGCCAATTTTAGCCCCTCCCCAACAAACAAAGCAGCAAGCAAGGCCTAAACGGCGCCCCTGTTTGGAGGGGCTCGCAGCGCTGTAAACTGGCCCTGAGACCGCTAGACTAGCTGCGAGCTGTGCACCAGCGCCAGAAAAAAAAAAGTTGGGTGCTCCAATTGGCTGGCGGGCAGCAGAGCTTGGGAATTTTTTTCCCGGCGCCGGAAATTCCCTCTGAGAAAGATATTCCAACGCCAAACCAACCTAAACTCCTCTATCCACCAACCAACCTCCCTCTCTCCTCCTCTGTTTTCCTGCTTGACTCTCCCAACCGACGGCCAGCTTGTGACAGAGCCCGTCGACAAGCAGCAGAAAAGAAGAAGACGAACAAGTCAATAAAGCGTTGCTCTTCGCCCGCAGCCCGCCCGCCATGTCCCGATTCCTCCGACCCGCAGCTCGCCTGGCTGCCTCAACACGAGCGGCCGCCATCACCAAGACCGCCTCGCCCTCCTTCTCACAGGCCATTGCCCGCCCCGTCGTCTTTGGCGGCTCGTCCCAGAACCGATCCTACGCCGAGGGCGCCGGCGTCAAGGAGTACACGGTGCGCGATGCCCTGAACGAGGCGCTGGCCGAGGAGCTGGAGAGCAACCCCAAGGTCTTCATCCTGGGCGAGGAGGTTGCGCAGTACAACGGCGCGTACAAGGTCACCAAGGGCCTGCTGGACCGGTTTGGCGAGAAGCGAGTCATTGACACGCCCATTACCGAGATGGGCTTCACCGGCCTGGCCACTGGCGCTGCGCTGAGCGGCCTGCACCCCGTGGTAAGTCTAAGTCTTTGAGATATCACGTTTGATATATATATATATATATATATATCGTGGACATGGACATGGACATGGACTGTAACAGCCAGCTAACCTGTGGATTTCCCTTTTCCCTCCCAGTGCGAGTTCATGACCTTCAACTTCGCCATGCAGGCCATTGACCACGTCATCAACTCTGCCGCAAAGACGCTCTACATGTCCGGCGGCATCCAGCCCTGCAACATCACCTTCCGCGGCCCCAACGGCTTCGCCGCCGGTGTTGCCGCCCAGCACTCGCAGGACTTCACTGCCTGGTACGGCAGCATCCCCGGCCTCAAGGTCGTCTCCCCCTGGAGCGCCGAGGACGCAAAGGGCCTGCTCAAGGCCGCCATCCGCGACCCCAACCCCGTCGTCGTGCTCGAGAACGAGCTCATGTACGGCCAGAGCTTCCCCATGTCCGAGGCCGCCCAGAAGGACGACTTCGTCCTACCCTTTGGCAAGGCCAAGATTGAGCGCGCCGGCAAGGACCTGACCATTGTGTCCCTGTCCCGCTGCGTCGGCCAGTCGCTTGTCGCCGCCGACCTGCTGCAGAAGAACTACGGCGTCGAGGCCGAGGTCATCAACCTGCGGTCCATCAAGCCCCTGGATCTCGACTCCATCGTCCAGTCCATCAAGAAGACCCACCGCCTGCTCGTCGTCGAGTCTGGCTACCCTGCCTTTGGCGTCAGCGCCGAGATCCTGGCTCTGGCCATGGAGTACGCCTTTGACTACCTTGACGGCCCTGCTCAGCGAGTTACCGGTGCTGAGGTCCCTACTCCTTATGCCCAGGGTCTCGAGGAGATGTCCTTCCCTACCGAGCAGCTGATTGCCGACTTTGCCGCCAAGATGCTGCGAGTGTAAATAGATACACCTATTACGAAATGGAGGGTGGAGAGAGAGAGAGAGAAAGGAAAAAAGGGGGGTCAATAAAGAAGAAGAAAAAGGGTGATGATGATGTACTCTTTTTTTTTTTTTTACCCCCAAAGTATCTACGGATATAAAAACGAATTTTATACAAGAAAGAAGAAGAAAGAGAAAAACAAGGGGAGGAGGATTTCATCCAGGCAGGCGAATGTAATATCTCGAATACGGGAGAGAAGTAGAAATTTTCACTCTTTTCTTTTTTTTAAGAAAAAAAAATAGGGGGGAGGGGGGAGCCTTCAGGAGGGGGGAGCCTTCAGGAAGGGGGAACTGGAACAATCGCAATCAGGGTAGTAGTTAAAAAAAACTTTTGATAGACTGGCGGGAGAGAGGGCGAGGGGGGGATCATAATGGACCTATACTTGTAATTTACCCACCTATGCGTGCTTCTTTCATGGATAAAACTCCTTTTTTTTTTTGCCGTTGCCACATTTCTTAAGCTGGAGCTGCCTCTAGGTCCTATGATATGAATTAAGCTAAACAACTTGGCTTCATCTTTTCTTTTTCAGATACTGAGATGGAGATTATAAGTGATGTTTATATAAAAGCCTCATGGGGACTTGATAGAAATCGTGAAATTATACGCCCATGGGCACATATTAGCTTCACATCTTCCCTTCTGGAGGAGTGTCTATTTTTCCATCTTCGGCTATACAAATACATACCAAGCAGCCATCTAGAAATCTTTGTTTCTCATCATCATCATCAAAATAAAAACCCAATACCAAGCATTTATCGTCATCTTCAACCCCAGCTCACAAAGCAAAAGAACATGGTAATTCCCATCCATCCAACCATCCCTCCATCTCATCCACTTCACATGTATAAACTCGCCACCGCCGTGATATCCCTCTTAATCATCTCCTGCGCCGTCTGCATCTTCTGATACAGCTCCGGATCGCCAATGATCCTCGCCGCATTCTTCACCTCCCGGCACGTCTCGTCCAGCCTCGTAATCGTCCGCACAATCGTGCCCTCCAGCACGTCCGTCAGCGCCGTGATGTTCTTGAAGCTCATGCCCCGCGCCCACTCGTACACGACTTCCATCAGGCCAAAGCGAGGGCGAGACGTGAAGTCGTTGGAGTCCTCGCTCGACTGGATCACCTGCAGGCGCGTCTGCACGTCGTTGACCTTTTCGGATATAGCAATGATGGTGTCGCGGCCGCGCTCGAGGTTGCCTGTCAGGGTGGGCTCGATGTCGGTCTTTTCTTGGAAGACGAACGAAGACAAGAGGGCGGCGATTTCGGCGGGCTCAAAGTCGGCCAGGACGTTGTCGAGGATGAGCTCGGTGAGGACGAGCTCGTCCCCGGAATGGACTTCACAGGCAACTTTGCCCTTTAGCTGGATGCGGGTTGCATCGTCGATAAAGTCGAGCTCTTTGAGGGCTTGGACACGCTGCTCGTAGTCGGGGAGCAGTTGGAGGTTCTGGTCAGACAGAGACTGCTTTAGTTGGGCAATGTGCTCCTTGATGAGCCACTCGTCATGACACATGGCAAACTAGTTGTAATAGTTGTCAGTAAACAAATTCAAAAGACATAATCAAAGTATAAAAAAGAAGAAGAAGAAAGGAAAAGGATAGGGGCAGCAGAAAATCAAACCAAAACCAAGCCAAAACTTACATGCTTTAAAAACGACGGGCACTTCACCGCTGCAGAATTCGCCATCGTCTTGGACAACTGCACCCTCTTCTCCATCATCTCCTGCAGCTGCAAGCTCTTCACCTTGCCCATGTCCATCTCGTCCCACCGGTCGTCCCAATTCGCGCAAATCTCCTGAATCTTGTCCCGCGCGTCCTCGGCGCCGCTGCCGCCCTTGAATATCTCGGGCACCACGCCCTTCAGCACCCACCGCGTGAGGCACTCGACGTCGCTCAGGGGGACAAACATGTTCTTAGTTGCCAGTCGCTTCTTGCCCTGGGGCAGTCTTGTGAGGTACTTGCGGAAGGCTGGGATAAAGGGGAGCTGGTCTGTTGCGTCGCGGCGCTCCCTCAGGGGCTTGATGGCGCAGACGTGCAGGATGGGGTCATCGAAAGTGCCCTTAGGACTCATGCCCTCAGCCAGAAGTATGCCAGCGGTGCGGATTCCCTCCCAGTTGAAGATGATGAGCCTCTGTGGCGTGAACATCCTTCGTCCGATTGAAATCCTTAGCAGGTTTTTGTATAGCTCCGTCGTCAGCCTCTTGTAGTCCTGGGCAGCCTGGTGGCACTCGTCCACCACGCCATCGCAAATGGTGCAAGCCTCTCTCTTGACTTTGGCAAGATCGGCCTGAGCCAGCTTGACGTCTTTCTCGTGCTCCGGCAGCAGCTGTTGAGTCGCATGCTCCGAAAAGCTTCTCTTGATCATCTCCTCAATCTTCAGCGCCTCTACTCTCAGCAAGTTGAGAATCATGTTGTACGTCAGCCTAAACTGAGATCTGAGCTTGGAAGGCTCTCCCAGAATCATGTTGCGCAGCTCAGCAACCGGAGGAGCATCGTCTCCGCCTGGTGGCACAATAATGACCGAGCCGACCTTGTCCAGACCTCGACGACCAGCTCGACCAGCCATCTGCGTGTATTCACCAGGCAGAAGATTGCGGAACGAATGGCCGTCATGCTTGCGGTATCCGGAAAACACGACGGTTCTGGTGGGCAAGTTGAGTCCCATGGCAAAAGTCTCAGTAGCAAACAAGACCTTGACGAGGGTCCTGGCGAATAGAATCTCCACCAGCTCCTTCACAATGGGAAGCAGACCACCGTGATGCACCGCGATGCCCCTGCTAAGAAGCTCACGCAGCCTGATGATTTGGGGAAGGACTCGATCCTCGGGCTTTAGACGGGCGATTGACTTTTCAATCACCATGTGGATGGCGCTCTTTTCAGTAGCCGTGCAGAAATCTTGGTTGCTTAGAGCATCGGCATTTTCCTCACATCGTTTCTTGGAAAAGACAAAGATACACGCCGGCAGGAGGGTCTGTTTCTTTAGGAACTGAACCAAGTGAACCCACAAGTTCTTGTCCTGGGCAGCAGTCGACCGTCCACCAGGATTTCCGGCCCGTCCCATATGTCCAGGGTTGTGGCTGGCTCGCGGTGGTCCTCCTCGTCCTCTCTGCTGGCCACCACCACCACCACCGCCGCCTCGGCCTCCTCGTTGTTGCGGGCCGCCTCTCTGGTTGCTGCCACCTCTTCCGCCTCTCTGGTTGCCTTGAGAGCCTCCTCTAATGGCGAGCGTATTGCCAGCCGCCGGTGGCTTATCTTTACTCTGCGTAGCCCTGTTTGCGTCTTTCCAGCCAGTCTCGAGGAATTTCTTGTCCGAATCCACAATCTTGTGAATATCCTTGCCGGCCCAGAGATAGTGTTCCAGAGGCACCGGCCTCTTGGCTGTAGAAATGACATAGATGTCCCTCTGCTTGGTTCTACCAACCCAAGAGGCAAACTCGTGCGTGTTGGGAACAGTAGCCGACAGCAAGATGAGCGAAATGTGCTCTGGCAGCATGATGATGACTTCTTCCCACACAACTCCACGTTCATAGTCGTTTACGTAGTGGACCTCGTCAAAGATGACAAACTCGACGTCACGGATCAGGTCTGCTCCGCGATACAGCATGCTGCGCAGAATCTCCGTCGTCATGATGAGGCAGCTGGCCTCGGGGTTGATCTGCACATCGCCCGTCAGAATGCCCACCTCGTCGAATTCCTGCCTAAAGTCGCGGAACTTTTGGTTGCTGAGGGCCTTGATCGGCGATGTATAGATGGCCTTTGTCATGTGCTTGGCCGCCAGGGCAATGGCGTATTCGGCCACGACAGTCTTGCCAGCAGACGTGTGAGCCGCAACAAAGACCGAGTCACCGTTTTCAAGATGATACACGGCTTCCTTTTGGAACGTGTCCAGCTCAAAGGGCCATTCTCGAGCCATGTCAGGGACAAGCTCTCTAAAGTTGGGCATGTCGTGCTTGATATCGACCATGTGTGCCCATTCTCGACCAGCCCGTTTGGCGCTAGAGGCTGCGAGAGTTCCATGTGGCTCGAGAGATGGAAACTCCACGGGCAGCAAGTCGTCGATGTCATCTCCATCTTCCTCTTCGTCCTCTAGCGAGTCTCCAGATGCGCCATTAGGCGGCGATGAGTCCTCGTCCTCGGCGTTGGCAACTGTAGCCTCTTCTGGGGCCTCTCCAAGCTCCTGCTTGATTGCTTCAGCGGCGTCCGCATCCTTGTCTACCTTCTTGATGCCGAAATCGATGCCCCGAGCCATTCCAGGTGCGGTTTGCAGCAATCCTCCCTCGCTGCCAAGCTGAATCACCCTCTCCAGCTTGTTTCCACCAGCAGCATCATCGATAACAGCAGGTCCCGCGTGAATCTGATCCTCCAAGGCTGCCGTGGCCTCGATGCCCTCCAGTCCACCAGGGGCAAAGGGAAAGAATCCAGCAGCACCTCTGACAAAGTCGGCCCTGTTGGCCGGTTTGCGGAGAAGACTAGTCGAGTTCTTTGCAGTGGCGCCACTGATGGGAACCGTCACGTTCTTGTATCCCGTAACGCGGCCTTCAAGCCCGTGCCGCAAGAACCTCGTCAGGGTTCGGGTCTGTGGTGGTGCAATCTTGAATAGAGACGTATAGTCCGTCTCAAAGTCCCATCTCTGCTGAAGACGATCCAGCCATTCGTCAGAGAACTGGGGGGAGGGCATCAGCAGCTCATCTTCCAGACGTCGCTTTAGCTCTTCGGGGTCTTGAAGGCGCCGCTTCTTGGAGCTGGAGCTGGGAACGAAGTCTTCTGCATCTTGAGCGATGAGAAGAGCGTCGATGCCAGCCATGGCCTGTTAGCTAGCTGAAAGAGTGAGGTTTTGGTCTAGACAAGCAATGGCAAGCAATTGTTTTGTTTACAAACAACTTGTAGTGGTAAAAGATAATGTAAAGCGCCGACTTTGGGTTCGAGGTTGGAGCTGCCTTGGCCCCGCTACTACGGAAATGCGGGTCTGGGCACATGCATCCATTCGTTTGGATTTGGCAGTTTTGGCACTTTGATGGGTGGGCGGTACATGCCATGTATTAGGAAAGCAAGAGAAATTCAAAAATAAGAATCAAAGTGGACAGCTGACAGAGAAAGAGGCCCATTGTAAAGTAAATATAGATATATATATTTGTATACATTTGTAGAAATATGTGTATAGAAACTCCGCCAGGACCTCGATGCATCAGGGAATTGCAGCAGCAGGAACGCAAAGCCGCAGCTCTAATAATAGTCGCAATTCAACAAGTTCTTGATCCATGTCAGTCATTATCAATCAAAAACCCAGCCCTTGCGCATTTGCCCTCTCAAAACGCCGGAGAAGAAAAAAAAAGAAAGAAAGCCCTCGTGTCCCAGCAAAGAAATATAGAAGAACAAAGAAAATCCACCCAGCAAAAATCAAGTCAAATCACTCCCTGTTGATCCAGACTCATGCATATCAGTCCATAGCCCAGCGTAGCAACCCGAAAGAATCAAAAGGAAACCAGTCCGCTATGAAACCCTCCTCCCGCAAATCTAAGCCCGCAAAGCCCTCAGTCTCTGCTGCAGCTTGTCCTCCTCCTCGGCTGTCGGCTCCGCAGTCTGGGGCTCGGCCGTCGCAGGCGTGGCCTTGTTGAGCTCGAAGCTGAGCTCCAGGCCGGCATCGTCGGCGAGTTTGCCGAGCAGTTCGTGGACGGCGTCCTCGCCGACCTGGACAGAGGTGGACTGCGTGATGGCGTCCTGGTAGATGCCGTTGGTCATGGCGTATTCTTCGTTTTGCTGCTTGAACTGCTCCAGGGTAACGAGCGTCTATAGTGAAGAAAGATGACCGGTTAGTTTTAAGCGCACATAAGATAAGGAGCAGAGAGACAGGGACATGCCTTTTCGGGATTCGTATTCTTCTGCGCCAGGTTCATCGTCCGCGACGACGAGGCCATCATGTGCGTCATGCGGTTCATGGCGTTGTTGGCCTGGATCTGCGCCGCCGACAGCTCGGCCATGTCGGCCATCTGGTCCATCTGCTGCGCCAGCGCCTGCTTGGAGAGCAGCATCTTGGCCTTTTGGTACGCCTTTTGCGTCTCGCCCTTCTTCAGCAGGTCCTGGATCTGCTTCTTGAGGATGGGATCCTGCTTGGCGGCCTTTTGGGCCTCGCGCCGGGCCTGTTTCGCCTGGAAGCGAGCCTGGAACTCGACTTGCATGTCGCGGGCGAGCTGGCGGTTGGACATTTTGATCGGGGTTGATTTAGGGGGGGGGTTGAAGTTGATGTGAGGATTTTTGTCGAGATGGAGACGAGCGACGATTAGGGAAAATCAAAGGCTCAAAAGGCAAACTTTCGGCGATGGGCTGGCTTTGGCCGTGGACGAGTGGCGGATAAGGCGGGGTGACGCAACAGGAATCGGGCGAGAGCGAGCACAGCCACAGCTCATCGCTCTCACCGAAGAGAGAGAGAAGGCTCACCAGCCACACTTGTATGTTCTAACTGGGTAGTCAATGATTTCATTGTAAGTCGAGTGAAAAGAAGAATTTCTTGGTTTCAATATTTCCTTCTCACTTGCGACTATTCGGCTTGAATATCACGTTATGAAATGCTCTCTTTCAAGGCCGTCAGAAGGGCTTCAAATCCCAAGATGAACGTCCAGACCTTTCCCCGTCCGCCACGGCTGGATAAGATCTCTCGGCATATCCGCATCACATACAAGGACGTCGAGATTGCGGATACCAGCGATGCGTATTGGGTGCTGGAAACGCATCATCCTCCAAGTGCGTTTGAACCACTTATGGCAAAGTCATATGCCACAACGAATGCCTATAATTGTGACTGAATTCCACGACTATACCAGCCAATAGCATCAAGTGGTGTTTCATCTTACAGAGTCCCATCTATTCAAGACTTTGACTAATAACTAACGCCAGCATACTACCTCCCTCCATCGAGCATCAAACTCCCCCTCAAACCTACGTCCCGCTCCAGCTGGTGCGAGTGGAAAGGCGCCGCAACGTACTACAGCATCGCCCTCCCAGACGGCACAGTCTCCAACCGCATCTGGTCGTACGACAGCCCGTCAGCCGGCTTCGAGCCCCTCCGCGGGTGCCTGAGCTTCTACGCCGGCCCGTGGGATTGTTTTGTCGATGGCGAGCGGGTGGAGCCGCAGCCGGGCGATTTCTACGGTGGCTGGGTGACGGCTGAGATTGAGGGCATCGTGAAGGGCAAGACGGGCAATCTGGATCCCGTTGTGTAAGAGTCATTGCAAGTAGGGGCGGACATAGAGTTGCTATGACTCTGCTGTTTTTTTTTTTTTTTTTTTTTTTTTGAAAATGTGGCCTGATTGATAATCAAGATGCCATGGAGTGACATCTGGCATGTAGGACTCCCGAAATATCTCGTGGCCGCGTGGCAGGTTCTAGGCAGACATTCAGTTTAATTACGGTACGTGGCAACGGTGAGGCTTGAGCTGCCAAGATGCTTCGAATGGCTAGCTATTCTGAAGCAGAAGGCAGTGCTGCGGGAAATGTGGTAGATGCTAAATGAAATTTCCTAATGTCTCGATACGAGTTTCAGATCAAAATTGAGTTTCTGCGTAGGTGGTGTAGGGTAGGGTTAGCTCTGGAGGAGGACAGGGAATGCATCAATATTACTGGATGAATCGAACATGCACGGCCAAGGTATGCCGCTGGATTAAGTTTTTATCAGTATCTCAATCAAAATATTTCGGGGGATCGACTGTTTTGGATTATGGTCTCTAATCCAGGAGCCATTCGATGGCGTGAGATCTCAAAGTGCCATTTCAATTCAACAGCTGGGATTCACATTTGGAGGGCTCAATGCTCAATACTTGTGTGCCAGGGTCGTATCAATAACCCTGCGTCTTTCTCAAGCAAAGCTAGCTTCTGACGGGCGGTGCGGAATCTCGCTGCCGATAATATGCACCTCTTTATTGGGCAATTCATGCATGGCTCTCCGCGGACAGCCGAGCCGGATGCTTGTTTTTGTAGAAAATACCATGAGCTTGATATCGTATCTATCAAAGCCGGATTTTTGATTTCTTTTGCTCATAGTAGAGTCTGTTTTACGCATTGATAGATATGTATTCAAGCATAGCTCTTTGGCTTCTCGCTGCCATGGTGATGGACATCACAAATACCAGGACTTCAACCGACTGGCTGCTCCATTACCAAATCAAATCAACTCACAAACAAGATTTATCAAGTCAGTTTCCAGCATTGAATCACATATCACTTGGCCGGAGATATCTCCACCAACTGGAGCATGATAGAAGCCTCTCTTCCTGCATGTATGCATGCATCTCTCTCTCTCCTTGTATGTACGTGCAACAAGCGGTCTGCAAAATCTCATGCACATACTCGGCCAGGGCATCCGCTTCCAGGATACCTTGCAGCATGATAGAAACCTTTTTTTTTGTTGGGCTCAATCACCTCCCTAGTTTTGGTGCATGCAATTCCTTAGGATGCTTGCTTGTGAGTTCGCTTGGCCGCGCCAATGCTCCAATGCATTTGAGCGTTCGACGTGGCAAGCTATACATGGCTCGCGAGCTCCCCACAACCACAAAAGCTTGGCTTCTGGAGACAAACTTTTTTTTGCATGTGAACTGGGGGGGGGGGCCCTGGAGGTTCGTGACTGCACGGAGTAGCTGTATGGTCGATCAATGTTCACCGACAAGAAATGGTTTAATATGCACATGAATGCATGCATGTACTCCGTAAACTGGACGTGGGAGCGCCCAACAAAGGCGTACTCATACGATATTTCCTTCATCACCTGCGAAGCCTTGCTAGTGCTCCTCACAAAGCTTCTCGATGCTCCACCGCATGCACATGCACCCATAAAGCTTCACAAGGCACGAGCCCCGCCATTGCTATGCTCATGTCTGTCTGTCTGTCTGTCTGTCTGTCTGTCTGTCTGTCTGTCTGTCTGTCTGTCTGTCTGTATGTATGTACTCGTAGTCAGTGGTTGGTTGAGTGGGTGTCATCCGTTATCAAGAAGCGCGTTTCGCGTTACCCGCGGGCGATCGAAAGGTTCGATGATGGCAGTGGCAAAGGTTAGGCTCCAAGCGTTGGAAGGTTTGAACTAATGCTTCTCGTCTTCTCCCTGCGTAAACTGTCGTGTGATGCACATATTCTGCTGTGCCTAGCATTGGGCTTGTTCTTGTAAGCCATTTTCACATGCGAGTGAGTTACTGAGTGAGGGGCAGAGGAAGCCCAGAGAGAAACGACAACTTCCCCGCATGCTTGCTTCAGCATCAGAGTATGCACACGCTTGAAGATGGGCATGTTCGTACTCGTATAGATAGGTACGTTAGAGACTGGAGTCAATGTTGCACTGGCAGAATAAACACAGCAGCTTCCGCAGGGTCCGATGGATGGAGGCCCAGAGTTTGAGCTGCCCACTTGGGCGCCACTGCAGGAGATGGAGATGGAGATGGAGATGGAGCTGAGCGTATCCTCTGTACATGCACGCCTGTCACAGACGGGTGGCTGAAAGCAAAAATGGTGGTGGGAGTAGGTAGTAGTAGTAGTAGCAATGGCAATATTAGCAGCAACATGAATAGTTTGGAATTGGCATGGCAGAGTAGATGTAATTCCCGGGTAAAGTGCCAGTCCCAAAGATCAAAACCGGCAGAATGGAACAGCTCCTCGCCTGCTGGGGTTACATGGCCGCCCTGTTTAAACGTTCAAGAGCCGGAACATAAACAGGCACAAGGCGTAGCGGAAAAAAAGGGCAACGGAAATCTGGGGTTTCGCCAGAAAGAGGGGGAAGCAGATCGGCCTAATCAAGGGGAAAATTGGGAGACAGAGGGAGGAGGGTCTCCAGTCCATTTTACGCCGGGCCTTGGTACAGTAACCGTTCCGGAACTAGTAGGTACAATATTAGACTGCTAGCTGGTAAGGTAAAGTAGCATCCATTCGCTGGGAGGTTGCATCTGAACTTGATGAGTGAGCAGCCGCATTGAACGGAATGCCTTGCCGGATGGACCTGAACCAGCGTTGATTCTGAAGCAAATTCCATCGATTCTCCTCCGTACCGCGCACCATTGATCGGCTAGCAGCCCAGCTACGAGTCCTGAAACCGCTCGTCTTGGAATCAAAAAACACTGCCCGGCGACCAAGAAAAGGGGCGGCGCCAACGGCCCGCACTCCGAGATGAGATGCTATTGAGGGACGGCTGCCACACCAAACGACTAGGCGCAGGACTTGGTGCGGCACTCTCTGGAGAAGCTTCCATAGTCTGCCTTTGCCTGAGGAGATAGGGCCGAAGCTGGAGAGGATGGACCCCGCCCTCCCCTATTGATTTCCTTCAATAGCATCCAACGGCTGGAGAATATTGCGTGCTTTTGCCGAATCGATTGGCTCCGATGCAAAGGCACGAAGAGGAGTGAATTGGAGAAGGGTTCTGATAAAGCAATTGGTAAAATATTCCCGCCCATACTTGGCAGCATGTGGTAAGTACTGTATGTAGTGCAGTGGAATAGGTAATATCCAGCTGCTCCTTTCGGAGTATTTGCCTCCCCCTCCTCTACAGGCAATTCCTTCATTGCAAGGGTGCTGCCTCTTTTGGCATGTAGCTTAAAGTCATACTGTGTACGGAGAAATGTCTGAGGTCCCTCTCTTCAGGGCTCTCTCTCTTTGTCTGCGCAACATGTGCCCTTGTCAGCAGCATTGCTTTTTTTCCGAGACAAGAGAAATCGCCAGGCTTGGCACGAACCCGCCCGCTCGATCGAAGTGATTCTTGTCGCTTCTTCTCCTTCCCTCTTGAAACCCTTGCAAGAGCCCTTTCTGACCAAGAGTGAGACAAGAGTGGAAGGGTTTAGTGAGATTCCCCCAAAGAGAGCAGCTGCAGAACGTTATGACGGGGGGGTTCCAAACAGGGCGATGCTGGTACATGTAGTGAGATGAGAGAGAACCCTTTGAGCCATGCAGTTGGAATCTCAAGACCGGGGGGGACGTTGTTTGAACCCGATACTGTACCTACTCTGGTGTGTCCGACTTCAATTGCTGCTTAATATAGCAAGTAAGTACTGTAGTAGCACTGCACAGTAGACATTGATGCTATCAGGCAGGCAGGGTATGTAACCTGCCATCCCGCTACGAGCCCTCCAGGCGCCAATCCGGAACTTTTTGCCTGGCGAAGCCGGAAGTGGGGAGAGGCCGGACGGACGTTGCGTCCCAAGGGCTTACTGCGCTGCTTTTGGCGGTTCCGTTATGTGCTGTGCTATCATTAGCCTCGACCGAGAAGGCCGTTAGTGATTACGTGCGCAGCAGCTAGAGGCATACGGGAGATATGGATGGAGACGAGGACTTGCTCGAGGCCAAACGGCTGCTGCACTGGGCAGGTCAAGAGACGACCTGTTGATGATCACCACGTGTTGCTACATGGCATTACATGACCGAGTGTGTAGAGCTAATGTAAATGTATGTAAATGTATGTACATGTGGGAATCGATAGCACAGCTTGCTGGAGGAGAGGAGCACGTTGGTCCACATACAGCAGTACTACAGTATGTATACTGCCTCTGCTAGTGTTTGTTGCCATCTTTGGTGGCGCTGATCAATAAGGATGAGAATAGAAACACAGAGCATTACGAGAGCACACCGTCTCTTTTCCGCAGATCGTATCACTCGTACTATGCAATGGAGGCCACCGGCTGGGCGAATCAGCCTCTCTGGTGGCGTGGCAGAAAGTGGGAATGAGGGGAGACGATCCATCCATTCTTGTCCAACCAAACAGATCAACCCCCCTTTTTCCGTCTCCTTCTCCTGAGCTCTTTTTCATCTGTTTTCTATTGAAGCCCAATGACGTCTCTATGATATTCTCAATTCTAGTTTGCACGAGAAAGAAGCAAAAAGAAGCCTTCTCAACAAAAGCAGCAGATGCATGCTTTCGTCTGCTGCAGCCAGCATGTAGGAGCATGCTGTAACATTTGATATACAGCATGCAGGTATGTAAGCAGCAGCCATTTTGAATGTCCATGTCCATGTCCATGTCCCTGTCCCTGCACCCTGAGACCAGCGTCGTTGCACGTGTCTCGGCAGAACCAGCACGTTCAATACAGGGCCCAGAAATGACGAGATGCGATGCCAATACGGGTAAGACAGCAGAGGCACAGACGTTGTGCAAAACAGGGACAATACGATACTGTATGGAGTTGTTCCACCACAACGTGCTTTGCCATGCCATTGAAACTACATGCTAATATCAAACCAATATACATGTACCTATACAGGCACTATGTACTACCGCAATATTTCACTGCCTATATTTCCGGCTTCTCTTGTGCATCTCTCCTCTCTCCCGGCTCAGCCGAGACTCCCCCTTGATTTTATCCTCTTCCCCAGAGCCTCTTTCTGCCGGGACGCGGCCCTTCTGGAGGAGGCTCTCGGAGGATTTGGAGGGCCCGTCCATCGCCAGCCACCAACTGTATGTACTACATGGTAGCGGCGCTGTGCGTGCCACTGCAGCACACCTGAATTCCAGCGCCCGGCACAGCACCCACTGCGCTGCACGTATCAGGCCTCGCCCCCTGCAGCAGCCTGAGCCCACTCCCCAAGCCCGCTAGAGCGCCCCCCTGAAGCCCCGAGCCTGGCGCCTGATTCGAGGCTCTGCCGCCCCCACCGCGATCCACCGCCACTGTCTAATGGCCTGCCTGGTTCGATTCGATCCGAAGCCACCCCTTTCCCTGCCCGTGCCGTGCCTGAGGCAGCGAGACGGCCGCCAGCAAGGCCAGCGTGGCCTCAAGATAAAGAGACCACCATCGCCGCCCACACGCCGCGCTCATCACCTCGTCCGCAAAGAAGCCACTCTGTCCTCTTCCCCCATCCGGCTCTCTGACTCATCCAGCTCCAGCAAAGCCACCAGGCTGACTCATATCGTGATTGGCTCTCTGCTGCCTGCCATGAAGTGGGCGCCGCTACACCAATAGGAGACCTGCTGGAACGAACCATCGCCGTGACCGTCGCTTGACAGTCGCTCGACTCTGACGCTTGGACGCTGCTCGCTCTGCATCTCCACCGCGCGCCGATTTCCTTAAGAAAGAAACAGCCGCTAGAGCTCGTTCACGTCACTTTGCATACATCAACTCGCGACGTACGCATCGTGGACAGCGCCAGAGAACGAAGCTCGCAGAGCAGACATCCAGCCCCGTCCCGTCAGATACACCAACCATGGCGTTCCAGCAGTCGTCTCCGCTCATCAAGTTCGAGGCGTCTCCCGCCGAGTCCTTCCTGTCAGCGCCCGGCGACAACTTCTCGTCCCTCTTCGCAGTCTCTACACCCTCCTCGGTCGCCACAACCATGGATCCCATGGAGATGATGACGCCCCAGTCATACACTGACGAGAAGCTCGAGTCTCGCCTGTCGGTGATTCCCGAGCACGAGATGGACGACGACCGGGACCTGAACGACGACACAGCCCCCGCGGACTCCTCTTCATCAGAAAAGAAGCCTGTCAAGAAGAGGAAATCATGGGGCCAGGTGCTCCCCGAGCCCAAGACCAACCTCCCTCCCAGGTATGTTGTTGAAGAAGAAGAAGAAGAGGAAGAAGAAGCATTTGCTCCTCAAGATGTTTATGAATATGCTAACCGGCTCCCGCGTATTAGAAAACGAGCCAAGACTGAAGACGAAAAGGAACAGCGTCGCGTTGAGCGTGTTCTCCGGAACCGACGCGCCGCCCAGTCATCGCGAGAGAGGAAGAGGCTCGAGGTCGAGGCCCTCGAGAAGCGCAACAAGGAGCTGGAGACGCTCCTGATCAACGCCCAAAAGACCAACCTGATGCTCGTCGAGGAGCTCAACCGCTTCCGACGAAGCTCGGGTGTCGTCACCCGCTCTTCCTCCCCCTTAGACTCCCTCCAAGACGGCATCACATTGTCGCAACAGCTCTTTGGCCCCCAAGATGGCCAAAAGGTCGACTCTACCAAGCAGTCCTTGATGGACCAGATGATGAGGTCCACGACAAACCCCACCGTGAACCCCGCCTCTCTCTCTCCCGAACTCAACCCCATCCCCGACTCCGCCAACGAAGACTTGTCCGAAGAATTCGCCTCGGAAGAGACCAAGGAGGAACAGACCGAGGAGCAAATCGAAAACGCCAGCCAACAGCTGACTGTCGGCCTCTCCACTGATTCGACACAACGTCCTGCAGAGATGTTGTGCGACCTGCCGTGTCAATCGGTGGAGATGCCCCAGTCGTTGCCGGCTTCTCAGGCTCCGACGACGCCCACTGCCTTGGCTTGGGCTCTGTACCTCAGGATGATAGTCCTTTCAGCCTCGGCTCTTCTTTCGGCTTGTCAGCGGCCCTTGATGCAGATCGCTATGTCCTCGAAAGCGGGCTTCTCGCTTCTCCCAACTCCTCAACTATTGACGACGATTATCTGGCTGGTGACTCTGCCGCCTGCTTCCAGGATCAACCTCCCTACGACTTCTTCGACATCAACGACTTCCTCAACGACGACGCAAACAACGTCGCCTCCGACATTGTGGCAGCGAGCAACTATGCCGCTGCGGACCACGAGCTCGACCTCGAGATCCACGACCCTGAGACTCAAATCTCTTCGGACTATCCTATCCAGCAGCCCCAGTCTGGCGCGTCCTCTCTTGGATGCGACGATGGCGGCATTGCGGTTGGTGTCTGAGGGACGCGACGATCGGGACGGGAGCTCAGACAACGAGTCTTGTGCGACGCGCGGCGACCATTGCGAGCTGACCCAATCTCTACGCAGCATTACTTTGCCGTCTAGGGAAGTCCTCCTGACACTCCTGTGGGCCCTGAGGGTTGAGGAGAGGAAGATCCAGCAAAAGCAGGCCGCGCTTCTCGTCCCCGAGAGAAGCGCCTCAGCAGACCAACAACAAATATCATCAGTATCAGATTCTATTGTCCTTAAAGTAGCGGGTGTTAAGCGAGCTAAACCTTCTCGACTTGACTATAGCGGTGGCTCCAAGCGGTCACGGCTGTCGAGGTAATCTTTTTGTGTTTGATTTTTTTCTTTTCTTTTTTTGTGTATTCCAAATATCAATTTTTTCTTTTTCATCTTCACCTTTGGGAAAAAAAGGAAACCCCCCTGGTTAGGGTGGAATGGGATGGCGGCATGTATTCCAAGGGTGGTTTAAGGATATGTGTGGGAAACGGCGCAACGTGGGAATGGCTTTCTCTCCAAGGCAGAGAAGATGGAAACAGAACAGCCATTCATGACCTGGCTACACTTGACGATAGGCTTAGGGTGTACACTATGTATAATTGAGCAAGCGTTGCCGATTTCCTCTACACTTTTGAACTGTATCATGAATGTGACTGTAACCTCTCTTGACGTGACTTGGTTGTAAGAGTGTTTGTTCCATATGATATCAATAGTCATATGATACCAATAGTATAAGTCATGAATCTGCTCGCTATACATCATCATCCATTTATACCACCCGTCGCCCATCATCTTTGATTTTAAACGCTGATGCAAATACAAACTCCCAGACGCCTGCTAAATAAATGTGCCCTTGACATGCTCCCTTTCAACAAACAAATGGCCTACAATTTCCCCCTTCTTTACCAAGTCATCCGTCCGTCTCACCACAAGCCGTCCATCTCCCGCATAGCTTCCTCTTCATCCGCAAAATCGTGTCCCTTATCGCCCGAAGCTGGGCCATCGCCCACTCTTTTTTGTGCAGGCTGCTGCTCGTCTTGCGCTTCTGCTTCTGCGATGAGGGCTTCTAGGTAGTCATCGTCGTCGCCGTCGTTTTCTGGACCGTTTGCACTGGTAGTGGTAGTAGTAGCAGCAGCAGTACTTGTCGTGGCTGTGAGAAGCTTCCCCCTGTCCATGCTCTCTGCTTCCGCCATGAGCGCTTCCAAATCGTCATCATCAGGCATATCATCGTTTGCCGGTAGTGGTGCTGCTGGCACTGGCGCATCACGAAGCATATTCACAAATCTTCTCGCTCCCCGAGGAGTAGCGTCGTATAAATCGTCATCTTCGTTAATATTCACGGCTCCAATGCCCAGTTCGTCGTCGTCGTCGTTGCTCGCCTTGGGGCGCCCTTCGTTGATCCATTCGTTTCGCGCCGTCACGAGGGCCTTTTTGTGGCCGGCCTTTTCGACCATCGCGAGGGCGTCGAGGAAGCGGGCTTTGGGGAAGAGGTCGTCGAGCCATAGCTGGTAGAAGGAGAGGAGGCGAGAGGCGTCTGAGAACTGCGTGCCACCAGGTCAGTGGGAGATTCAAAGGATATAGATAGAAGAAGAAGAAGAGGTTTTGGAAGAATTGCATACTTCGTGGCCTTTGCCTTTAAGCTTGAGGCCTGCGGCTCGTTTTCTGAGCTTGGGGATGCCAGCTGGGCCTAAGAGTCTAATGAATTGGTGGTTAGCATAATTGCCTTTTTAATATAGAGAATTATTGTATAAGTAAGGCACCTTTCTTCGTCAAGCTTTACGTTTGGAACCCTCACACGCTTCTGGACTGAAACCTCCTCTTCGATTCCCAGCCCAGAGTCTGGCTCTTTTCTCTTCTTGCTTGACGATTCTGGCGGGGGAGTTGGAGATGCGAATGGGTTGTCCAGGTCGTCGTCCAAGCCATAATCGTCCAAGTCGTCGCCATGGGTTGGCGGACGCTGTGATAGTGACATCGGCGGCATGATGTTGGTTGATTTGATTTTTTTTTTTTTGATTTTTAAAAAGAAATTCCACTTGAATAATCTTCAATCCAATTGACAGCAACTACCTACCTTGGCCAATTACTCTCCAGACGCGTCTCTCTGCCTTATCGATTGCGGGGGACCGCGTCTTGGCTCAAAGCACCAAAAAACCCCACCAAGGCTTTTAATTGATCCACGTGATCCAGACACCCCAATCGTCCCCACGTGATTTCTTGCATCCTCAGGCACTAGCAATCGCAAGTTGCAGCTCCGGGATATCAGATCTCTCGATCCAGTCGAGCTGCTGCCGCATTTCGGGGGTCGCAAATCTATCCAGAAAATGGCCTCAACAACGACCAAGCAGTCCTACGTTGGGACAAGCAAGGTCGTCGAGACCAAGTACCCGGTATGTTCGTTTCAGGGCGCAATTGGGCGGCCAATGGAGGAGAAATGGTGGTGATTGACATGGACTGACGGTTTGGGGATTTAGCTCATCGACAACGACCCGTACGTTTCTGCGCCTCTCTGCCCTTTTCAGCTCTGCGGCTTTTGGAATTTGCGTGACTCGACACCATAGCGGTGGAATTGGTGAATGCTGATGCGTCGTGGAACAGTCACTTCAAGCGAGTCGTCGGATATGCGCGAACTTCAGACTACGCAGCTGGTGCCGCCGCCGCGGCCTTTGCTCCCGCCGGCCTCTACGCCCTCGAGAGACTCGCCCCGTCACATGTAGGCAGAGGCGGTCTCGCCAAGGCCATGCGCCTTGCCGGCTTCATCGGCCTGGCCGGCGGCTTCCTCTACTTTTACCAGCGATCAGCCCGTACGTTTTTTGATACACGACCCCTCATTTTCTTCTCTTCTTCCCTTGGCATGTAGAGGGACAATTCAGAGGCTTGGGCTTGCCATGGATAACCACAGTGAAACTGAACTGACACGCCATCACAAAAATAGTCCGATTCTACGGCGCCACCGAGAACGCGAGAGAAGTCGAGATGGACATGCGGGAGATGGTCGCCAAGGTCAAGGCGGGAGAGCCCCTCTACGGCGAGAGCAAGCTGAACGCCCACCTCCAGGGCGTCGCCGCCCGACAGAGCAGATACTCTGCCCTCTTCTTCAGCACTGTTCCGTGGTTCAACTTTGTCAACCACAACCAGCACGGCGTGGACACGGCAAAGTACTATCAGCAGGCTGAGAGGGAGCTGGAGGCGGAGCGAAAGAACTAGACGGGTGGATGAAGAAGAAACAACGAAAGAAAGAAGAGGAAGAAAAATATTTGTGTATATTTTAGCGAGAATATCTACCGGTTCTTGCGGAGAAAAGACGAAAGAACAAAAAAACGTTTCGAAATTCCAGGTGCCCCTTTTTGACTTTATATGATGAAGTTTTGATAGGCTTCACGATTGAGACAACCGACCGCGTCATGCTTTGGTATTCATTCTACTGACCATCACCTTTGTTTGATACTATGAAACACAGAAACAGTTGCATAATTCCCTCGAGAATACCTACACCGAATGCTGAGCTTCGGCAATGTCGCACAACATTCCCTCGAGACCTCTTCGTTATTATATCAAACTCTGTAAGAAATACCACTTTCAACTATCTGCTCACGTTAATAGCCTAGCAATCTGCGTTTCAATCTCCAAGCCTGATAGGTCTGCGATGGGTATCTTGCTGGGGTTACTTCTGCCAACTCTTCGATCCTCTGATTTTCAGATCCTACAATAGATGCATCGGCGTCCATGTATCTGTAGACGTGCGCATCTGGGTCGGCAATCAGACGATCCCGCAGCGCAAAGAAGAGCTGGTAAAGCTGATTCGTCTGCCATCGCGTGCCAAAAAGCCCCGTCAACAAACCCACAATCGCGCTGCCAAATGGAGCGTATGCAACAATGTTTCTGTATACATCTCCATCGCCAATCTGCCGGTTCTCAGAGACCATTCTCTGATCCGCCGCCGTGATCTCCTCGCCAACCCGTTCAGTTGAGATGACCTGCCCAGTTGGATCGTTTACCTTGATAGCCTCGAGCATCCACTTCAACACAAGATCGGAAAGTACTTGGTTTGGCTCGATCACTTTGCTCGCCCAGCTCCATCTGGCCAACAGTCGTTCCAACCACCCACCGCCAAACATACGCAGGAACTTGAAGCGTTGTCGTCCTAGGTCATAATGCACGCCCGGGAACCATTTCTGGGTGATTCCATAGTCAACTGGCCTCCCTGAGCGGTGACTCCGCTCTGCAAGACAGGGAGGGAAGATGTAGAAGTCATCGTGCAAGGACATGGCGTGGTATACAAGCTCGACGACAGTTGAGACCTGTTGGTCATGAAACTTTGGCCAGTCTAGCCCAACGCCCCCCACAAAGTCCGGGATCCCAAGGCTGCCTACAGTGTCGAAAAGACCCAAGAATTTCACAGGCGGCAGCAATCCAGGGGCTCCATCTTCTTCGTCGCCAATTAGGGGCCAGCTTGCATGCTGGCGGAACTGCTTAGATTGGCTCGAGTGCGGACAATTAATGGGGTCCTTGGAGCGGTAGATTCTGTAGACTTGCCGGCACAGAAGATCCGTCTCGGCATCATCGACGGTGCCGTCTGCCTTCAGTACGCGTTTGACGATGCCGCAATTATTGATCATACCGGCCACCGACCGCACCATGTATGCGCCTCTGGAAAGGCCAAACATCCAGATTTGGTGATCGGGGTAGCTGTAATTATCAACAATGAATCTGTAGGCGGCGACGCATTGCGCGGCAATGTCTTGAGCCGTTACTCCGTTGAAGACGTAGCTGGGACTACATTAGCGATCAAATCACGAGATGATGAAATGCGACGTACTCGAGGAACGTGCTTCCAAGCCCAACGCCATGGATATACCACGCCTTGTGGCCCATTCGGTGGATGTCGGTATCATTAACGTCATCTATATCAATTCCAACCATCCTAGCTAATAGATAGATGTTGGACCGGGTATCGGCCTCACGACCACACCAACTGCCATCGGCGAGGATGACGAGAGGCCTGGGCTCAGCCGCCGGCGAGGACTCTGATGTCTCGGACTCTGATGTCTCGGACCTGGATTTGGACATGATGAACAAGATGGATGGACTACACTTCACGTCGACCAGTAAACATATGTTGAATATGCCCAAGGTGAGTAAAAGAGCCCAAGCTCTTCGATCCTAAGAAGCTATCTATGTATTTTATTTTATATACAAACATCACATGTCAATTGTGTGTTAGTGATCAAGCAAAAGCCCCCCCAGGGGAGAAAGCATAGGGGGTGCAAGCTGGATTAATCAATAGAGCTGAAGTGATTTCTACATACTACAGGAATGTAATGTAGGTTGCCAGAGCATAAACTTCTCATCGACATAAGGTTTGATAGTTCTCACCCAGATGCCATCGAAACCGCGCCAGCCAAGGGGGGGTTGCTCAGCTGGTGGCAGGCCAGCGCAGTAAATGCAGGCCAAAAGCAAAGGGTAGGCATAGCTGCTGCGTGTGGAAAAAGTAGGCATGATCAGATCTCGCCCGCATGACTGTGCTGCTAGTGTACATCACGCGGCTTGAATTCACCGTATTAAGGTTTCTGTGTGAAGCCGGCGTATTTTGAGATTCCTCTTCGGCCAATGGCAAGCGTCAGATGTTTTCCGTAGGGCTGACACAACAGCTGAAAGTGGCATCCAGCCAAGAATGGACTAGAACTGTGAAGGCTGGCAGAGCTGGACACTACCTTTGGCAAATCCAATGAATGATGGCCACCACGACGGCGACGCCATTGACCAGAATCAACAGCGGCTGAGAAACTAGCCGTGGCTCCAGGCCAACGCGCTTCGTCATTTGAAGAGCTGATAATACACTGGACGTAGCAATACACCGTCTAATGGTACACGGCTCTACTCCGTAGTGCTTCTGGGATTCGCCTACAGGCAGTCTCCATTGGGCGGACCGTTGAATGTATGCCCCTCCGCAAGTGTGTGTGGATATGCATTTCTATTGTCGTCGGGCAGGGATCATCTGGCGGTCGATGCAATCTACGACAAATTGCTGGATGCTTTACACGTCTTCCTTCCCATGCATGCTCTATTTAACGTTCGTACACGCAGTATAGTGCCCGTTCGAGATGCTACTAAGTGATGGGATACGTGGATAGAGGCTCATGGAGTATGGTTTCGGCAATGATTCCCAGTGTGCTGAGACATCACGGCTTTTGCAATGTCAATGTAGCTATCGGCGGCTCCTGCATCCATGTTCTACCATTTCAAGAGACTCTGTCGCAAAGTCCTCGAGTTGTCGACTCCCCTGCCAAAAATGGAGCAAGGGATGAGTTCCATCGATCGCATCGCAGGTTCTCTCCAGAATCTATCACCAAAGTGGGCATATGGGCGATAGAAGAATATGACAAAAGCATGAAGAAAATACGATACGAGACTTCAACGCCAAACAATAATAACTGTATAATCTGGAGAGATTCATTGCAGAATCGGTACGTGCTGGAGCTTGGTCATTGCGTACCTAGCAGGAAGGCGGGATGGGTTGCAGCTGGCAGTTTGGCATCTCCTCAACATCTCTTTGCTAAACCACCAAATTCTCCAATCTCTTCCCAGAAGGTTCCTCTGAGCTGATGTTATGCTTGTTCTGTTCCCTCTCTCCAAGTTTGAAGACCTCTGTCTTTGATCCACTAGCGGCAAAGAGCTGCTTGAATGAAGGGAAATAGACAGAGAGAGATCTGATGACTGGACTTGCGCTCCACAACCAAGCTTTTCTCGTCGGTACAAATATCTCTTCCACGCGTCTGTTAGCGCCCTTGTTACATCAGCTAACTCTCTCTTACATGTGATTATCAAGCGTATCATCGGAAATGGTGCGTCGGTCAAACCCCAGCTCTATCTGCCGCTTTTGCTATAGACTCCTTTCGTTTCTCCAGTTCCGAGGTGGAGATTGAGAACCAGGCCAACAACACGGACTTCCCACCAAGAACATGGCTTTTCCATTGTCTAAGAATCCACTATTAACACTATGAAGGAAACTGTTGGTCTGGAGATGTCGATGCATCTACAGTCCGCATTGGGATAGCTGCCTTGGGAGCTCGACCAACATGATCTAGGCGGTATATCGATATGGGAACGAACGCTCGATGATAGCTGGCACTGCTCAGCAACACCTCGGCATGATTATACAATTGAGCAGAAGAAGGTATTTGATAATGCATTTGGGACCTTTCTGGCCAGCTTGAACCAGTGCACTCTGCCTGCTTGACCATTAACCAGACGTTTCAACCCCAAGCAGATGTACCCTACAACCCCCCGCAACTCCATCTTCCTCATCGGAAGATGGCGGTGTTTTTGTCAACTGCGCTTTTTATGACGACGATCCCAAAACCTCTTTCCCACGGATTTCCAAGCCCATAGAACACATACAAGACTCATACGACTACGTTGTTATCAGTTCTGGTTATGGAGGATCTATAGCTGCGTCACGCATGGCCCGAGCAGGCAAGTCTGTTTGCCTGTTAGAGAGAGGAGAAGAGCGATGGCCAGGAGAATATCCTACAGCGACGATCGAAACTGTGAAACAATATCGCGTTACTGGACATTTTATCCCAAACTCATTGGGTGGCATTGGAGTTAACATGGGTAACCCTACTGGCATGTTTCACCTCATTCTCGGCCACGACCAGAACGTTATTTCTGCCAATGGTAAGTTCAAGATGCCCATAAATCCTTTTATGCAAATATACAGGAGCAATCTTCAATTATATGATCACTCACATCGTACCGTTTCTCACAGGATTGGGAGGCACAAGTCTAGTCAATTCGAATGTATTCCTCGAAACAGAACAAGATATCCTCAAGATGGGCTATTGGCCACCCGAAATTCGAGATGACCCGGCAGGCCTAAATAAATGTGAGGCGCATTGAATCTCCCAGCGGCTGTCAATAGAAACATCGCCTTGGCTAACTATTTCCCTGCGTCCAGATTATCAAAAGGTTAGAGATGTGCTTGAGCCAGAGCCGTATCCCGAAACATGGCCACGGCTCAAGAAGATGGATGTATTCAACGAGCAAGCCAAGACTCTTGGATTGCAAGACAAATTCCGCAGAGTCCCTCTGACAACCCGCTTCAGAGACGGTCCCAACAGTTGTGGCGTTAACATGTCGGCGTCAACACTTGCTGGACAAGAAACTACTGGTGCTAACGATGGCTCAAAAACGTCGACATTGGTAACATACCTTGCTGATGCCTGGAACTGGGGTGCTGAAATGTTCTGCAAATGCGACGTACGGTACATTGAAAAGGTTCAGGATATCCGTGGCGGCTACTTGATTTATTTTGCATGCCACGGCAAAGGTCGTAGTCGTTTAACAGTAGGCGATGTTTATGGCGACTTGATGTGGGTGCATGCAAAGGAAGCTGTCTTCCTTGGTGCTGGGTCCATTGGCACAACGGAAATCCTACTTCGAAGCAAACAAATGGGCTTGAGCATAAGCGACTGGGTTGGGCGTGGTATGACTGGTAATGGCGATATTTTGGCTTTTGGGTAAGCATACCAAATGCTTCCGATTCCATAATCTTGTCCTAATGACACGAGGTGTTTTATAGACACAACTGTGATGTGGAAGTAAACGCTCTTGGAAACCCGAACCAAGATCCATCAAATCCCGTCGGTCCAATAATTACCAGCGCCATTGACAATAGAAATGGCCATGAGAACCCACTCAACGGCTACGTGATCCAAGATGGCACAATGCCACAGGCATTTTCAGGGATATTGCCCTGTATACTGGACATGATGCCTGGAAGCCGTGCCTACGAAATGTCGCTTCTTGGGCGAACTCAGGCAGTCATGGGCCATTGGAAGAAGAGACTCTTCGGATCGAATTTGAAAAATGGCCCTCTGGGGAACACTCAAGTCTTTTTAATCATGTCGCATGATGGTAAGCTTGATGCCTCCTCCCTGGGAGAGAAAACATATATCATTAGTCTTGTGTTGCTAAACCAAGGACCAAATAAAACAGGGAACCAAGCAACTCTGCGTCTAAAAGATGACAAGGCATTATTGGAATTCCAAGGGGTTGGAAAAAGCGACTGAGTCAAGAAGTTCAGTGCTCTCTTGGAAATGGCCACAGCTTCTGTTGGAGGCACCCTGGCGATGACCCCGTTCTACAACTTTATGAGTGAGCAAATGATCACGGCGCATCCTCTTGGGTAAGAGACAGCACCCTGGGCTTAAATATGATTGATAGAGATGATTCAATACTGACCTGCTTCTTTGTGTGTAGAGGAGCCCCAATGTCTCGCGATAACACTGGAGCAAATGGCGCGACAAATCACTTGGTTCAAGTTTTCGTCGGCAACAACACCGCAGAGACACACCCAGGCCTCATCGTGACAGATGGGGCCCTGATTCCTGGCTCTATTGGGGTGAACCCGCTTGCTACAATTGCTGCTCTCGCCGAACGCATTGTCGCGGCCTATGCTAAAAAACAACGGCCTTGTCATTAGCGAGGAAAAGAACGGCGTTTTGGATCTCTTTGGGGAGCCGGCGCATCAACCAAAAGATAGTCGCCTTTTGACGACTTTCAACGGCAAAGGGTCCAAGGGGACACCAAGCAGAGCTGAAATGTCCAGATTGAAAAGCGTCGAATTCACAGAACTCATGTCTGGATTCATCCACAGAACGCAGCTAGATATGGTAGTCGATAAGAAGGCAGTTTATGAATCAGCCTTTCGAGCAGCAAAGGGCAGAGGCGAGATTGGCAGATTGTTGGTCAGCGTGAGCGTCTTCAAAGACCATGAATTGGAGAACGAATCTCAGCCCAGCGGTATGTTTACAGGCACGTTTGTATGCCCGACCATCGAAGGTTCGCCATTCACGATAGCCCAAGGTGATTTGGGGCTATTCAAGAAATATCAGGAAGTGACAGGAACCAGCAGGTTGACATATGAAGGCGGCACGGTTGGTACTAACGGTAGACGGCTTCATTTCTGTGGCTACAAGGTGGTTGATGCCTCTGTTTCTTTAAGCCCTCTTCAGATGTGGCGCTCCACGACGACGCTCTACGTTTCGATAACAGAAAGAGCCACCCACAAAACAATGACAATCGCAAATTATAATGAAGGCATCTTGGAGGAAAATATCTTCGTCCTTACCAAGATGTTCCCGTTTCAGTCAGTGAGAAACTGGTTGCGAGTGGCATCTTGCGTCTGCGCCCAAAGGACTTTGTCTCCGAGATGGATGACGCTCTCTCCTTCGGGCAGAGATGTCTTGAGAAAAGCGAAAAATATGACGAGATTCTTGACCTTCTGCGCATCCAAATCCGTATCGCATCTGTTGACGCCACTTGCCCCCCTTGAGTATGCGGATGAGAGAGCTGTATTGTACGTGAACCATACGCCTCCGACTCAGACATTTACAGTCATCTCTGAAGATGGCATCGAAACGCAGTTGCACATGTGGGAGCCAAATCCAAACGCAGTTGCCACTGACTCAAACGGAGCGCCTGTAAAGATTGAGAATCTCTTCATGATTCCAGGCTCATCTGTTGACCATCAAATCTTTGCATTGCCGACGATTCCGTTCAATGCGGTTAATTACTTTACGCGAGCCGGTTACCGTGTTTGGGTGACGGTCTATCGTATATGTCAGCTGAAATCAACGCATAGACAGCCCTGGACAACGTATGACTCGAGGCTCGACATCAAGGCCTGCTACGAGCATATCCGGAAGACGCATGCATGGAACTGGCAAAATCTATACAATTGCTCACTGCATGGGATCCGTCGCTTTCTCGTGTGGCCTGCTTGACGGTACCATCCCATCTGAGTGGGTTTCAGGAATCACCTGCAGCCAAGTATTTATGAACCCAATATGGAGCACTCTCAACATGATCAAGTCCACGTCACCACTGGCGTTGGACAAGGTATACAAATTCATTTTTGGAGATTGGTTCGAAATCGGATCATCTACTCAAGATCCTTGGTCTCAGCAACTGTTGAATCAGCTGCTGCGACCCCACCCAGAAAGAAGAGAAGAAATGTGCAACAATGCCGCCTGCCATCGCACGACCTTTGTGTGTATGGCCGTTGCTGGAGACATAGCAATCTCAATGAGGCGACCCATCGAAACGTTGATCGTTTCTTGGGCGGCTGCAGCATGCACCTAATAAATCTGCTGAAACGAATGGGTAGCTGTGGCGAAGTCAGCACGAATGTGCCCGAGTATACAGAGCTCACGGCACCAGAAATCGTCGAGCGCCTACGTGGCCTTCCATTCCTTTTCTTTGTCGGTGGAGATAGTGCTGTTCTCTCCCCAAGGGCTACAGAGACGACGTATGAGCGCCTGATTGATACGTTTGGCATGTGTGCTGGCCTTCCTGGAGGAAGCATCCAATATCGCCGAAGAGTGGTCCCTGGCTATGGGCATTTGGACTGCTGGATGGGGCGCAATGCTTGGAGAGACGTGTATCCATTTGTACGCGAGGAGATTGATCGAGTTGTCCGAGGTGAGTCGTATAAGTTCCGAGAACCGTATGATAGGTTCAGACAATTTGGAGGGGAAGCGTAAATTGCATACATCTGCGGCGTGCGATAATCTAATTTTTTTTCTTCTCTTTTCGCTGCCTCTTCTTGGAATTGATATAAATTATGAGCCTATGGAGAATGAGTTATGATATGGGGAATCGTTTATGCTGGGGGTACTTGGACGCGCATTTGGATAGTTATAAAGCGTTAATATTTTTCTCTTCTGCTGTTGTTTAGTCGATAGTCGTTAGTCGCCGCACAGCCGCTGGGGAAACCATATATGTTCAATGCCAATCGTTATATAGCATACTGATGGAATAGATACTGCTGCTGCGACCTTTTAAATCACTTGCATCATGGGAGATTGAGCAGCGCAGAGCTAATGCAGTTGCACCACGCTCATGTTCCGCAGTGAGCCTGGGATAGTGAGACCCATTAAACAGCAGTCTCTGGTGGCTGTATGGGTTCATCTTGACCGAATCTCGCAATTCTACGAATTATATACCGTATTTGCCGAATTTCGTACTCGCAAAATGTATCAAGCAGGTGCTATTATTCATCATGTTACATTGTAAAGTGAACTTGGGCTGGGGGCAACCGTTTTATAGTCGCATTCTCTCTAGGAGGCCGTGGCCTATAGAGCTGTAGGACTGTTGTCAGTCTTCTTTTTACGAAGACTGTAGATTTCAGTGCAAAGAATGCCCTTTGCCGGATAGAGAGATAGAGGTCGACTATACGGTTGCAGTAGATGCCCTCTGATCAATGTTTTCAAGTTATAGTGCCCTGTGTTGTTAATTTACTTTGCAGAGCACCTTTCCATTTTCTCTGGATAGTCGTATCCAATGCAACCACTTACATTTGTCCTCGTGAAAGCAACAGATGTGAGTTGTGCGCTTGCATCAGTTTCTTTGCTCAGCTGACATACCACCGTCCTGCGCTGTTTCTCCTTACACCAAGCAAAGCAGAAAGCCCGGTGGCATTTTCTCCAAAATTTTGCTTGCCGTGTTGTTGTATGATGATGACACATCAAAGCAACATTTTGCGGCTAAGAAGACACGAGAGGTGCATAAGTAGCGCAGTTTTGGGTATTGACTAATTCAATCTCTTGCTTCCAACATATGTACATATAAGTGTGGATGCAATGCTCGATTAAAAAAAAGTTAATACTACCTACTTAAGGCGCGGCCAGGCCGTGTGGGTTGCGTCTCGGAGTGGCGCATCCAGAGGAGTCGGAATTAAATGCATGATGCAGAAATTGGCAAATATTGGGCTCGAAATCCTCATTCCTGGTGACACACACACACACGAGCGTTGTTACTACCCATAGCGATGAGAGCCTTGGCTGGACAAATCAATTCTTGCCAGCCACTTCACAATGCTCCAGGCCCTTGCTCTCTCTTCATCTTGAACTGGAAATTTTCAACCCTTCTGGCCATCTCGGCACCGAGAACGAGAGCGAGAGCGAGCAGGCAGAAGGTGTTAATTTATCCTGGCAAGCCTGGATATCATCCTCCCCTCACATTTTCTAGGTTCTCGCCCTTGAGATGGATCGAAAATGGCCGCGTGGTTGACACGCGTGGGTGGCATCCTCTGTGGAGCAAGGAGCAGGGATGGACGCTGCAACTAGAGAGCATATTGCAGCTTTTCAGCTTGGCTTGTGTAGTAGTAGTGGATTCAGCCATGAAAGTGATTCGTCCATTTACGCAATACAACCATCGCGAAGACACGAAGAGCGAAAGCGCCGAATCGTGTGTACACGGCGTCTGCGAGAATGAAACAGGGTTCCAGTATGAAAAAGACCTCAGAGATCAGCGGAGGAATGTACTGCGTCCTGATGCGGGTATCCATTCGTTAGAAATCATGAACCTATCGTAGTCGTCCGTTCCTAAGCGAGAAGCTTTTGCCCAGTGCAAATCAATACGTCGGCTGTTTAGCTGCGACACACACGGACGCTACTGCAATACGATCAAACGGGGTAGCCACATAAAAAAAAAAAGGAGCGGCACACCTAGCCTGTATGCTGCGACTGACCTGGCTGATGAATCATTCCGAAATAACCGCAAAATGAGAGCCGAGTCACTCGAAAGAGCAAAGAAAGCAAACCATTATTGGTGTAATCCGCCATAAAACCAAGTATCACTGCTGCAAAGCCGATATTATTCAAGCTCTTGGTGCTGACTGCATCCCATTCTCTTTGCCCACGTCCACTGGGGCTAGTCTTAGCATAGCCGTCGTGTTACTAATAGCCTGGTGGAGAGAGAGCCGCTTGTCTAGCATCGGGACGGAGCCGAGTTCGGGAACGTGTGGGGAATCCATCGGTGGCGCAATTGCCAAAGAGGGAAATCCAAAGATACTGAATTAGCATCTCCGTTCTCTGGCCAGTCTCCATCTCGGACGACTGGAGCTCATGGGACTGCATCGTCCACCAGGTTTGGGGGAAGAGGAAGAGGACAAATACAACAAACAGCTGGTTATCAAATAAGGCATGACCATGTTGGTCGCTTTCTGCTCCGCATTTGAATTCCAATCTCGTGTCGTTGAAAGGCGAATAGACTGCAGTTGGAGTACATAGTAGGGGCTCACTGCGAGTTGATGGTAGCGGCAAGGGGTCGGCAGCGTAGTTCAAAACCGAGTCATGATAAGTGGTTCCACAATAATGTCTTGTTTGACGTCAATTTCCGAATCAACTGCCGGAAAAAGGAGAGTAACAAAGAAGAGGGCTAGCAAGGATACCGAGCATGCGAGCTTTCTTGTCTTGCCTTCTGGGTCAATGCCATACAAGGCAAGGATGCGATCCAAGTCCCACCCCATGCGTTGCCGTCAACAGAAATATTCTTCTAGACGATAGTATAGGAGCTAAAGTAATAGCTGGCGATGCAGCTTGAAGCTTTGTCTTTGACAGGTTTCGTGGGTCCAAGAGGGGCTGTTTCTAGCCAGGAAATCGATAGATTAGCCTTTTGCAAATCGTAAGCACCGTATTTATGTAGTGGCGATTTGGTATGGCATCTGCTAAGAAGAAGCGAGCAATGATGTGCATTTGGAGCTTGGTGGAACGAGATATTTCAACCTCTCACAAGGAGCATAAAGCACTCTTTTCGCCGATATCCATGTTCGCGTTAATATCCAGTCTTCAAAAGTGCTTGCTGCATTAAATTATTCTTCAACAATGCTGTAATTACGCTCGGGCTTTGGATCTTTTGGGGTGTGATGGGAAGAATGGCTGTCTAAAGTCCTATCCAATAAACTCGTCAGTGTCTTTTTGGATATCTTTGTAGCACAACTGGGCAGATTTTGGGTTTGTTTATGCCATAGAACAAAGAAATCTGACATGAGATGTAGGATTGGTTGCATCTGCATGCCGTGCTCACCCAGAAATGCCCAAAGTCAGAATAACGAGAAGAGAATTGTGACAAGGCCGGTGGAGTGAATAGCGAATAGCCTGTCGATAGCCTTGTGACGATTTGCTGCTAGATAAAATCGAAAAAATTATTGAAATTCTGAAACATACTGTGAGACCATATTCTTTGAAAAAAGATTGGTTACTTCCTCAGGCATCAATCATGGCCTCTTGCCTGCATCGCATTAAAGCAACACGACGACGACGAGCACCAAAATATTGACCCCCACGTGCGATCTTGCGGATATCCAGGAATAAATCCTGTCAGAATCGAATGACAAAGCGTTATTTCCGTGCCATGGCGCATCTCAGCTCACATCATTTTGCTAATCATCATCCCAAGTGTCTGTTTTCATCCCTTCGGTATTACTCACTACGGAGACTCCTTTGCATAGTAAGGCGGATTCGCTGACGGGAAACTCCACACAGTAAAATCCCGACACAAACGCCGACAGCAGACAGAAAACGCCGACCAGAATATCAACCGTCTGCAGATGATATAAGTGTACCTATTCTTCTCTCGTTACGTTACATTTAGCGTAATCGCCACTGGATGAGGCTCAATTACCTACGCACACGCTCTATCGGAAATTTCCAAACAAGGAAACAAAGACGCTGCTCTGGTCATCTTTTCAGCTCACGAGCGTTAACCCATCAAAAGCATCTACAAGTCCGGGAATATAGCGCTACCCAATTACGACTAGCCGCGTCGAATACCCGCTATGCCATGGAACAAGCTCCAGAATCCTACGTCGATGCCCTCGTTTCCATCATGGCAATGTTTCTTCCCAGATAGGAAAAGGGATGAAATGACATTCTTAGCGCAAAGTCTACGGCAAGCTATCAAGTACTAGCCTTGTCCTTCGCCGGCGGGATGAGCGGAGATTATCGCTTCGAGACCCCAGAAAAAAAAAAGAAGAGCTAACTGTCACGACCATTTGGTAGGGTATAACTTCCGCTTTGGGACGCTGGGCCCGGCTGTGATATATGGACGACGCTGCTGTCACAAGATCTTGGCCGGAGGATGAGGTGGAGTAGGAAAAGCGTCATTCTATTCAAGTACCGGGCATCCCCATTGTTTGTCTATGCCAAGAGCTCCTCAGTATTCTTACTTGTTGCCGCAAGTGCAAAATAAAGCACCCCGTTGAGCCCGCACGACGACTAAAGTTTATGAAGCGTATTCGACTTAGTACATCACACCAACATCAACACGGCTTATATAAATCTTCAATACCAACTCCCCTTTTTCGACAGCTTTCTCCTTTTTTAAAAAGCAGAAGAAAGCAAAGTTCAATTTTAACCCCAAAACACAACATTTTTTGCAAAAATGTGCGCCCAAAAAATTACAGCTGCCGGAAGTCAGGCTTCAGAGCAAACCGGCTTCGAATACTACCAAGCACAGCTAGCTATCCAAGCTGAGAAGACGCATAACCAGCTAATAGAGCTGCTTGAACGCCTGGAAAACCAAAACTCGCGATATAGGCCCTCTGAAGGCGCGACGAGACAACAAAGCGGGCAAAATCAACGGCGCAAGAATGCCCCTATTTGGATAACGCCAATGTGTTCAACCTCGTCAACGTCAACGTCAACGTCATCATCATCATCTTCTCCTATTTGATTCACCATTGTTCGCTGGGAATGGGGGCTTCATCCAAAACCGCCACGAGCATACTACAGTACTTGGGAGAGCAAAAATTTACGCTCCTTTGATGCACTTTTGCAATTGAATTCGGCAAAAACACCCCGCGTAGCCGTCTGAGCAGGATACTCGGGTATTTCGGGTCGGAGTTGAGGCGCAGAGGATAAATGATGGGTCAAACTTTTAGAGCAGAAATATGCGGGAACATATTTTTATCGTGATGATTCATCATTGTACCTCTACAGGGATAGGGCTTTGATATGGTATGACTAGTATGTCAATACATGAAACTAAGAAAAATATGCCAAAATTTGGTGTAGCTTCTACCTACTATTTGCAGTGATGCCAGGGAATGCAGTAAGCTTTAATATACTTTTACAATAGAAGCTTAATCTACCAAGACAATCCGCCCAAGAACTTTGTCCTGCATGCTGCTTCCCGAATCATATTCCTCGTGCACTCTCTCCAAGACCGCTTTCAAAGAAGAGAAACCATACAGATTATTACCGCGAATTGCCGGAAGCTCCAATTCCAGAGCAATTTTCGGCTATAGTGGACATCATATCTGACATCTCAGGGCGCAGAGTGGATAGGCGGGTAGGGTATGAGTAAACTTCGAGTAAGCATACGATAAAGATAGTGGTTGACGACTTTTCGAGTGAACAAATCGGATTTGGAATGTATACGTGTACCTGGGAAAGCCAATCCCCAATGTCAAATTGGATACACGAGCTTCACGCCCGAAACTTTTCCCTCCCGCATCTCCTGCAATCCATCCAAAACGCCGCTCCAACTCCCCCTTCTTACGCTCTGCGGATGCGGCCTAATCCTGCCCTGCCACAGCAACGCCTGCGCTAGCGAAACAAACTTGACTGCGAAATCGTAATTCTTTGGGTTTGCTGGAACTTCCTGGCCTCCGAAGTCGAACGCCTCTCCAAAGGCCGTGTAGGCCATGATTTGAAGGTTCTCAACGTCGTTGCGCGGAAGCTCCTGCAGACCGCTGAGGCCGGCGTATTTGCCGCCTTGGCTGCTTATGGCGTTGCAGCATATCTCGGCCGTTTCGGGCTTAGAAACGGTATCGAAAACGTGTCCCAGCTGATCGTTTGTGATTTCACGGATAGAGGCGGCGCATTTCGGCGAGTTGTAGTCGTAGACGTGATCTGCCCCTAGGCTTCGGACGAGCCAAAAGTTCTTTGGGGAACATGTTGTGATGACTTCTAAGCCAGATCTAAAACATGCCATTAGCTTTGACTGACTGGGCGACATACATCCTAACACAGTATCATTCAATCATGAAATACTCACAATTTTGCAAATTGAATAGCCAAGGTGCCTGTTGCCGTACTGCCTCCATATATCAAGACCGGAAACGACTTCATTGGAGGATCGTCGGGCCAAGGCAAATCTAGGGACTCGTAAAGACCTTTACCGACAGTAATCATGCCAGCGCCTAGTGTTGCGGCTTCTTCAAATGACATGTAGTCTGGTATCTTGAGCTGAAGGTCTCCTTTGGCAGCAATATGTTCTGCAAACGCTCCGTCTTCATGGTTCGAGAAATTACCTTCCAAAAAATCATCAGTAGAGTTTCTCAAGTAGCTGGCCTAAAATATGCATACTGCCATGAACCATTCCCATGACTCTATCACCAACATGAGGTCCATGCTTGACTGCAGGGCCAACTTGCTCGACTACTCCACTGTAGTCACAACCTACAATCGCTCCAGGGCAGGTCAGATCGTCAATCTGCTTCCAGTCAACCGGGTTTAAAGCTACAGCGACCGTTTTAACAATGATGTAGTCATCGCGAAGTTTGGGCATGGGAGTATCAGTAACGATCTCTGCCTTGCCAGGGCCTTTCATCTGGATCGCGGTTTGGGTAGCCATTGGTGCTGCGTGAGGAGGCAGGAGAAAGAAATTTGATAGGCTTCCAAATACAAGTTACGTACCATTTGTCTCATGTCTTCCCTGTTTCAGCGATTGAAAGGTCAAACTACCCCGCAAAGGGCTTTTTCCCACGTTGTCTGTCGTCTCTCCACGTTACGTACATGTAGAGTTCGCGACAGCAACTTCACAGCTACTCACAAGAGACAACTTGCAACGGAGTGCTGCCACGTGATGAAAAAAGTCCATGTTATGTAGCTAGCACGTACAGAACTATCTGTCGATCTACCCCAAGTCTTGGAGCGTTTTAGCTCAGCCCGGTATATGGAGGATCGACGGCGGTCAATAAAGTTTGAACCACTCTATAACTTCGGTGTGAGGCTCTGGTCATCACGTCATAACTAAATACAATGGAACTAGAGGTTAGGCTGAGAAAAGTAATAGTAGTGCCCTCCTCAAAAAACCCATTGCAAGCGCTTTTTCGGAGGTTACATCGAGCGGTAAGCCACCTGCTTTGACGAACTCACTGATGCATTTCTGGTAGTTGAAGGAAGACGATTTGGCTGCTCGCTGTGGACTACCGTCAACTAATGCCGTGATGGTACCTGAGAAATGGTGGTGGCTCATGTTCGCCCAAGGATTTTCTGGTGAGATATTGTTAGCCAATCCGAGTGAAAATGGAAATGAACTCAGCTGCAGTCTTACCTCGTAAATTGCATTTATACTCTCTTGTTCTTAGAGTCGTCAGACGATGTCGGCATGGAAGTGGCTGGAAGGTCGCAAACGATTCTGGTGATGTGTAAGGAGGAGTTAGGGAAAATCATAGCCATCAACTCGGGAGGCAATTTTTGAAATACAGGCCTATGTTCAAAGGACGTAGATGACCCTCACTGACACGAACATGCAATTACCTACTGAGCCATCATTCCAACGCAATGGTAGCATTGCGAGAAAAAAGGTGCTTCTGAATTTCGACCTGTATATGAAGCCAAAACACCAAAGGACGCTGAGAAACGGTTTCTGGCCCCGTGAATATTGATCAGCTCAAGCAACGAAAGAAGCTCTCAGGTCATGGTCGTGGCTTACCGGTTTCTAGCACGCGTAATCACTGGCGATTGGTAGGTAAAGACTGTTGATGGAGGAGAACCAAAAAAGAAGGTGTTAGATGGGGAGGTTGTTAGAGGATGTTGATGAAAAGAAAAGAAAGAAAATGGAAGAACGTAGAAACGAAGAAGTCGTGTCAGCTGAACAGGCCTGGCAGCAGTGGGTCATCACTGATATGCGGTGCTTCAGCTCTTAGTTCTTCGTTACGCCGAGCTCACCTCCCCCAATGCTCCAAAGGAAAGGTACAGACATATTGACCGCCAAAACAAATACGTAATTCTGCATCTTCTTCACTAATTAGAGGCGTTGAAACAGCAGCTACCCCCTTTCTTCTCGCTAAACGGAAACGCTACAGCAGCAACTGCTAGCAAAGGCTCGCTTAAATAAGGCCTGGAACAGGCGATAAGACGTCACAAGACATTCATTAGTTTCCGAGGGCAAAAGAGCAGGCGCCGTGCGGAGTAAACAAACGGTGACCCGTTCAGAGAGGTACTGCTTGGATCACTCGTGCAAAGCAAAACATGGCATAGCTCGGAAGTATCACAGCGGCAATTGTCTCATCTTTCGCCTGCTGATGGCCTCTTTTTGTCTCTTTGTGAAAAATAATTGTCGATGCTTGCCGACAGACGGTTCCATTCTTTTCTTCTCTGTTTATCTTTGAGGATTATGCAACAATATGCCATCTGCAGCTAGCCTTTTCCCCTCTCAGAAATTGCAACCCAAGAGGTGTTGCTTCCCACTTCGACAAGAATTTCCGTCGAACAAGTATCTTAAGATTATTGCAACTCCTTTTTTTTCATCAAATTAGTAATCATGGCGCTCTAGCAAGCTCAGATCTCTCTACCATGGCCACTCTACAGCTCTTCAAGATCGTTCGGCTGTGTTCTTGGCCTGAATGATTGGTCTGAGCTAAGCTGGCGCAAGGCACTGGAGAATTTGCATAACTTGCGATCAAGGATCACGATCCGATTCACTCAGTCTCTTACAATGCCTACCAAGATTCTATTCGAGAGCGGCGCGTATTCCACATCGCCTCAGCCTTCATCGTTGTATCCATGCCATGTAGCGAACAAGACAACCAGACCTACGACTAAACCGGTAGTATAAGGATAAGATGATCCTATGGAGACGAGTGATTGTCTTTCAACCAACTTTGGCCGCTGAATCGATCTTGAACAAAGCTGTTCTCTTTTTCTTAAATCAAGAGCTAGGTTTACTTGAATATGCTGCCACCCTACTGCAGTTAGTATTGTGCATGTTCTGATTTATTACGGAAGACATATATCAGCGCCAAGGTTCGTATCACAAGCATAGCCTACTCAGCTTTTCATACACGAATGAAGGTCTAACACGGCATGATCCAGATTTAAAATTGGTAGGTGACCACTCTCATTTCGCCAAAGCAACTAAATCTCTAACTCGGAAACTAGACTCTCCCAGAACGCACATCGACTCATTTGATTCTGTGGGACAGCCTCAACAACTGTGTTGTTATTGTTGATCACAAGCCTCGATCCTCCTGCTTGTCCGTTCCACTGTGGCCACGATGGTGACCCAGAAAAGGCGAAAGTGTTTGGATTCAATGACCGAACAAAGGAGATGTAGTAGCCCTGCAGCTGATCAATGTTGGTCAGGTTGGAGTTGTCATAGCCGCCTCCAAAAACTGCACCCAGATCAAAGCCGTGGGGAACCCCGACTCCGCTTTGAATGTTGCTTTGCGTCAACACGTTGAAGCGGTAGGCCCAGATAGGCTGCCCGGCTTGTATAAAATACTTGCCAAAATTGAGTCCGTGGCAGGTTACGAGCACATCGCCATAGGCAAGTTCCGCTGCAGGAAACCAGGCTGCATGGCCATTAAAGGCGGGCTCAATATTCTCAGGATACTGGGCAATGATTGCAGATGTGTTTTGGCTCGACAGACGAGGGTAGTTATTCTGGAAAAAGGTTTCAATCTCATCGGGCGATGATGCGTTGGGGGCACCCAAAGTCGTCCCCTCATCTGTGACGCTGCCAAAGAACATGGGGACCTTGACGAATTTGCCAGTCTCGAAAGCCTCATAGGCGCCAGTCTGCAGGAATACGCCATCCACGCAAGGCACATACGGATAATTGGGGGCATTAGATTGGCCAGGATAGACGATGGGGACGTTGAACTGCTGCAGCGCGGTGGTGCTGAGACCGCGAAGGCAAGATAGAGAGTCGGAGCTGGAACCGCATCCGGCATTGCTGACGAGAGCATCATATTGGAACTGAATCTCCGACACTTTAGGTTGAGTGATCTGAGGGAGCGACTCAAACATGGCTCCGACGAAAAGACCCTGGTTTTGGCCTCCATTGGCGAGAAGTTGCAACGACGCAGCCTCGGCACCTGCGCTCTGTCCATGTATAATGACATGTGTTGGATCGCCACCGAACTGGGCGATGTGCTGCTGCACCCACTTCAAGGCAGCCTGCTGGTCGTATAAACCGGCATTGGCCACTCCATTGGCCTGGATCTCCGAGCTGGCCAGGAAGCCAAAAATGCCCACGCGATAGTTTAGGGTCACAAGCACGATTTTGTTTCCAGAGTTGGCTACTGCACCACTGCCATCCGTTCCTGCAGAAGCCAAGCTCTCAAAACCTCCTCCTTGGATGAAAACCCAGACAGGGAGTTTAGAACTTGGGCCAGCACCCGAAGGGGCCCAAACGTTGACAAAGAGGCAGTCTTCACTCTGGCCTTGTGGATTTGGTCCAGCATTAGTAGCCATGCAAACGTCTCCAAACTATAAAGAAAGAAACAGTATATCAGATATAAAGATTGCTATGGTAGTGAGCTGGACTGGGATACATACCTGGGTAGCAGACTGGACTCCAGAGACTGTGGGAGGGGCAGTTGGGGCCTTCCATCTCAAACTTCCTGTTGGGGCTGCTCCATATCGCATGCCCAAGAATCTATTGATTCCACCAGACGTTGAGCCTTGGTATGTAGCATATCCCAAGTTCACTTGTGGTGACTGAGCACTAACAACTGTGCCAGAGCACAGCAGAGCGCAAGCCAGCTCCAAAAGCCTAGATACACGCATTCCGATGAATGAGATGATGTTTCGGATTGCTTTCGATACTCTGGATTTAGATCTCTGGTAGTATCTGCCCCTCACGCCGTCCCGTATTTATATTCTTTAAGGGGCACATCTTGATGCCGGATACTGCGGATTCATAATAGTGATAATCCCGTCGGGAAAGGCTGCAATTTGGCGTCGTCCACCAATGCTGACTGCCCGTGTTTTGAGCTTCCTGGACGATCAGGCACGATGATGAAGGTCTTTATTATGTTTTACCGTACGACGCACTTACAGATTATATGCCGGACCCAGCATAACTCCCTCTTCACGCAGCTGTGACGGTACCACTTGCCTATTGCACATTTACTATTTGAAACAGGGGCGGTTAAAATCGTTATTGGCCGACGGGTAGCGCAGCTGCATCTAGCGCAGAAAAAACCCTTGATGACTGGTAGCCGGCAGGGGATAATACCTGTTTGAAGCTTGCTGATGGATAGTTTTGCGGGCTACTACGCTTACAATCTGCCCACATGAGATTCTGTAAGGGTATACCTTTGGGGTATGATTTGCGCATTGAAATAGTATCGAGAGATCTATACGGCTGAATGATTCCGGAAGAACCTGAAGCATATTTAGAGACGAAAAAAAGCAAGATATTTACATGGGAGGAAAGTTGCTGCTGCGAGCTTATACGATCGACCCATATGAGCTATAGGCTTGCTCCCGGCGGATATGAGCGAACAAGAGAAGAGAAGAATGCTTGCAATTTCGCTGGGCTTTACCTTCCAGACAAGGGCAGGAAGGCCATTTGTTACATATACATTGAGATGCCCTCATACGACATGGCTTATACGAGAAAAAGGCAGCCAACATCTCACCTCCTCTAATGTTACAAAACTCTCTGGAATGGGCGCTGAGTAGACAAAAGCAAAAAAAAAAAAAAAAAAAAAAANAAAAAAAGGCGGACAAAACATATGGACGCTGTGGGTAACATGTGGTTTTTTTCTTTTTTCTTTTCTTTTTTTTTTTTTTTTCCATTTTTTCATTATGGGTATTAATTTTCTTTCCAAAACAGGCAGGTCATACAACTTCAATCACCGTCACATTACCCACCATGGTTTAATCTGAATCTCCTCATATTTTTCGGCTACGTCAGGTGCTGTCTTTTATCAAGAGCTTAAGAGCCACAGCTGTCATATGAGGACGATATAGGCATCTATCTTGCTTACTAGTACAAACCACGGCGTGGACTTTGGCGGCTACAGGGGTGCGACGCTTAACTCAGCTACCTATTATCACTGCATGCTGGGGACAGTCCAGAATCATTTAATCTAGCCAAAGAGAGAATATGATGCTACCATTGCCAACTATTCTATTTACATGCCTACTTTTCTCTGGCAGATTTTGGGCCGGCAGTATAGGTCTTATTCAACCAAGCAAGGGAAAAAAGGCAAACAAGCTTGAACCTCCCTATCAACATTGAACTTTGACGCGATGGGCTGTTTCATATGCTCGATACTTGAGCGGTAAAAGGGGACTGCCTGGCCAAGGCCAGACGAGGACAAGACACGACAAACAAGACAACTCAAAGCAAGGCGAAGCAGGTCTGGCCGTGAGTGGCACGAAAAGAATGTTGTGAGCTGGCACACGTCTTATGCAGGTACGAGTTGCACGAAAGAAGAGCTCGAGTGGATCGCGGAAATGGCCAGTGCTGTTTTGATAGGTCCCGCTTTTCGCTCGAGTATCACTACTGCGCAAGTAGGGCCAGCTCAGAGTTCTAGGCCTGAGGTTTCCGTCAAATCAGGGCCCCGATCTTGGGACCATCTTGTGCAGGATCGAGTGGTGCTTTGGGAGACTCCCCTGAGGCGCTGGCGATGCGCCAGCGATGCCTGCCTACCTAGATGTAAGGCGCTATGCAGGGGATATGCAAATACGCATCGTATATGCATTTCACAGTCCTGACAGCGAAGAAACAAGAGACAAGAGACAACATGCTACAGTATACATTCAAGCACTGAGGGAACGAGGATGCCCGGCATTTGGCCTGACTACCTTGCATTCAATGGAGGACTACCTTTACAGCTTGCTTGTGGTATACACTACTGTAGCAGTACCTACTACACTAAGACGAAGCTATCAATCAATCAATCAATCAATCAATCAATCAATCAATCAATCAATCAATCAATCAATCACTGCAGGCCTCTGCACACCTCACTGCCAGTTGCGTTGCTAGCCAGTCCCACGCCCATAGCTGCTGTGGAGAAAGGGTTGCACGGCTACCACCTTGTTGGCGTCTATCCCAGAAGAACATGTACTCTATTCCGACTTGATAGCCGCCTGGGCAAGATTCAGCACACAGACGCCCTTCCTCATGAAGCTTAGAGTTGGGCCATGACCCCATCTTTTTCTTTTTCTCGCGCCCACTCTCCACTTCTCTTATCTTCATCTGCTGCTCGGCTTGGCTATTTGGGGCACAGAGCAGTCTAAATCCAAGGTCGACAATGGAGAGAAGGGAAGAAGAGGAGGAGGAGGAGGAGGAGGAGGAAGAGTGGATGACAAGAAGAGGCAAGAGGCCAATAATTGCGGAGCATTAGCTCCAGTGAAGCTCCCGCATCTTGTGGAGGCCCCCAGGCGGGCAGCCGCGTTCTCTCAGCGGCAATAGCAGCGATATTTGGACAATGTACTGGTACCTTGAACTCCCGTCGAGGTGCAATCTTCAAGAGACTAGGCGTGGCTGCATGGCATGGCGAGCACAACTGGCTTGGGAACGCATGGCTGACCACAAAGGGCGTTTATGATGCATCACATTTATTTCTTGAAAACGCTTGTACAGGTACGAGGATGCTCATCCGTTCATGCTGGATGTCAGCCACCATGCTGCTTGTTTCTCTCTGTATGGATTCTGTATCCCAAGCGGGATATACCTACTGTACAGGAGGTATTGTACAGGAGGTATTATACAGAAGGTATTATTACATGGTGGTCCACGTAGCAGCACAGGTGCGTCTCTGAGACGTGCAGATGCCACCGGCCAATGCGAGCATACACGGACGCCGGCTGATAGACCGGCTCGACGTTACCGAGCACCTCTCTGCTGAATGCCCAGACAGAGAGCCTGCTGCTTCAGGCGCTCGCTCCTTTTGTCGTACGATGCCTGCAGCAATAGCCAGCAATAGCCAGCAACAGCCCATGCGAGGATCAAACGCCCGTGAGCCGTGGGGCCTGCTGTGCGACTCGCACGGCCATTTTACATGCATTACCGTATGCCTACTATGTATACTATGTATACTATGTATACTATGTATATACCTACAGAGAAGCATTGACATCCAGAGCTGATTCCCTCTTCAGGGCGATGCCAAAGGTGGTGATGCTTGACGGCTGGCACTTGCTTGGAGGATCAAAGTCGGCAGCATGCAGCCACAAACGACTGGGAGCTGCAAGAGCCAACCGGCAGTTGATGGGCTTGACAGGCAAACGACGAAGAGGGAAGAGGGAGATCCATGTCCATGCCCTCCATTTGATCGCATAGATATAGCACTACGAAAGGTGGTGGTGCTAGTGGTGCTACCTCGACTTCAAAGTACCTCTACCTGCCTCGTATGATGGATAAGAACGCCGCCACCAGTGAAGCGGCGCCTGCAATTGGAGAACTGGCCCCCCATCCTTTTCACTTGTGTGTGTGTGAAGGAAGCTGGATGGCTGCTTCACCAGAGACGTCTCCTTTTGATGGCCCGGATTGACCTGCTGGCGAATTCATGCATAAATAAGCTTTCAATTGGAAACAGGGAACGTTTGTGCAGCCTAGAAAAACAATGAAGCACGAGATGGACTTCCAGGGCCCAGAACAGGGCAAAGCAGCATCGAGATGCCTCGTTTCCATGCGCGAAACCAGCTGCTTGACAGACATGGATTGCCACAGACGCCAAAGGCCGCGATGAAAAACCATCTGCGGAGCTTCCCCTCCAAGATTCAAGCTCTTTGCTTCCCCCCTCGCTCTGGCCTGTGCAAAACCCTGGCTGCAGGCGGATGATTGCCCCCGGCGCATCCGCCCAGCAAGGGATCCTCGTCAGCCTCAACTGGCTTGCTGCCCCCCTCCCTTGTGCCGCTCCCCTGTCGAGACGCAGCAGGGCCTGCACAGGACGCTGCGAATAGCTTCAGCACATGTGCAAGAAAGGAGCCGGCCACCTGAGCTAGCCTGGCCGTTTAAGCATTGAAGCTTGTGTGTGTATCCTCTACAGGGCTTGATCTGGTACATCTAGTACTTGTCCAGCTTGATACGAGTACTACTAGGTACTAGCTGGCCAGCAACCAGACACTAGACTGCTGTGCTAGCCAGTCTCCAGCCGCGCCTGCTGTTGATCTCACTTCATCTCCCTCTATATGCACGAAATACGGAGCAGCTAAGCTGCCATTTTATGGAGTCGATGCACCTGTACTGCTGCTATTATCGAGGACTAGCACTTTAGCATCTGGCGAAGCGTGGAGCTCGGCCGCTCTAGTGCGGGCAGCCTGGAGGCGGGATCGAGAAAAGAGACGAGATCACAAGAGCGCGAGACAAGAGAAAAGGGTCGTGCCAGCCGTGCAATGCAAGTCAAAGGCGAATTGGCCGCTCCCCTGCCTGCCGCCGCCCCGTTGCCGTTGATGCCACGCCTCGTCTTGCGATGCCCGCAGCGTTGGCTGGCACAGCTGCCGAGCGGTACCTACTAATGCCTATAGTAGTACCTACTGCTAGAGGTACCTACCTAGTGCTGCCACCGCCGAACGAAGCCACCAAGCAAGCCAAGCCCCTGTATCCGTCCATCCAGCCGCTACAATCCATGTCTGCGCGGCCATCCTGCTGGTGCCCTCCCCCCCTTGGCTTGTACCGGTACAGGCGCAGGCAAACCACTGCTGCACGCACATCTAAATATACAGGCAGCCACTAACTACTACAGTAACCTGACTGCCGCCACTACTGCTGTAGAGCTCAAGCTGTGCTGAAAAAGCAAGGGCCATCCTTGGCTTGGACCCCGAGAAGAGGAGGCTGCATTCAATCCCATTTGGCTCTGGCACAGGCACAAGCACAGGCATTGCGCAGACAAGGCGAGGCGGCAGTGAAGCAGAGGAAAAAGCGAGGCGAGGCCAAGACGACGAGGCAAAAAGACGAATCACAGCTCCAGCCCAGGACCAGGTCCGGTTGTGCGTGCGTGCAGAAGCTCCTCGTTCTGGTTCTGGTACCGCGCAAGTACCCTCCCGCGCAGCCAAACGCCCGGAGCCCATCACTCGCATAAGAATCAAACTGATTCATCTCCTTCTTGTTCACCTTCGCTCTCGCTTCACCTCGCCTGCAAACGACCACCACCAGCAGCGGCGGCAGCGTCCAAGCGCCCAGAGACTGCATACGACTGATCATGCGAGCTGCATGCGCTGTCGTGATGCCCTAACGGCCGCGGCGACTGCCAATTCTCCTCCTTCACTCTCCTCCTCCTGCTCTTCCTCCTGCTCTTCCTCTTCCTCTTCCTCTGCCTGGCTCTCCTCGGACTTCCTCCTCTCTCGCTCACGCACCTTCTCTCAGCTTTTGGGAAATCCCAACTCTTCTCCCTCCTCCTCTCGCACCTCCTCTCGCACCTCCTCTCTTTTCTCCCCGCCTCTCTACTGTTTACTCTCCTCTCTTGTCTCTCGTTCATCAGCCCCAGGCCAGGCTTGTCAGGCCGGTCGCCGTTTTCACTTCACCCTGACTCGGTTTTTCTATCCTGTCCTCTCGTTTCCAGCCCACCTGGTAGCCCCCCCTTGCGCCCTCTGCTTTCTCGGATAATCGCCAGAACAGATCAGATCCCGCGGTTGCAGTCTCCGGGCCCTCGCCATCTCTCTCTTGGTCCCCCTTGTCCCTCTTGCATGGCACACGGCTCGGCAACGCCATTTCCCAATCCTGCTCCAGCTCCAGCTCCTGCTCCTGCTCCTACTCCAGGGCAGCAAACGAGGCTGAAAGAGGATGGCGCCGGACATTGCTAACAAGCTCAAGGCCACGCTGTTTAGGCGGCGGCGACGCGAGTCCTCAGCATCGACAACTGATGGCTTTGACTCTATATCGCCACCTACAACTCCCGGTGTCGTCAGCAGCTCACGGAGACCATCGTTTCCATTTCCACGTGAGCCCTCATCTCAGACTCTGTCATTGTCTCTAGAGCTGATGACGGGGGATGCAGGAATTGGAATAGGAGGCTGCGGTGGTAGCGACGATCTCAGCGACGCTGGTGACTCTGCCCAGACAAGCAACGACGCCGACCAGCAGCAGCAGCAGCAGCGTCCAAGACAGCAGCATCATCTTTGGAAAAGGAGACGGAGGTCCAAGCAGGGAATTGATATTGAGAAGCGACACAGCGTCCCCGAAGGCGGCGGCACTGTCGACGAAGACGTGACGCCGCTAGCATCTCCAGACATGCCAGTATCCCCAACATCGCAAGTAGTAGCGCCAACAGCAGCAGTAGCCGCACTTTCACCGTCAAAGCAAACTCAAGACATTGCCATGAGAACCATCGATAGTGAAAAAGAAGCCAAGGACGAGCACAGTATCGACAATGGGAAAGGCAACGACAGCAGCGCCGGCAATGGTAACGTTATTAGCAGCGGCAACAGTATCAGTCACGGCAACAGCAACGACAACGACAACGGCAGTGAGCAGCAGCAGCAGCAAGAAATCGACCGCCCCAGCCCAGCAGCCACTACAGACATGGAAACGGCCTCTGTTTCTGCAGCTTCGGCAGCATCTGTTCTCACCACTGCCTCTGCCACTTCGGCTTCGACTTCTGCTGCTCTGCAGCAAGCCTCAGCAGGAGAGCAGCCACCACAGCCATCGCCGCCTGCACTAGACCAGCGGCAGCTACAGCGCCCGCGCCAGCTCCCGGCTTCGGCAGGGGGCCGCGCTGAGGATCAGACGCCGAGCCGAAGCCTAGACGGCCACGAAGCGAGCCGCCATCAGCACCAGAGCCAGAGCCATGCCCAGCTCGACGGACAAGGTTTGTCGGTTATTAACAGCGACCAGGGAACCGCCCAGGCTGGCACTGCAGCCGCGAACAGCACCTCCACGGCCGCTGCTGGTGCTAGTGCTGGCGCTGATGCCGGTGCTCGTATTACGGCGGCCTCTGCTGCTGCTGCTGCTGCTGATGGCCCAAGTACAGGTACCGCCAGCCCTGGCAGCGACACCAGCGCCAGCACCATTGTCTCTGCTGGCCCCATTTCTGGCGATCTGCAGCAACAAAGACAGCAGCAGAAACAAGCGCAAAAGCGCCCACGCCAGCCAGCGCCACCGTTTCCGCCCTCTTCGCTTCCAACGACGCCGACTCCTCTTTCGCTTTCGCAGCCGCTCTCGGCTCCGGCACTGTTCAACTTTCCTGCTCTTGCAACCCCCACGTCGCTTCCGCTTCCCAGCCTGCCGAGTCTCGACAGCATCGACGAGGACGAGTCGCAATCGCCCTCGCAGTCGCAGCCACCATTGCAGCAGCCGCCTCAATCGCAATCGCAGTCGTCACCGCTGCAGTCGCCCGAGTCCGATTCTCAGTCGCAGTCGCAGTCGCAGTCGCTACTCCAGCAGCAGCAGCAACTACTGCTGGTTGAATCGGAACAACAACAGCACCAGCACCAGCAGGAGGAGGCACCTTCCTCTGCTTTGCCAACCACCGCAGCAGCGGCCCCAGAAGCTCAGCATCTCGCAGCAGCAGCAGTTTCTGGTCGCGGCTTCCACGCTCCGTCCTCGCCTGACGCCGGTCATGGCCCGCTGAATCTGAATCCCGCATCGCCACTGCCGCCCAGCGACGCTCAGCAATTGCCATCGCAGTTGCCAGCCACATCCTCGACAGCGCCCGAATCGTCCTCAGCGGCTGCAATTTCCGCGACTTCGGTCTCGACTTCCGCTGCTTCGACTTTTGCCGAAAATTCTTCCCTGTCCAACGCATCCGCGCGCCCTTCTGCACCGCCCCGTCGAGCGAGCCGTGATTCAAACCAAACTGTCACTTTTGACGAATCTGTGCAGCACTTCACGCCGCCTGCAAGGAGGAGAAGCATCAGCAAGAAATACAAAACTCTCAGCTACAACAACGATACTGCCGACGCGCCCAGAACGCCAAGCACCGAAACCCCGGTCTCAGTCATTGTCACTCCAAGCTATCTCGCGCCTCCCGTTGTTTCTGCCAACGCGCCTTTGCACCCTTCCCATCTCATCGAGGTGGAAACCACGTCATCGCTAGGTGACGACTTCGAGAGCAGCAGCATGGCTGAAGCTGCGCGCAAGATTTGGGTCACGAGGCCAAGGGCCTCTGCCACACTCGTCACCATCGGCTCAAACGATCTCGTTGACGATGTACGCGACATGATTCTGCGAAAATACGCAAATTCGCTGGGTAAGACCTACGACTCGCCTGATCTTACTCTTCGTCTCAACACCCGCACCGGCGTTTCTCGTGTCCTGGGCCCCGAAGAGCACATGGCCACTGTCATGGAGCAATTTTTCCCCAATGGACAGACCGTTGACGAGGCCTTCATCATCGACATTCCCCGCAACACAACAACGCCCAGACCCTCTCCGCGAGCACCTGCCCCTCCCATTCCTGGCTCTGGCTCTGGCTCGACTGCTTACTATGCCGACGACGTGCGTCCATCCGAGTCTGGCGAAGGGTATTTCCCTCCAGTGGTCGGCACCGCGACGTCGCCCCGTCTTGCCACCAAGCACACCAACGGATCTATGCCGCATTCCATGACCGTCATTAGCTCTGGCCACCTGCCTCCCATTCCATCTCCTGGCGGCTCCAGGCCTCGCTCGCATAGGGATCGCGAGTCGCAGCGCCATGATCGCCAGGACCACTCGCGAAGCGCTGGAAGAACTCATACTCCTTCACCCAATGTGCATAGCGGCGGCGGCAGCGGCGGCGTTGGTCCCAATTCTGCCTCATATCACCCCACGCGACATTCTCACTCGCGAACGCATTCGAGCTCGTCTGAGCACATTGTGGCGCATCCAAACAACTCCATGCCCAGGTCTCCGGGCCATGAAATCGCCGCTGCAGCGCGAATGGGCCCAGGCACTCCTCCTTCTCCCCCTCAGCGGCTGGTGTCTCCGCACCTGCCCACCCTGCGAACCAGGAAGAGCAAGAGAGGCCAGGCGCAGCAGCAGGACTATCAGCAAAACCCCCCTCCGCCCGCGCTGAATGCCAAAGTACCCCCCATCAGTGTCCTTATTGTGGAAGACAACCCTATCAATTTGAAGCTGCTTGAAGCGTTTGTCAAAAGACTTAAGGTGCGATGGCAAACGGCCATGAATGGTCGTGAAGCGGTCAAGAAGTGGAGGAGTGGCGGCTTCCATTTAGTCCTCATGGACATCCAGCTGCCCGGTATGAATGGGCTCGAGGCCACGAGAGAGATCCGCCGACTGGAGCGGATCAACGGCATTGGCGTCTTTTCCAACGCGCCAGCCGAAGCCACACCCCCCGAAGAGCTGACCGAAGAGGATCGCCTGGAGGGCTTGGCCAAGTTCAAGAGTCCCGTTATCATCGTGGCTCTCACGGCCAGCTCTCTCCAGAGCGACAGACATGAAGCTCTTGCAGCTGGTTGCAATGATTTCCTGACCAAGGTATGTAGTTTTCGCGCGAATTTCCCTCCCACTTGTTACCAGAATACAACTGACCTGTCGTATCTCAGCCCGTCAACTTTGTTTGGCTCGAGCGCAAGGTCATGGAATGGGGCTGCATGCAGGCACTCATCGACTATCAAGGCTGGCGAGAGTGGAAACAATACTCCGCCAAGGCAGAAGCGATGGAGGCTGCCAACAAGCGAGCGCAGGCGTTTAAGAAACAATCGAAAAAGAATCGCACTCAATTGTCGGAATCGTAAACGGATGGCTATTATACCGGAGTCTAGGACTTTTCTTTTCTCTTTTTTTCCTTTTTGCAACGGCTTCTTCATACTGGAACGAGGGGCAACCCGCGGGAAGAGGATTTATTAAAATGCATGGTAAAAAAAAAAAAGGAAGGCTCACAGGAGGGATGGATCTTGCGCTGAATTTGCTAGCCCTTTGCTAATTCTTATTTTTTTTTCTCCTTGTTCTGGAACGAACGGACGGATGATGAACATATTATTATTATTATTTTCCTTCTCATTTCATTTTTCTTTGTTTTTTCTTTTTTCTTTGGTCGGCATAGCCCTACCCATTAGCAATGATGATGTAGCGGCAGAGCACCCTGAGTGCTAGATACACACAGTTACTATTTGCTTCTTTTTGGCGTCGTTACGCACGAGCGGCGGCGAGTTTAATATATGGGAATGTCTCGTCTCCCAAGCCTAGTCTCTCTCCTTCCCTCCCTCTCCTTTTCTCTTGCTGGTGACCCGATAGTCTTATAGAACTTATTTGCAACCTCAGCTGTCTTACGCCACTTGGATTGTGACGACTGCCTAGAGGATCAAAACGCCCAACTGCAGCCTGCCAACTAGTTTCGCCCAGACACGGTGCAGCTGGCGGCCAATATGGGCCCCAGAGGATTGGTTTCGTTTGTATCTTCCCCTCTTTTCCGTCTTACAATGCCATCATCAATTTTACACATGTCCCGTTACATACTATGTACTTGTATATACAGTAGTCTATCCAATAGTGCTACCTATTTTATTGCTCTTTCCAGCCGCGGCTGAGGAGCGAGATGCCATGTACAAGGAGAGTAGTGCTTAGGTAATGGTGCCTTTTTTTTTTTCCCTCCAATTTCCCCTTGCATCAATTTAGTACATGCTAGACTGGGCTGTAGCACTGCTGTGCCTGCTGCAGGTTCTCAATTGCAAGCTGCTTGTGCCCCTCCTTTTCGGAAGCGGGAGAACAAGACGCCGGGGCCGCAAAATTTGGCTGAGCTAGACCATTGGCCACCAAAGCTTTGCTTTTCTGGTTTTTTGATATTTCCGCATACTTTACTTGAATCATACGAGACCTTTTGTGTATCTTCTTTGAGCCATTGATCTGATTTGGTTCAGCTTTCAATGAGCAATTGGTTGATCTAGCCGCAAGCACAGAGTCAATCGCTCTCTTCCCCCATCTCCAGATACCCGCACAGCCTCAGCAGAAATGCCCCCCAGATTGTCGGCGGCTGCCGTGCCGCTGACCCCAGTGGTCGATGCGTGCGTCCTCCCCTCGTGCAAATCAGCAGCGCCATTCGTGCGATCCTTCAGCTCGACGCCGTGCAAGCAGAAGATGAGCCGGGCTCGGCAGCAGATGTACCAGTGGCTCAAGGGCCGGGAAGGCTCCGAGTTTGCAGAGCCCAAAGGAGGGCCGCGGTATTTAGGGCCGCTGCAGGACCAGCCGTTTCCTCTCAACCCGCTGTTCCGAAGCCAGCCGGTTCTGGACGAGCAGACGAGGGAGCTGATCTGGGACAAGGTCATTATGAGGGGAGAGGCCCTCAAGGCGGTATCGGCCGAGATGGGCGTTGATGTGAGGAGAGTGGCGGCTGTGGTAAGGCTAAAGGAGGTGGAGAAGCAGTGGCAGAGAGAGGTAAGCTTATACGCCTGTTGCTATTCATTTCATTTCTTTTGTGTTTTTTTTTTCTTCCCCCTTTGAAAAAGGTTGTGTTTTGCGTGATGAGACAAATTTCCAAAAATTCGATTAGTCTTGAAGACTTTATCCATGGTTAGAAACGATTTACATGTTCTGATAATACACACCAACCTCCAATTTCTTTATCCTCATTTATTCACCTCACCTGGCGGCATCTCGTGCTGGATACAGCTTTGCTGACTCTTTTCACGAAATAGGGCAAGAAGCTGGCAACTCCCTATGCCAAAGCTGTCATGAGCATGCTGCCCAAGACATCATACCGCGAGGGCGAGAAGAATTTGCCGCACGAGCCTGTAAACGAGATTCACGTCCACAAGCTGACGATGCAACAACTCTTTGTGCCCGTATCTGAGTCACGGCATTTTACTCGACAAGACGCCGCAAAGGCCTTCCACGACACCATGCTCTCCGTTGATGCGCGATCACCACAGCCAGAGCTCATCAAGATGGAGCGGGACATTCTACAGGGCAAGACTCGACAGGAGAGTCTGGCCAAGTTCAAGGAGGCGACGCAGAAGGAGGAGGATCGAGTGGCGCAACGCATCGCCCGCGAGGCGCAGCGAGAAGAGGAGGCCACAACGAGGGTGACTACGGATCGCTACGAGTTCCGGTTCAAGGAGATTAATGCCGATGACGTTGGCCGAACCGGCCGATCAAGAAAGGGCACCGGTTGGAGATACGGAGCGCCGTTTGACGACCGCAAGCGCGGATTGGTCAAGATTCCTACGTCTGTGCCGTAAGGCTGCTTGCTTGCTTGCTGGCTGGCTGGCTGCTACAGGCTTGTACAACATGATGATGAGAAGAAACAAAGAAGAAGAAGAAGAAGAAGAAGAAGAAGAAGAAGAAGAAAGAAAGATATGAAATGATTGTCAAAGACAAGAGAGGAAGAAATGAAATGAGAGGCTCCCCTACCCGGGACCGAAAGAAGGGAGAAGCCAACACGAAGCTGTATTACTACATACCTATACATATCATGCATATACAACCCGCAAAAAGATTCATGTACCACTAGCTGATGTATATATATATATATATTTCTCTGCAACGCAAACCCTGCCCGTTTGATCAATGCACAAATACCTCTAATTCGCACTTTGCTGAAAGGGAATTGTATCATACACATATACATACACATACACAAAGGGCGTTTTCTATAATGCGTGCTGCTGGGGAATCTGGTATCTACGGAGTCTAGTTGCTGATGATAAGCTTCTGTCGAACGCGGGTAATGGTGTCTGGCGAGAGCTTGCTCTCCTTGAGGAAGAAGCCCTCGGTGGAGCCCCATTCCTTGCGGATCATGGCGAGCGTAGCTACCATGGCTTCGGGTCTGTGGTTGTATCACCTTTGTCAGCATTCAATCGACGGGAAAACAAATGAGCATAGAAAGAGGGACTAATGCTGAAGCTGAAGAATGGGGAAACAAAAACAGGGAGAGAGACCTACTTTGAGCTCAGCATCCTCTCGGCCCCCGCCTCGTCTCCAGCAAATGCCGGCGTCGAAACCAGGTACTTGATCAGGCCCGGCTTCGCAGCCGCCATGCCCTGCGTTGTGAGACCATACTCCTCCGCCACTACCTCATCCGGAATGTCACACAGGCTCAGGATCAGCGCACACAAGACACCCGTCCGGTCCTTGCCGGCTGTGCAGTGCACCAAGATGGGCTTCTGGGCCACAGGATCGAACTCGTCCGACGCAATGTGATTGAGCACCGTGGCAAACGCCGGGGCCCCGGCTATAGCAATGTCCCTGTACGCAGTGACGAAGCCCTCGGTGGGATGCGAATCCGCGTACTTGCGGAACCGGAGGGCCACGGCCTCGGGACCGTAGTCGGCGCCCTCGAAGACGGGGACGTGCACGCGGCGAGGACCGCCGGGCCACTGCTCGGGGGCTTCTGGGTTGCCGGCGTCGCCGGACGAGTTTGGCCGGGCGGCCTCGAGGGCGGAGCGCAGGTCGAAGACGGTGCTGATGTTGAGGGCCTCGAGCTCGGGCGACGAGACTGTGGGAGGGGCAGCTGATCGCAGGATGAGGTTGGGGCGGAGGATGGAGGAAGAGCCGCCGGCGAGGTCTCGGAGATTGGGGATGGGCGGCTTGGTGGTGGTGGCAGACATGGTGGTGGTGGTGGTGGTGCTGGCGGTGGTGTATGATTTGCTGTGAAGTGCAACTGATTGCCGGTGCTGCGTTAGCTTGGCTTTAGATTGGAGGTGCCTCGAGTGGCTTGATCCTGATCTTGTTGCAGAGCAGATGCTGCTACGGCGAGAGGAGGTAGTAGTTGTCAATGTGCGGATTTTATAGGCGCTGTGTATGCGGTTAGACAGGTTCACAACAGCACCCCTACAAGGTGCATGTATCATTTTTGACGGGTAGGTAGGTGCAGTACCTATGCCGCGGATAAGG